TCTGGTCAGACCAAATTTCCAGAATCGATGCGGCGATGCGGTGCGTTCTTTTTGCTTTTTTTGTGTCCTCATATTCATTGGTGCCCTCCATCATTTGCCTTTGTGCAATGTCCCTATTCCTTGGTGCTCCTTGGTACAAACATTTGAGGTGGTTGTCAGATCCAGTTAACCTTCCTCTTAAAATGTTCAAAGACAATGGTAAATAAAACAATGTCCACAAATTCTTCTTTTCTCTGAATTGATTTATTAATTTAAAAAGCACTCCTACCTACAACAAGACCTCAAGCTTGAGTTAATTATTCTCAAATGCACCACTTGTAAATCGTAATCAAATATATAAATAGAAAATATCACAGCTGTGTTGGACTATCACATCCAAAGTATCTACGAATGAATACGGAATTAATCAACACTGGTCAAATATACAATAAAAATGTTACACTAATCCGAACGGTTGAATCTACCCAAGGTTCACAACCTTCTGCACACTATTAATTTAAACCTCCCCAAAATTTAAACTCCTCTCCGCAAATATCACCAAAATTACTAAGTTCTCTGTAACTCCACTCCCCGCAGGGTCTGTGTGAATAAAGTCACAAATTTAAATTAAATAATTTCTCCAACCTTTGGTGACGTTTCATGTCCTCACGTTACTTCAAATTCATACTACACTCTTCAGTAGCAGGTTCACTAAGTTATCTAGCACATCAAAATTATTATTACAATACTACCAATGAACAATTACATAAATACGGCATAAAAACAACTGACTTCTTCCTGGTAGTTCTCCCCACCCACTCTACGGAGACACTGGAAATACTGTAAGCTTAAGCTGCCTTCAGTCCTTCTGCTGACTTCAGTGCCGGTGGCGTCACCTTCGTGCGTCCATCCTCGTAAGTTAGCATCAGAGTAGGCCGTCTGTAAATTCATAATTTTAATAAACTCTCACAATAATTTTGAGTCACTATACAAAATACACGCCGAATCACCAATCAAATGTTCTTTAAAGCTTTTCCTAAAAAAGGTTACCAAACTGTACTTCGATCTCATGTCACTTAAACTTTTCTTATTCTTAAATAAACACAATTAAAGCGACATCTGATATACACATCAGGTATGCAACAATCCTCATAATATATAGCCAATCTACATTATCTCAAACGGTTCAAAATTCTAGATTCAATCTTCACCCCGGTGAATCTCATAACGACAAATATAATGAAGATAAAACAATATCTTCTTCTTTGGTAATTAAAGCAAGTAAATAAATAAAGCTTCAACTTACGGTTGCTGGTCAATGTTGCAGACTTGTCTCCCTCACGCCGAAGTAAAAAAACAATCAAGCAGAAATTTGCTTGAAAAGCACTCTGAAGATATATATATTGGTTGCACTGCTAATTTCACAAGCCAAATTGCTTGGAAAAGAAAATATCTCAGGGCCTGGATTGCCTTAAAGAATCAAAATATGTCGCTAGCAGCAGAGCAGAGTGATGGCGCAAATACATGTACATGTACACAGCTCAGAATCATGGAGACAACTACCTCACTTTCCCTTCACATTCCAGCAACCTTCCACCAATTACCATCTCTTTCCTCACACTCATTCAAACTTAACTTCATTCCCATTCTTATTTAAACCAAAACTCATGAATATGCAAAATATCTACCTTACCAGAGTGGAGATACCAGGGATGTGTGTGGGTGCATGGGTGTGTGTGTGCTGGAATTTACTACCTTACGGAGACATGAACACAATAGGGAACAAAAGATTGTATACGTCTCCAGAAGAACATTTCTATAGATGAATACGTCTCCACAAGAATTTCACGAAATAGATATATAGATTTTACTCAAAAACTAGGAATTTCCAAGGTAGGTTGATCTGTCGCAAATGGAAGAGTTTTAGAAAAGGGATATTTAGTCCAAATTTCAGCCAGCCGTGGTTGACTGATCAAGGTAACAATAAGAACACATTCCACACACAATACCTCTAGGAGCATCTTCCACGTCTCCACAGGAATACAAATTCCTGGGTGGGTGTGTGGACGTGGAAGATGCTCCTAGAGGTATTGTGTGTGGAATGTGTTCTTATTGTTACCTTGATCAGTCAACCACGGCTGGCTAGGTTTGGGCTCTGACAGAATTATTCACACTACCTATTAAATAGTCACAGATACAAGAAAAGGGTGGTTTTATTGTGACAGTGGTCCGGCAACAGAGGTCGCTGTTGTAACTTCCGCGGAAAATGTGAAGGAAAAAAAGATTGACGCGCATGATCTAAATCGACGCGCGCGCTGACCAGAGACCGACTATTTTGTTTTGGCCTAAACATATTTGGTACACAAAAGCATCATTTTTATATTGAACTCGTCATGTTGCCATAACCGATTACCTTTACAAAAATTTTGTCTATACAATATTTGTACATCCTTTTTATAAACCTTTTTCCAAAGTCATGTTGTCTAATAGACTTTGTTGGCTTCCAACTAATCTTAAAGTTTTGTAGCAATTGTTAGTTTTATTACAAGACGCGTCACAATCAGACCATTAACAAGCCAATTTTATTGAAAATTTTGTTATTTGTGTACATTTAGCACGGGTGCTTTAGGTGAACGTTTACTGGTTGAGGTTTCTCAAACATTCGGAACAGATAAGACTGGATATTGGCCAGTGCTTCATAGCTGGCTGTATTCATCACTCAGAACGTGACGGATGGCATTTGAAAAAAAATTCCCACGGATAAATGAATTGATGAAAAAAAAATCTAAAATGACCGTTGATAAGAACTAGACTGTAATCAAGCAAGCCCGATTAAATCTAGAATCCAACAGATGTAGGTAGGCAAATCTTCGCAAACGAGTGTCTTATACTCAGACGTGCACATCAGCTCAAAGGCGCTTCCTCCAGGAATTTAGCTTCAGTAAATAGTTATTTAATGACTCCTTACAGCGGTGGAAAAGATAACAACGGACACCTCCACAGTGGTTGAGAGGCTCACAACGGACACCGCTTCAGGTCCAATTCGATACCCTGCACAAGGCAATTTCAACTCCCCAGTTAAGAAGTTGGATTTTCACATTGAATCTTCGGGAACCGCTTACATAAACTTCTACGGTGAAACTGGGAAGCTGCTCTTTGAACTAAGTAAGTTTATTTAACCAAGCTCTCCTATTGCGAACGGCTCGTCGTGATCTTATTATGTATGGCAAAATGCAAAGACTGTTTTACTTTTATTTTGTGCAGTTTTAACAGATTCATCAGATGTTCTCGAAAACGTGTTTAAAAACATGAAACAAAATATCTGACGCATATCGCGATTTGCAAGAAAAACTAGCTCGCAGTGGAATAGTGTCTAGTTCGACATTTCAATTGTAACTTTCAAGAGAAATTATAATTTCTGTGATGTATAGTTTACTTATAAAATAACATGCATCGTTTGAATATTTTCTCTTTTATTAAATTATTAATAAAAATGGCCGAGAAAAGACAATTCTTTTGCTGCGATGACCCAAAGAGGCGTCGTTACATTTTACGTTTTTAAAGTCGTTGGCGTTCTAGTTGCTTAAGATGCGTTCCATCCGTCTTACGTTTTGTGAAATGCGTCGTATACATACACAGTGGCGTAAATCTGTGCCGGCGAGTGGGGGGAGGGGGGGGGGGGGGGCTGGTGGTGTAAACCACAATTGCTGTTTAAATTCGAAAGTGGGGGGGGGGGGGGGGGGGGGGAGGGGGGCTGAACACCGCATTACACTAGGAGCGCTGCTCAGGATGATGTATATCAGTACACATACTCGCGCTTACATCACAACGGCGCATTTTAAAAGCTTTGGTATTTTTCTCCACTTTTCAGTGCTATTATGAATACATTTTGGTTGTTGGGATTTTCGAAAAAACCTCGAAATCCGCATTTTTTTCTTAACACGAAAAAAGTGTGTGTGTGTTGACAAGTTTGTTTATGGTGTAAATCGGGGACACACACGTGCAACATCAGCGGTGAATAGAGGACATGGAACCAAATCAAGGACGACCTCGATTCGAAAACGTGTACAAAAGCAATGAGAGCTGTTGCGAAAAAGTACAAACAAAGGTAAAAAGAGGAAGAGGAACATAAGAAATCCTCGATTTACATCATAAACAAACGTAGGTGTGTATGTGTTCATCTTTTCAAACCGTGGACGAAAAATACCAGAGAACAAAAGAACAATACCGCAAACTAAACAAGCTGCGGTAAAATTCATACAGGCCGAAAGTGGTGAAAAAAATAATGTTTTAAATTCCTCTAAAACACCAGTTGAACTCGATTCAGTGTAAGTTTCTTGCTAAAACGGTGGAAGATCTTGGTGTTGATTGGTCAATGATGCAATGTTAATATCAAGTGTATTTTCACGTGACTGACATGTTGTGCGGGCCACTTGATGCGGTAAACCTTCAGTGAAATCTGTTCCATGACGTGTGGTTTCGAACACCGGTTTTCGAACTGACTTTTCAGAAAAGGTTTTATGTTGTGGTGCCCTTTTCAACTTTGACCTTATGCTAATGAGCGTGCTCGTTCAGCCATTTTTCTTGTTCTCGTGTCACCGCGTGGTGAAAGTCATTCGCAGTTATCGGAATTAAACTTTCTCCGTGATTTTTCCAGCTCGGAACTTGCTGAAAGTATCAGCATTTGTACAGTTGTATCCAGTTTTTATTCTACTTTATTTTGGATCGTGCAGTTGACGATCTTTGAGCGAACTCACCTCGTTTGAGGGAGACTTATTCTCGCGAAATCGAGAGGCACTTTTCGCGGGCCAACTCGCCCCCACGGACTCCGCGTGTGCTTACCCCCCATTGGACAGCTACTACACGCGTATTACCTTGCTCGCTTGGACTTCGACGTCGGTCCAAAAGACGAACTATAGGGTGGGTTGTTGTGTTCATATTTTGAAAAGTACAGAAAATAGCCCCCAAAATGTAAACACAAATGGTGTAATGCCGACGTACGATACTTCCAAAAAAATGGGGAAATCGCCGCGGTGGACTCGTGACTGTGGATGTCCGAAGGTTATACCGGTATTTGGTGGTATATAAGCAAGCACCAGTCAATTTATGGGGGGGGGGGACCAAGGGCGGATCCGGAAGCAAATATTCAGAGAGACGACTAGCAAGCCGGCTACTTCAAATTCGAAAAGCGTCTACACTACTCTGCGGGTATTCTGAAACGACCAAGACAATTCTTGGTTGGTGGAATCTTGTGTTATGATATTAATGTCCTATAGGTTTCTAATACTGTTTCCTGCCTTTTATATGAAACAAAACATGAATTAATAATACCAAGGTTTTAGATAATTATATTATTTAATAATATTTCATTATTGTTATAATCAGTGTTGGATGTCTCGAGGCCGGCCTTGGCCTCGAGGCCGAGGCCAACGAATGCGCTGCACTTGGCCCCCCAGCTGACACGGTGGACCTCGCCATTGTCAGCGAACAAACAAGAACATGGCTTAGACAACTGGACGGAATAGCCTGACCTTCTGCTGCCTCAAACGAAAGAAGAAGAGGCCGATTTTCATGGCCTCGGCCTTGGCCTTGGCCTCGGAGTGCAAAGCCTCGGCCTTGGCCTCGGCCTCGGAGCCTTCCGGCCTCGGCGAATCGGTCGAGGCCGGCTCGAGGCCGCCCATTTTGATTACGAATGACTAATTCGTTCCTGCGAACGAATTACTAATTCGTTCGAACGAATTACTAATTCGTTCCCACGAATTAGTAATTCGTGCGAACGAATTAGGAATTCGTGCGCGAACGAAATAGCGATTCCTGCGAACGAATTCCTAATTCGTGCGAACGAAATAGCAATTCGTGCGAATGAATAGGAATTCGTGCGAACGAAATAGGAATTCGTGCGAACGAAATAGTAATTCGTGCGAACGAAATAGTAATTCGTGCGAACGAATTAGGAAATTCAAAAAAAAATTCCACCCTGTCCCTTCCCGGGCTTCATACATATACAATGTACGCACGAATGAACTGGAAATGGTACGTAGACTAGCATCTTCGCCTAGCCTGCGCTTCAGCTTTCCACGTGCGTGCAGGCGTTATAACTGTTACCGCGTGCCAGACTACATAAGTCTGGCACCAATCCCATCTGCGTACAATAACATGTGGTAGTAGACTAGTCTGGTTGCAGTGTTGTACAAAATTTTCTCGTTTCGCCTCTGTACCCCGATCTTTAAAAATGATTTGCGGCAAGGTGCGGCAAGGTGCGGCAAGCTTAATCATTTCTTTTTATAGGCCACTGTTTCAGTAAAAGTCTGAACTTTCTGGGTACGATCGAGTGTACTAGTCCGTACCATTTTTTTTCTCATAAAGATATGATAAAAACAGTTACGATTTATCAAGTAGATTTTATTTTTACACGGTATTTTAAATGAAAGTTCCGGCTCACATGGTAATGTTTGGCGCAAATGGTCGATATGGAAAGCGCGATTTCAGAATTCGTTTTTCCATCCAAATGAATGCAAAGTTCTGAATGAATGTTTTAATAATAGGAGTCAGTATTCCTCGTGGTACCAGGATACTTTTTTGTATTTTTAGAGCCATGTTGATACTTATTACATGTATAAGCACTGTTTGAAATTGAATAATTTTGCGTGGTTACAGATATACGGCCAAAAAACTCTGGACTCCCTACCTCTTGCCATGATCTTAAAATTCTTCGAAGCCATTGGATTCAAATCAGATGATCCGAGAATTCATGGTCATGTTGATGAACTGAGTGATATCATGCACGCATGTTCTGTGTTGCCGTGTTGTTTGGAGCGGGATTGGCCATTGCCAGGCTTTGTCTGGTACCGCGGTATTAACAGTGATAATGCGTGGACACTTATCCCGTTGTGTGGAGCGGGATTGGAACTATGCTTTGCCAGTGCGCAACGGCGGGCCGTCTGGCATTGTCCGGTTGCATCGCGGTGTTTGCTCGGCGCGCGCCTGGACAGTGCGAAGGTCGGGGGATCGTAACTTTTTGTTATGAGTGGTAAAAACCTGATTCAAAAATCAAGTTGTTGTTTATTTAATGGGGATTCCTATGATCTGAAATATTTTGATAGATTTTGAAAATAAGATTTATAAAACATGCTTAAAGTAAATAATGTAAATCTTACAGAAACTCAAAATTTGGCCATTTAAATTGTTGTATCTCCAAAGGGCAAACACCTATGAGCCTGATTCAAACGCCATTGATTGTTGTTGTAAATTTGCTTTACAGTGATACAAAACTTGAGATTTCTTTCTTTAAAAAATAAAATTCGCCGGACTCCCTACAAGAGGAAACCCATTGCAAGCTGTAAATTTGTAAGCCAGGCACTCCAAAACTCAGTGAATTCAACTAAAAAGATGTTAAAACTCCAACATAATCTTAGCCTTGTTTTAGTGATTTATATTTTATTACGTGTTTTGATAGCTGGCCTCGGCCTTGGCCTCGGAGGTGGTGGCCTCGGCCTTGGCCTTGGCCTCGCGGTTGTGGCCTCGGCCTTGGCCTCGGCCTCGGAGGTTGTAGCCTCGACTACAACACTGGCTATAATTGTACAAGTTTTGTGAATAAGATTAATTTCAGTCAATTCCGATATCTTGCCCAATTGTCCCACGTTGACCAATGGCATTCCAAATAACTAATCAACATCTCAGTCCACATTTCTGAAATGACATAACAATTGTTACAATCCATTCCGATTGGCTGGCGGGCGGGGTCGCATACAATGTGCATATTAGTATACATCAGACGTTTGACCGTGGCTCTGCACACGTCTTATCCTCAGACTATAGCTATTTGTTTCGAGGAGATCTTTATCGATATGACTAAATCCAACTAAATGAGTCCTATGTCACCAGAGCTACTTTGGAGTAATAGTAATACATGTAATATTTTGTGCAAATTGTACACAACGGAAATCAGTCGGACCAGTCAACATTTTCACCCATATCATCAATCCGAGTGATATATAACTAAAGAGCAAAGTATGTTTTCTCTTTATACATGCATATGAAAAATTGTAAATGAAAAATGTCCCCACGACTGTTTTCGTACCCCCCGCGAGAATTCCTTAGGCTGTTTATATATGTTAAACATGATACCTGCAGGTACAAAAACAAGCGATCGAATTTCTGTGGCAATTTGTTCAAATTCATGGCACATACTGTACTTAAAGGGAATATACATCATTTGCTTTTGCTGTAATTTTCAGAAATGGATGGAATTGGGGGGTTGGAAATATATAGCAAATATAGTAAAACTGACTTTTTTGAGCTTTTGGGTTCGGAAATGCTATAAAAACCAAGAAAAACAATCATTTTCCTGTAGTCTGGTTCCCTGACCATTTAAGAGAGAAACAGAGCAGTTTACATATATTGGGGAATTGTAAGGTCAGGGAACCAGTCTAGCTGGCTTGTACCCGTTCATAGGTGTGTAATCGATTGCAAACAGGTGCCAGTAGGCCTATTTGAAAAACGCTGATCGGCCGATCAGCGTTGGAAATTGCTACAAAAATACCACTTTTCTTGAAAATGACAGTATACCAGGTGCCATGATTTTACAGGATGCTTTACACTGTCATTCACTAACAGTCCAGCAAGGTATTTCAAAATGATTTGGTAGTTTTATTTTTTGATGGTTGCAAATGTTGTATTTTCCCTTAAAGAAGAGATACAACATTTGCAAACATAAAAAAAAAATGATGAAATTACCACGAAATTCATTACTGGACTGTTAGGGAATGACAGTCTAAAGCATCCCGTACAATTATGGGTCCTGGTGTGCTGACATTATTAAGTAAAGTGGTACTTTGTATCAATTTCCAACGCTGTTCGGCCAATCAGCGTTGGAGAAAACTATTTTTCTTCTAGTCCAAAACTGCTCCTAATTTTTCATATTTAGTTATTGCAATTGATTACACACCTGTGAAGGGGTACAAGCCAGCTATACTGATTCTCTGACCTTATAATTCCCCACGTCTATATATTGCTGCGTTAGATCTTAAGTGGGGTCAGGGAACCAGACTACAAGAACATGGTTGGTGTTATTGTTTTTCCAGCATCTACGAACCTAAAAAGTAAAACAAGTCAGTGTAACAATATTTGCTTTAACATACTACTTCTCCGCTTTGGAAATCAAAACATGCTCTCAATTTTACAAAACTTCATGTTTATTTCTTTATGTCATATCTCAATATAGGGCTGGCCACAGATCACACTCAAATTAGTAAGCCATTTGCTTCTTCGAACTTCATTCAGGATGTCATTCCTGGAAACTTCTGGATAACTTTCGATGACACCAACGATAATGTAATTGCGGGAAAAGAAGGAGCCGTGGACACTGCGACAATACGCAACGTTGGCAACCCGGGCGTTTTCAGCATGCAGGTATCTTCGGAAACATCTGCTGACTGGGATATTTACTTTCCAACTAATTAGCGATTAAAAAAGAAAAATCTGCGATCGCTGATGTTTGAAATTGATGAATGAACAACTAAATTTTAAAATCCGTTTATCATCAAAAATGCGAATTATGTAGTATATTACCAATGAGTCGAGGAAGCACTAAATGGGTATACATAGTGAGTCAGAATGATCTGGACCTAAGTTCACCATTTTGTGGTGGCAAATAGAGTATATTGAGAAAAACTGAGTGTTTCATGTAAATGGTTATTACCTTGTCTTCCACAGGAATTTTGAATTTTTCAAATTAGTGACTGTGGTGAGGAGTTATGCCATTTTCATTGAAGTGGCTCATTGTCCAGTCTGCACACGGAATTGGTTTTGCCTTTTGTAAATGTGTCAATAACTTCAAGTGAGTCAGTCACCATGTTAGGTTTTTATTTGTTATTACTCTGATTCCACCAGCACGCGATTTCAATCAATTTGTTGGACCATGGAACCGTGGTCAGAGTGTTTTTAGCGTGTGTTCTTTGCTGACGCTTTTCTTCAAAATGGTACAATAGATATACGTGAAACTTTCACCAAATATGTCCAAAATACCAGCCTATATATTAAATTATCTCATGTGCACTTGTCTTGATAACTGCTACATATTTTAATATGTTGTTTAATTTGGGTCCAGATCATTGTGACTCACCCTGTACATCGAGATGGAAGAGTTTGTTCACATTTTCAATTTCGCCCCTCGTGGTATTTTGAGGTTCATTGCAAAAAAGTCCTTTTCTACATTGCTATACATTTCTTTAGAAATACAAAAGTACGAAAGATGCTCACTTTTGACTTTTGCCCCAGTTACCATATTACCTTAATTGATTTGTACCATACCTTGTAAAATTATTCATGATATCATAAAAATCAAACAATTCGATATGTCTTCTATACTGATGCAGACAAAACGATGTACAATATTTGACACGTATCAGTAAGGTCAAGACAAATTTATCTTTACACATATCAGTGCCTTAATGTTTGAGTAAAATAACTTGTGATTTAAGCGTTATCATTGTATAATGAGTCTTGTTTTAAATATGAGAGAAGCTGTACATATAAAACTTTATCTTAAATTGCTTAAAACTTTGTTTGACTTTATTTCACTTTCAAAAGTTGTTTTTTTTTCCTGAGTAATAATTTATAATTGAATACCGTAAACCAGTGTTGTAGTACTCGTACTCGAGTACTACTGGAGTACTTTTTTAAGTATTCGTACTCGTACTCGAATGTCAAAGTACTCGTACTCGATACGACGGTACTCGTACTCGAGCAGCAAAGTTCTCGTATACTCGCACTTGTCGAAATTGTACTCGATCATCAAAGTACTCGTACTCGAATAACAGTACTCGATAAAACAAAGTACTCGTACTCGAATAGCAGTACTCGATAAAAAACCCCGAACGGTATAGACACCGGCGGCGGAACCGGGGGGGTAGAGGGGGCAGTTGCCCCCCCACTTTTGAAAAGGTAGCTATTTTGCCCCCCCCCCCACTTTTTACCAGAAGCGATTTTAAAAAACGAGGTTAATTAAAATGATACATTCATTAACAGGTAAAAAAGATTTTTGAACACGTGTCTCATTTACAGGGCCCTATTAATAGTATTATGTACTACAATGTATCTTTTGCTCAGAAAATATTGGTTAAAGACTTGTGGTCAGAAATTGCCTCAGATCGCACCACAGAGCATCTAGAATCCTTTTTTTTTTTTCGGGGCCCTTAAGCGGGCCCCGAACCCCACGCCTTAAGGGCTTCGCGCTCGCATCAGTTCTGATCAAGGTATGTTCCCCCACTTTTGAGAAGCGATTGACACCCCTGATTGGGGTTGCAATTTGACAGTAGGCCTTATACCTAAGTGAGTATGGCCACACAAAATTAGAAAAATGATATGAAAAATAGGGATATACCGCGCGAAGAGAAAATAGTCCACATGCATAGGTTAACAGACACTACGTAAGTCACACTTTCGTTTCGGACCAACTTCACACTTTTCCATTTGCTTTCATTTTGCTTTAATCCTGCTCCGGGAAGTAACTGGACCTTGCCCCACCACTTTCAAAAGTGTTCCGCCGCCGATGGGTATAGATCGTATCGAATACCCCCATGTTGGCATAGCAACAGCGCGGCGACGTACGCACCGCAAGCTAGTCTAGCTAGCTAGCTAGTCGTATGGTCGTACGTACGTACGTGTAGTGTACCGTACCGCACGTTGTACGTTTCATTGCCGTTCAAGGTTCAAGGTTCCTTTATTGTTGTTGTTGGACCACGGAGACCTGTTCTTGTACTCGGAAGCACAAGTACTCGTACTCGCACTCGGCAACCTAGGTACTCGGCAGCACTCGGTACTCGGAATAAAGTACTCGACTACAACACTGCCGTAAACTGGGGTAAGTTAGGCACCCTGGGTAACTTTGGCAGAAGCCTAACCACGTACAGCATTTTTGTTGCGCGGTATTTCTGACAATTTTATATAAAATTGATACTGTAAAAGTTATTTTCTAACAACAGTATAAATATCATTATTGTTATAATTGTACAGGTTTTGTGAATAATTATATCATTCAATTCCGATATACTGCCACAGTTGCCCCAATATACGTGGAAACTTTGGCAGCACTTTAGGAGGCTCTATTCAAAGGAACGAACATAAATATTTGTTGTTACTAGGTTACAGATTAGGGCCCAGCTGCAAAAAAAACCCACAAAAGGAAAAACAGACATGCAATATTAGAGGAGGAAAACCTGCCAAAGTTACTCCAGTTGACGATAGTTTGTAAACATTTTACGTTATAAAAGCTTCAACTTCATGTAGTGCACAATAGTCTCATGTATCCATCGATTCATCTGCCGAGTTAATGAATACATGTAACGATGTATTTGCCAAAAAGTTGCTATATTAACTTTGGTGACATATACAATTGATGTAATTTTTGTACCCTTTAAGAGCCAAGTTATCATCAAAAAGGTTTACCATATGGAGACAAGGTAGATTAGGGAGACATTTGAATATCTTCCTAATTTTACCGTCGCAAATAGGCAAAATCGATTCCTCGATTGATGCAAATCCAATACTCAGTTTGGTGAGGGTAGGATAAGTGATTTACAGTGCAGGGTAAGGCGGGCAGGCTAAATACCCCTGGTTCATTTACCGGGAGACGGTATTGAGTACCGAAGTGTGACGTCATTTAAAATAACAAAGCGTAGTGCCAGCTTCGATTCCATGGGCGCGTGCGCGTTCCTTACACTAACCCCTGGCCGTGATGATGACATAAATGACGCTGATTGGCTATTCACAGCGTACTGCGCGCGCATTTCGAAGATTGCACGCCGGGCGCGCCCATAATGCGCTCGCGTGCTTTGCACGTAACGTCACGTACGAAAAAAAAAATTATGGGTGCGTTCGATTAGCTTACACGTGTAAGTTTCCCTTACACGAGAGCGTTCGTTTAGCCATCACGTGATTCGGATAAACTGCAGCCTAATTATAATGGCACATTATAATTAGGCTGCAGTTTATCCGTTTTACGTGCCGCCACCATCTTTAAAATGTTAAAAGTTGTGATTTTGAAGAATCAATCCTTTCAAACATAACATTTGGACGTTGCGTTATTAAGCAAAGATTTGTATTAAATGTACGTACCCCTTTCGTCCCTGTACAAGTAAAGATACAGGGCTTTTTTAGCGAAAAACGAGGCTGCCATAATTTATATTGTACAGGCATCGCGACTTTTGAATAACAATTTTTTTTTTCGTGCGTTCGATTAGCTTACACGTGTAAGTTTCCCTTACACGAGAGCGTTCGTTTAGCCATCACGTGATTCTCGTGTCTGCTCCGGTGTCATACACGAGTACCCGATGGTTCAGTATATAGGCCTCAAGTATTATTTGTATTTAAAAAGATTTAATTGTCTTCGTTGTAATTGTAATCAGTGGCTTGGGAGGATGTTTTAAGGGAGAGATAGAGCCTTAGAACCATTCGGTTGATATATCATTGTAGTCTATTTCCAACAGTTAAAAATCCTTATGTTATTACTGCCTTGTAATGATAGCAGTTGAAAATTGCATTACGACTGCAGTAATGATAGCCAAAACATATTTTTAAAGGCACGGGGAGGGGGGTATTGCCCTACAAATTATGGTGAAGTTATAGTAGTTTTAAATATTTGACCTTAAACCTGTTCCAGAATTTTTCATTCTTGAAGTTAAAATTTGAATATTTTTTTTTTTCATATTTAAATATGATTGTTCACACATACACACTAGTGTTTACAATTAAGGCCATTTATTTTCGAAAAATTTAGTATTTGATTATTTGAAACTGCATTTGACCTATTTGAACATTCAAAACTTGGCTTCAATTTTACACAAGTGGCCATTTGCCTGCAGAAAGCACACTGTACCTGTCCAACATTTGCATGCCACACGAGTGTTTTGCAATAAATAATTTACAATAACTAGTCATTTGCTTTAACCTAGGATGGAAACAATGAAATGATGTCAACAAAAAAGTTACTGTCAACAAAATGTGGCATCTGACAATAGGCCTAAAGTTTTTCTGTTGACAGCCTGGGAAAATACTGAATAGTCAGCTATGCTATTCCAATTACCGTTGAAAAGTAGAGCTCTAAATGTTTCTTGTTTTATTGCTTTGTTTTCTTTCAGATTCAGTGTGCGAAACTTGTTTTATGAAACATCATGAAGAGCTGCTTCAGGTAAACACTTATTAATCTCCATTTTTTTGAAAAAAGGTACATCTTTGTATTTTGGGTCATTTTTGCCCCCAAAAAGCAAACATTTTACCACATGACTTGAAATACATTTTTACCAGTGTTGTAGTCGAGTACTTTTTTCCGAGTACCGAGTACTTGCGTTGCCGAGTATGAGTACTTGAACTTCCGAGTACAAGTACAGGTCTCCGAGCACTTGAACTTGTACTTCCGAGTACGAGTACGAGTATGAGTACTTCCGAGTACGAGTACGAGTACTTCTATTTCCAAATACCACCATAGGGCAATACAAACCTACTCACGGGTTGCTGTTAAATGTGTTTGTCCGGACGTGCACAGAGGAAAATCAGGAAACTTCGATTACTCCACAAACGCAGCCAATCCACCATTTCAAACTGTAAGTATCGATAAGATAAGGCTGCTATTCGAGTACGAATACTTTGATGATCGAGTACAATTTCGACATGTCGAGTACGAGCACTTTGCTGCCTGAGTACGAGTACCGTCATTTCGAGTTCGAGTAATTTGACATGCGAGTACCAGTTCAAGTACAAGTACACTTAAAAATGTACTCGAGAAGTACTCAAGTACCGAGTAGGAGTACTACAACACTGGTTTTTACCAAAAATCCAAAGAATCCAAATATATGTCACATTAGAACATCAATCACGTTGGACCTTTTCAAGTTTCCCTAATCAACAGTAGTTTTTTTTTCCACAGGAAATCTAAGTAGACTCTCTCTTAATCAGAAGGTGCTCTGTCACCCGCAATAGTACCTTGTGCTACAGATACTTGCATTTTAAATTTGGAGCGATTTTGACTCTTTATGAATTGATTTTCTTGTCAATATCTCTAAATAGGATAAATGGTTGGAAAATAACTGATAGTCAACTGACATTTAATATTCTCCTTAGAATTTGCATAATGTAGAATTTTGTGGTCCATAATTATCTATATACATTCAGTTTTAAAAAATGTGTCCAGTTGGTTGTTTTAGTGCATGAAAGTGAATTTTAGTCAATGTGATTTTATGACCCTTGCATCGCTTGTAATTTCCTCGATTTCAGGATAACAAACCACGTCGTCTGCTACCACACATGAATGATGGGATGGTGAACCATGACAACTGATCAAAATAATGGCAAGGTATGAAGGCAGACTGAAAGAGTCAAAGTAAAGAAGCCGGTGTGAAAACTAAAATTGAAAAAGAAATTGGCATTTCAGCAGAAAACTGTGAGGATAAACTGAAAAGCTTAAAGAGATCTGTAGTAATCATTGTTTTTCGCTTTGTGTGAAAGGCATTCCATTTGTAGCAAGATCACTTGTGATATTTTGTAGTACAAGGCGCTCCATAAACAAAGTCACTTGAAAGGTCAAATAGAGCATGTTTGCATTGCATGCACCCCAAGTGTGTGCAGTTGTGTAGCTTAAATGGTCTGACAAAATGTTAAAGTTATTACACTTCAAATATCAGATGATCCAAGTGGAGGTTCTAATAGAAGCCATCCAGAAAACAGTCTCTGAACCGAGGTGAATGTTCACAACAAACTGTCAGTAAATTATTCTTTTCCCACAATTGCATTGTAAAACATAGTCATATTCCTTTAATCCCTGAGAAATATCACCCATTTCCTCTTTTTTATTTTTGCAGATTTCAAGAGACATCTCGTCTATTGGAGGTGTTCAAGGAAACGAAGCCCTCACCGGTGAAAAAGAAAGCGGTCAAAGAGTCAAAAGAGGTCCAGCCCGCCCCCCCCCCCCCTCCCGCCCTGCTTTTCGAATTTGCAGCACTTGCAGTGGCCTGAAATTTAGGGGAAAATGTTCTTGGGTCCAACCTTGGTGTCCCCTAAAAACAAGATGGTGCCTTCCCCTGCCCTCCAACCCCAACACTGAACAAATCCTGGCTCAGGCTATCCACGGCATTTCAAGTGGCTGTGTGAGTTGCCTTTTCTTGTGCAAGCCTGGATGAAATTCCTATATGATCTTTTCAAGCTTTTGGGTTTATCCTCACACGTACTTTGCTGCTGGAATGCCTATTTCTTTTTAAAAAAAATTACTCACAGGCTTCTTGAACTTTGACTCTTTCAGTTTACAATTAAGAGATTGCATCGACTAAAATTCATTTTCATGCACTAAAAACAACTAACTGGACACCTTTCAGTAGACGGAGTTTTGTGACTTGAGTCTAGTTGAGTCCTTATCAGAAAGTTACTCCTGTTGAGTTGAGTCATTAATTAGTCAAGAAGGCCGAGTTGAGTCACAGTTTGTGGTCAAGTTGAGTCAAATTTATGTTCGAGTCAATTTGATTTTATGATATTTCAACACCTTATAATAAATTTATAAATAATTTTTGACTGGAAGAACATACACAAGACACCCATTTATTATGAAGATCCAAAGACGTGAGTCCCATCCATGTCAATACAATGTATGTGCATTTTTTTCTTCTAAGCCCTCGAACACACAATACAATGTTTGTTCAGATATTTTGTAAATAATGTGTTCATATAATTATTAAAGAAGTATTTATTTGTCGGCTATATACACACATCTTTAAACAGTTGCTTTTTTGTTTCCCTGAACAGAAAATTTACTTATTGTTTTTATGAATAAAGGAGGTATTAATTACTAATAAATGAATCTTTATCATGTACCGACATAATCTTGTAAGCACTAAATAAGTTTAGAGTGTCAATGAAAAATGAAATAATAGTTATAATCCATGGATGATGCACAGACAATTTTTTTATTTTCAATTTCGAGAAGCACGATATGCAAGAAAAAACGTTTTTCAAGTTATGAAATGTCCAATGATTGTAGGCTGAAGCAATAAGTTATATACTTCAATAGGCAAATGGAAGTTTTTTTTCCTAAATGTATTTCTTGAAAGTGTGTCAATAAATATATAAAAAAAAGACACTGTGGCAATATTTTTGACGGGTTTTGTCTGCAATTTGTTGTCATGGACTCGACTCTCGATATTATGGCCTAAGTTCAATTTATCAATAACAAGCTTATGAAATGAACTTCTTTCAAGCCGAAAATGCCTCAACTTTTGGAACGAATTCCAAACGATTTAGGATGAAATTTACGTTTACATCGGTCTTTATGACATACTTGTTGATAATTTAGAGCAAACCTATTGATTCTCTCATTAATTTATCGTATTACAATGATCTAGAGCTAATTAAATTAGCCGGATCGCCGCATCTCTATTTTCCCGGTGAGCAGACGACGCTGTGTGTACATTCACATTTGGCCCCGCCCCTTAACACCTTTGACCTTCATTTTCCCAGCATGCCAGGCGAATACACCGCAGCGTTTGATTAGCCTCATTGCGTGGCTTTCCCTGAGTGTAACCCCGCGTATACACGTGTAAGCTAATCGAACGCACCCATTTTGACACATTTAAATTACACAATTCCAGGTGTTAAGATCGCGCAAGGCATGATGGGAAACAACATGGCGCAGCAAGATCGTACCCATGGGGAACGAGGTTGGTGTAGTGCAAACATTGATCTCCATGTACTGTGTATATGGAGATCAATGAGTGCAAACGAACGGAGTACGCGCGCGTGTTGGTTGGATAGGACATCGGGAAGTGTTTGTGCATGAATGCGCGGCCGAACAATGGCGGCGCGTTTACTGTCAGACGGGTAAACGCGCATTGTGCTTTCACTTTGTTTACTTTGGAAAATGGATTATTGAGTGAAATTTTTCTTACAGGAGGGAGTTCAAGCGCTCCTCCAAAACAATCTTTAAAAAAATAATAACTGAACGATGAAGAGTTACCCTCAATCCCTCCAAACAATTTTTCCACACTTTCTTGATATACACTTTCTTATTATGCATTTTCGAAATTCAAGAACCCCCCCCTTTCCTTTTCCCTTATTTTTTTTTTAATCCCTCTTCCTCCCAAAAATGATTGCAAGTAAATTGCCATTTCATTTTTGGCACATTGGTCATTAGAGCACACTGAATTACTCCATCAACGAAATTAATAAGTGAATTAATAATATGCTGAAATGACATCATATTTTTTTAACTGAACGCTCACACGAGAAATTGTATGGAGATCAAATGATTGATATATTTATTAAAAAACCTGAACATAAACCAATTACAATCTAAAAGGTAAAAAAACCCTTAATTTTACAAAGTAATCAGTAAAAACTTCTTCCCGTCCCTAGATTGATCATGGAATGACATCGTTTACCTCTTGTGATATTGTGTGAAAGGAGATGAATCACAAACCAAAATAGTACTATACTAATTTTGTCAAAGAATAATTCCAGCTATGCACGGTCTTGTTTACAATTAAATGTTTAGCTATACTTCTGAAAATAAATATAATTACTTGTAAGTGTAATGGGAATCGTTTTTGTGAGCGAATGACGGTGTATATGGCTATAGCTAGTAATCTTATATAACGGCGTACACAACATAATTTCAAACCGTAAAAGTACTCATTGCTTTCTTCACCATACAAACTGTCAATAATGTGACAGTCATCTTGGGAGCTCATAAAAATACTTGCGTTGAACTCCACAACTTCTTTCCAAAACCAAAACCAATCAATGTTAACAGTTCCACATCGTAAAAATTGATTAAGTCAAACGCTCAGATGCCTATCACATCGCATGTTCCATTCAGTGGATGATACAGTCGATTCCATCCCTAGCCCTCCGTGAAGTTCTCCATTTTCGTCCGGCTCAGTCCTGCAGCTGGTGGGTTTTGCTATATGGCTTTGCTGAATTTCTTTGTTTGATATGAAGGTCAATCGGCCAGTTGTGCAGTAAGTTAGCATAAACCATCTCCTCGGTTTCTCTTTATAAAAAAAAATAATACATGTAGAAACATTTCGGTGGGCGTTAAGCCAAGGTAGCTCTACTGAGTGGAGCGCTGGAACTTCGCCCGTGCAAGCTTGTACGGAGGGTACCGAAGTTCCAGCGCTCCACTGAGTAGAGCTAAAGCCAAGGCAGACATAATTCAATCAGATTTTGCATAAAAAAGTTATAAAGGTCATTCGAATAAACTATTTTAAACAAGTCAACTTTTGTTCATTGCCATTGCCGGATCAGTCATGCACGTTTAGGCCTATGTCTTAAAAAAACATGGATGGCGACCAGCATGACAGGTCTAGATCGCATGGAATTTAAACAAAATATCTCGCTAGCTACCACACAGGCCTCCATTCTCCTCAAACTCAGAGCGACAACATTAACGATATTAATAATAATTTGCTTTGTCATTGCCATGTTCATATTCCTCCATGTTGTATTGTTGATGTACCCTAACGTGGTGCGGCCCCCAACGTGGCGCACTTTGATTTTTCGCCTGTAGCGCCTAGCTAGAGCAAAAGTTTTAACTGAAATTTCACAGAAAGTGACATTTCATCAAGTTTTAAACACTCCCGTTCATAAATCGCGAGTTTATTTACCCGTTACAAAGTTAGAAGATAAACTTATTTTGGCGTGATTTTCCGATTTTATTTTCAAGTGCAAAGTGAACACTTTGAAAGTGCCCCGAAAAAATAAGAAAATAATTTTCTGACAAACATCTGGCTGTGTATTAAAGTAGAGATAATAATGATTTATCAGAATTTATCAAGTTAACAGAACTTCTTAAATGTTAATTTGGAATTTTCCGAGATTTATTTAAGTGCGCCACGTTAGGGAACACTCCGCGAATTTGTGCCCAATTTCCGGACGCCACCGTTTTTGAATTTCGGATTAAATTTTATGAAACCGAAATTGTTCACAGAGGTTAAATAGCACGCATTAATAAGGTAAAAGTACCAGTATGTTTATACTGCATGAATTTGAGGTTTGTCAACAAATAGGTTTGTCAACACTACTCGAGGAAAGTTGGGTAAGCTTCGAAGTGCGCCACGTTAGGGAACACGACTATATAGGCCTCGTTTAAAAAACAACTTACTTGCGAATAATTGTCCTATTCTTCAACGCTCCTTACTTCCCGACTCCAGCAATCTAATGCTGCGCACACCTTGACTATACTCTTCATCGATTTTGATCAATTTAGATCTCTGTTTCTTTTATTCTTTCAAAAATGACAAAGAAACCGAAGAAAACCCAACTTCATTTTTTAATCCTCCGTTCGAAAGTGTACACAACTCGAATGCGAAAATTGTGTTCTTTACCCTTTTCAAAAAACGCGCGCACGAACGCACGTTCGTACGCGATGTCCTATCCAGTCTGTGTATATGGAGATCAATGGTTCTCGGGCTGAAACACGCGCTAATGTCTTACACCATTGATCTCCTGTGTATATGGAGATCAATGTTTTACACACATTTTGTGCGTGTGACGTATTCACTTCGGTACTCCATAAGGTCCCATTTCCCGCAAGTTACTCGTGTTATCATAATATCACTATGTTGATAGGACACCGAGCAATGCAGAGATAGAGATGTATAATATTTGACATTTTGAATTTAATATCAGTAAAGACGAGGCAGCATTTCTTATTACACTTCTGTATTTTGATACAAAAGAAGACACTATTGGTCCTTAAAGCTATAGTCCATCATTTGCAGCAATCCGAAAAGTAACTGGCGTAATTATTGTTGAAAAACACACTTGGTTGAAAGATAGTAAGTGGACTAAACTCCCTGTGAAATTCTTTCTGGCAAGCTGTCATTTGAAGTAATCAACGAAAGAAGGCCTTTCCAACGGTGCGTCTTATTTAAAGACGCACCCGTAGGAAAATTTAAATTAGTAGTTCGTTTTGTTATTCGGCGAAGCGCGCGCAAGCATTGGCACGACGCACGCTCGCGCGCGGTTGCTATGATTCGTCCATAAATAGAATAAAAAGACTAGATCGGCAGCGCGTGCATAGCGCATACGCACGGCCTTGCCTGGAGGGTCACGTGCTGGAGGAAAGATACAAATTATTGCGCGCTAGACGTGACGAACGCAACGCCGTTTACGCGCACATTGCGAGTTTATTTTCTGTTACTTGAGACCTTCAATGCTAATAATAATTTTATACACAAGAAAATAAATAAGATAACATCGTTCCCATAATGTTGAAACCCCAGTCTACTCTTGTTTATTTCAATTATATCTCTTGAGCATGGATGCTTATGATTATGACTAGGGCCTACTTAGCAAAATTGGTTGTCTTAAAACAGGTTTACTTTGCAGAAAATAAACTGATTATCCCGTAGCCGAAATGAAAAGCGGCACGCTAATGTGTAAGCGTGCGTGAGCGCAGCGCGTAAATACTCGGTGCGCATTTCTAGCTTCGCGTTGAGCTAGGTCACGTGCTAGAGGAAATATCATACATTTAGCTCCATTACTTTACGTTAGTTTGTTGCGCGTCCACGAGAGACAACAAAAATGGCGGAGATTTATCGCACTGTGAACGGGCGCGTGTGGACGCGCTGCCGATCTAGTCTTTTTATTCTATATCTATGGATTCGTCGGATCGGTGCGCGACATCGTGTAGCTGCAATCAGCTCAGTGAGAACGTGCATGTCTCGGACGCTGAATTCAGGCCCAATTCAAAACATGATTCAGCAACTTTTGATTTGGAATTGAGATCCTAAAATGCTGTTTTTCTCGGAATATACAGCTGAAGCTGAGCTGAAACTTCATCAGGTTAGTTGTTCAGTATCCTTCATAAGATTCTGAACACTTTTGTTGCTTCAAACGAACAAAATGCACAAATTACAAATGATGGACTATATCTTTAAATCTGGAATAAACAAAAACAAATCGATTAACAATTTTTCAATCTAAAAATGTCTTGGCTTAAATTTAAGAGATGCTGACAATTACATATTACAATACCTCTTGTTTTTTTTCATTATGAATTGTTAATGTTTCCTGAATAACATTCAGTTTAATAGTTTGTAAGTATTTTGATGTCACATAAAATCTTGGGCCGCATGTAGTATCAAATAGTCCCACTTATCCAATGTTTTAGCTGCACAGAATTAGCAGAACATGTGCTGTGCTTGCTCCAAAGGTTACCATAGTACATTGTGTAACTTCATTGAATTAGACAATGTAAAATATCACTCATTATAATTACTCTTAAGAATTAAAAATGTTGCACTACATATAAGCAAATAATCTATTATTATAGTAGTAAAGAAAAGACAAGATTTCTTTATACATTTCTTTAATTTGATATAAAAAGAGATGCTTTTGGTCCATACATTTAGAGTATTACAAATTTTGGTCTAAGCGTTATCATACACTGTATAATGAGTCTCCGTCTGAAATGTTACATGTTTTCGTCCAACACAGTTAAAATCCCTAAAAACTGTTTTTGACTTTTTCATTATTATATATCTAGTTAATATAGTTTCTATATTAACCGTATAGTTTATTTCACTTCTTTAGCCTGTGGCTTACAAGACATATTGTTTTCAGCACCCATATTCTCAAACTGAAACTCTTGCAACCATTCATTTTATCAAGAAGCAGGTCAGCGAAGTATCAAGGCATACCAAATCGTATGCACTTCTTAATGCAAATTACAACTAACCTATACTTTTTATTCGTGACAGCACGTGTCACATTCAATCTTTATATTTTAGAACAATGATATTAATTCCCATTATTTTGCAACAATGGAGGATGTTTGATTTTTGTTTGTTTGACTATCCTGATGCTTGAAAGCGGAGTTAAATACGAAGTACATTTTGGAAGTATTTTTTGAATTTCCAAATGAAAACTTTCAGTAAATCGTTTAGTCTAAAATCAGGATCATCTTCACTTTTTATATATTTAGCACTAAAACAGCAGCAATTTTTTTTTTTAATGAGCGCAAGCGTGTGAGTTTCTGCGGCTCAGTCTATAACATCGCCTGCAAGTAAATATTAAATCAATCGGTATGCTGCCCTCAAGTGTTGAATAAGCTCCAGTTTTTCCTGCTTCGGCAGGAAGGACGCACGTGCTGCGTTCAGAGTCTGGAAAAAAATAAAACGATTTAAGAGACTTTATTTGAGTACTAAACAAGACAAATAAGGGGAATTCTTCTCAATAAAGAATAGCTTGTTTGTTTTTGTTTTGCGTATGTCCAATAGCTACAGGCTCAAAAGACTACTAGACTGCTGTGTAAACCTAAAAGTTTTGACCCAAGAAATCATGAAATTTACTTTTAACCATGAGATACTTTCAATTTGTAGTTAGTTTAAGATTTCCTTCTTAAAGTTAATAAAATGTGTTGAAAAAGTAAAGCAGATAAAAAGATCGATCATTATTTTGTTTTGTACATTGATGTTTATCCAGTGGAACAATGAAGAGTATTCTCCCATGTTTGACATTGGGTAGTCGGTGCAAAGATGCCATATAGTTCGCGACGTATTACTCGAAAGTCTGACAGCTAACATGTAAGTGAGAGGTGTGCAGCAAAAGCTAGGATGTTGTAGCGTTTTCCAGCAATACATTTCTTTTGAAGATTCTTTTTATGCGCTGAAGATTTCCGGTATTTGTTTTGTTTCTCCATCACCCTAGGCTTTGACATGGGTTACGCCCACGGCTTTTAAATAGGCAATTTTCAAAAACTTTTGATCATGGTACACGGGAGATTATTGGCTCCATTTAGGGGTACTACTACAATAAAAACTGTGAACTTATTTCTGACATTATAATGCGCTGCAAAATTGCTGGTTTGGGTTGGACATCTTAATTCTTATGTCAAGCTCCATGAGCGCCCATACAGCTCCATGTGGCGGGTACAGCGTGAGTTTAGGATAATGTGAAATACGGACTCATTGGTAGTATTGCGCATGCCTAAGTATGATAATTAGGAGAGTGATTGGTCACATGAGAGGTTGTCACCAATAATAGGGTAATGGAGTCCGATTCATTTATCCATGCCATGCCATGCCATGTCATTCCATTCCATTCCATGATTCATTTATTCATTGATTGTATGAAGACTACGAACCGCTTGTACAGCCTGCTCCTCAGACAGTGGAAAGTACTTCTTAGCAATCTGGAACTCGTCATTGATGGTGTTTGCAAAGACCGTTGGATCGTCAGTGTTCAGTGAAAAGTCCATTTTATCCTGAACAAACCTAGAAATAAACCAGCAAGTGATCATATTAAACTGCCTTCTATTAAGCCCCCTATTTCAAATAATAGAAAAAAATTTGCTGCATTGTTTATAAACAATACGTTTCATTTGACTTTAGTGTTCCATTTAAAATTGTACCCCAAGGGCGGATCGGGGGGGGGGCAAAAGGGGGCCATGCCCCCCCCCCCCAAAAAAAAACGAAACCAATTTTTTGTATGTGACGTCGCAATAAAGGCAGGCAATGAGTACACCACCATCTTTTCTTCCAAAAAACATTGGTTAAAGTGGTCAGAAATTGCCGCAGATTGCACCACAGAGCATCTAGAATCCCCCCCAAATTTTGACCCACTTTTCGGGGGACCAAATATTTTTTGCTCCCCCCCAAAAAAAATTGTGTTCTGGATCCACCCTTGTTGTACCCCATGCCCAATACGTTTGACGCTATATAAGCCGCTGACTACAACATGCCACACACCTTCCAAGTCTGTAAAATTAGAAGAAAAAAAACGAACGAAAAACAACAACTGACACTACAAGTATTTTGTTTGAAGGAATTGAATGATAGATTCGATTGCGCTTTCCAGCGGTATTGGGTCGATAAGTTACGTAACAAGTTCAACAGTGAAGGATGTGCACCGGAGGCGTTGTAAATTCATATCGAGTTGGGTTTTCAACCGAGTACCAACATTCACAGTGCCTGTAGAAGATCCGTGGTCCCATTGAGATGCGAATAGGAGGATTTAGCTAATTACCTTACACATGGATGCTTCGTGAAGTCGGGGTCGCATGACCCAGTGTAGACGCTGGATGTTGGGCAAATTTCGAGGTGGATGCCCTTATCTTTCACCATCTGAAAAAGGCAGAAGCACATTTTTTTCCGCAGCCAAGTATATCATTTAGTATCATAATACGCATGCGTGGAAACTATCACGTGATTGAAATAATATATGGCATGATTTGACTTAGATTTAGATTTCGAGCGAGGTTGGGAGCGACGCCATTGCCCGGTTCCTTCCTTTTTTTACTCGGATGTAAACTCCACAGGTATAGTGTCCCATTGGCCCCGGTATTTCCCTTTCTTTAATCGTGTTTAATCAAATCCTATTTTACGATGATATAATTGGCACCCATTATTTTCTGGTTCATCGCTCATGAGTAACTTTTTAAAGGAAATGAAAGTCCGAAAAATCACACCATTTAATCAACTGATGCATGCGCATTATGGTAGGTGAATAGTCTTTGCTGTAAAAAAAAAATGCTTATTGGAGCCTCGGCCTATTTCCTTTTTTTAATTGCTGAAATAGCCAAAATCTCAATACTTAGATTTAAGATGCGAATTGCCTACAGTTTGTTCGATGAAATAACCATGCAGAATGGCGATGTAGGCTTTAGGCAGTTTTATGTTTCCCTTACGCGCATCATTTCCAATGCTCTCCATTAGTAATGATCGATGCGCGTATGGGGAAATGCGGATGAGAAATGTCGGATACGTCACTGTTCGTGGTTATTTTATTGAGCATGCACGTTATTTGTGATTTCTACGGTCATTCCTGTGTCATCGTCCAACGCGTTGGTGTTCAAGTCTCTCATCCACAACTACGCATCATCATTAATGTCTACAATTCACATCTATGTCAGACATAATGATGTACCTGATAGACGTCATCATCGTCCACACTGTGGTAGCCATGTCCAATCCTCTCAGCCTTCAGTAACTCTATGGCTTTCTTGACATTACTGGCTGGACCATCTTCCCCTGCATGCACAGTGCGATGAATGCCACAACGCTCAGCTTCCTGTAATAATAAAAACAAAAGACGACTTGAAAAAAATACATTGGTTTACAAAACCATAGGTAGACCCAATAATGTAGATTTGGTCCGGGGTGATGATGCTTGTTGGGAATATACTGGTTCTCTTTGTGTAAACACGCAAACAGGCAAAAGTTTTGCGGTATTCGGAACGGATGACAGATAAACACGCAGGGATCGAGGCCCGAAATATAGGTGTGCTGCCCAAGGGTGATGGCTGTAACCCGCTTGGCTTGGGGTCGAGTGGAAAAGTAATCCCGCACCTCGTTCCGTTCTTGTCAAAATAATCCCGGCATGAATTGGCTAAATACATACAAATATTGGAGTTTGACTCTCATTCTCTAACCAATCATCTTGACACCTATGATAAGTTTGAAGCCGAGTCGGTCATATCAAACTTGACGAAGCAACAAAAAGAAAATACACCAAATAACAACCGAGAGTGGGGAAGTGTGCGACCTCCTTTGGTGCTGTGGATCAATTTTCGTGATCCTTCCCCAATTTCCATTGAGGACATTTTAAGTAGATACTTATGTGTAGAAAATCATTGACGGAAAGCATCGACTTGGTATGTGCGTAATCACGTGTTCACTGATAACTTCCAGTCACATGACAGAATTTCATGTCACATGATGAATTTTTTTCCAATGTCTTTTTTGTCGACGCAATTGCCTTTTACCAGACACCAGTTTGTTATAAAGACTTCTAATGAAAATCAAATTACTGACACGATGGCGTCATGCCACATTTTGTGTGTAAACACTTTTTATAGCTCCATGGTAAATCTAGCAATATTGCACTGTATGGTGAGTGGCATCTAAGAGGGATAAAACTTTGTTTCTATTGAATGTCCAAAAGTACAATACTGGTTTGCTAAATAAACAACACAAAAATCTCCTTATAGTACATGCCAGCGAGTCTTAACATTATGTACCTTAGCCTCCGTTAGACCACAAAATATCTCCAGCAGTACCGTGAAGGGCAAATATAACACGTGATGTAAGTACATGTACATGGTTCTTTATAAATCCATTTTGGTTCAAATACCTGGAAAACTCTAACGATTTCTGGATGAAAAACGTGGCCTTCTGTTTCGTCTGCACGTCCACAGTCAGCTATATCAATGCCAACTACGGATGGACTGTATTCCCGGCATAGCTGCAGACATTCTGCCGCCCATCCTGCAAGGCAATAGAAATAGCGCCATCAATCAACAACTCCATGCTATTCCCGCCTTGGAGAACAGAAGGTGAAGCTTATCATTGCAATAATAGCTGTCCTAAAATTAAAGAATATAATAATAAAGAACAACCTCCAATTGAGGGCAAATTATACGAAACTGTATAGGAAAGGGGTCTGCAACTCTAAATCAATATCAAAAAGCGCTCCGTAGGGTTTTATGAAATCCAGCACCCCTCGGTTTTAAAATTCGTCACGGCTGTTTGAATTCGTCGAGGCTGAATGAGTCCCCCTACCCCACGCTAACTCCCACCCCATCCCAACCACTACCTTACCTAAGACGAGTCATGTGTGTGCCATCGCATCGGGTGGAAAAGGGTCAATGGGTAATAAAGGGGGAATTGGATGTGGCTAGGAAATATGTAGAGAGAATGTAAACTAGGGAAAGACGGAACAAAATAAAGCATTTAAATTCATTCGATTTGGGAAGCATTTTGTTACCATATAATGCGAGCCAAAAAGAAAGCGACCAGGAGTAATCAATTTTTTCCTGAAAACATTTAAATTTGATAGAAATGAAGTATTTCTTAAAAGCGCATGTTCTTCCACGCATCCCCCCCCCCCCCCCCAAAAAAATTAGTGAAATTGATCCATGCTATCAGAAATTATGCACGTTTTACTAAAAGAACCATTATAGCTGTCCACGGAATGCCATTGGAAGCTATTGAGCAAAGTTACAAGCAGATTACAAGCATTTAAATACGAATGAGATTTTCATCATTTAATCAGGACTTAGTTCAAGGTTATTTTTTTCCTGTCCGATACATCTGACAGGAAATAATAGCCTTTGTGTTTTGAATATGAGTAAAGTCAACCCTTTTCCCCGAAATATTAATGGGGATTTGTTTGTTGTTTTCCTTTGCAATTTCTTGTTCATCTATGGAGGTTTAAAAACGTCCATGTTTCATTGTATTTAATGGGTATTCATCAGTTCGTAGAACGGTAAATGATCAGTGATATATGGACAGCTGAATTTTGTGATCTTTTTGTTAAAAAAGACATTATTTGGGAATAGAGTACATGTAAAATACGTGAAAATACGCGAGCCACTTATTGTGTTTAACTATTTTATTATAATTCAATCACTTTTTTGATTCACCCTGTGTTTTTCTTTCTCTGAGGAGGAGATTATACACGACGATTTGAAAAAAGAAATAGGAAAGTTAGAAAAGAGAGATAGCTTACCGGGCGTTTCTCTTGCAGTGCATATGATGAGTCTGGCCTTGACATTGAAGTCCTTCTGTCCTTTGTCTAATCCCTCTACAATGCTCTGCATTACCTCGCGTGTTGATAGCGCCTTCTCCTCAACATGGCCACTGTCTGGCCCTGAGTAGACCAATAACTGGGGGCTGAATCGCGTCTCAAAGTACACAACCCCTTCCCTTGCCTTGTCTTCGCAAAGTTCGTAGGAAATACGACGAAGAGCTTCCTTGTCACCTCTAAAAATAATAACACACATTACACAATACAGGCACTTCATAAACTTTAACCAGCTTTCACTGGACCCAAAGTTGCATTAGCTAAAACTTTAAGACTCACATTAGAGGTGGCAAAAAAATCTCGAACTTCTCCAGAAACTTAGGTAGGCTTCCCAATTCAATGTGGCGTATGATACTTGTCATCTCTTCAGCTGTTGAGCCCGGCACGTCGATTCCTCGCTTCCTGTACAACAAGGACAACAATTGCTAAAGTAATACAGGACACTTTGCAACCAAACTAATAGAAAATAATAGCACCTTGGATGGAATGTCATTCTATACACTCTTCTACTTAAAGTTTCGTCATTACACTAAGTATAACACATATCAATACAAATTCACAAATATCTAAGAAAGTTTACCCACTCCTATTTGTCGAGGGCCCATCACGTGGCCGATTTTAAACAGTTAATAAAGACCGGGGCCCAATTTCTTGGCTCTTAAAGCCAGCAAAAAATCCCTGCTTACTATAGCAGAAAAATCGGTGCTTACGGTAGGTGTATTTCACGTGTTAGCGAGGATTTTGGCTTTTGCGCATTCGTGCATCCCGCATGACCGGATCCAGAACACAATTTTTTGGGGGGGGGGGTCAAAAAATTTGTGTCTCCCAAAAAGTGGGTCAAAAAATTACCGCGTGGGGTTCGGGACCCGAATTTTTTTTGGATTCTCGATGCTCTGTGGTGCGATCCGAGGCAATTTCTGACCACTTTAGCCAATGTTTTTTGAGGAGAAGATGGTGGTGTACTCATTGCCTGCCTTTATTGCGACGTCACATACAAAAAAAAAAAATCAATTGGTTTCGGGGTTTTTTTTGGGGGGGGGGGCATGGCCCCCTTTGGCCCCCCCCCCGGATCCGCCCTTGGCATCCCGTAACTAAGGATTCTATACAGGGTAAGCACAGAAATTTTCTGCTGGCGCTGCTTGCACAAAATGGTGATCGTAAGCGTGGAATTCTGTGGCCCGGCTGGCTGGTCTTAAACAACTTTCCAGTGTCACATGAAATTTGGACTCCAGTGAAATCCGGTGCCTTTTCTCATTTTATTGGTTAAACGTTCACAAATAACAATTCTCACGTAAACATGCGCAATACTACCAGAGAGTCAGTATACAATACACTATACAATACACCGGAACAGCTGCGTTCTCCGCCACGCGCGCACTACGCGCGACGGGCGTGCCAATCTCCATAGAAGGAGTTGTTTACGACTACTGGCGCGGAAATGCCATAATATATCTATAGGGGTGTTTCGAAAAACATGAAGTAAACAAAATCATAGGACATTTATAATTTTTGACTTGTTTTGAGTTTTGGACCGAAAGGTTCTGATTTTTTGACCGCTCGGGTAATTATCAGCATCCAGACGCCGACCGGAATAGTGTTTAAAAACGGCCAAGCACACATTCATTCCCTCACGATAATACCGAACACCATATTCAGGAAAGCAAATGTGACGGAACTCACTTTGCAAGTTCCCAGATAGTAGATGGTCGGACGGCGCCATCCAGATGGAGATGGAGCTCCACCTGGAACAGGAAAGGAAGGACATTTGGTGAATTGTTTCCATGATCCTACAATGTACAGAGTAAAAACGGCTCCATTCTTTGAAACCACGTGCTTATATATGAATGTGGGTAATTCAAGGGGACAATTTTGCTATTTGCATCAAATCTGTATAATTACATGCATTTCATCAAATAGTCTCGTTGAGTTACGAAATTGGTCGGGGAAAAACTGTTTTTTGAAAACACTTTTTTCCCGACCAATTTTGTAACTTGTTCATTCAATCAAAAATAGTGTTCATTCCATTATTTCATGCGGTTTCTGAATCGCAGTTTAGAGTATTCGATTTCGTTTCAATGTGTGGGTTAACATTTTTTCGTGCAAGAGAATTTCATCCGGGGTGGTTACTTTTCAATTTCGCACCGACTAGGCGAATTTGCACAATAGAAGTAGACCTATTCATTGTCAACGAAGCTTCTATTGTTTTGATCTTTTCTTTTCGCTAGACGTCATTCGTATTGGCGATAGGAAAATCAGTTTCGTTCAAGGACATTTCTATGGTTTTCAAAACCAAATTCAAAACTCACGAAATTATATGCGCAAGTATATGGTTGCTGCCTGCTTCTTACGCATGAATGAAGTATAGTCAACTTTCGCTAAACTGAACCCCGTGTGCAAAAGCTTTATGCGAATTGAACAAGTTGCGAGAAAACCCATGACTTGCTGTATCTTGGCACATGATTTCTTTAAAGTAAACAATTCCAAATTCCAACTAGTCAATGAATAACTGCTTTCAAGATAGCATGAATCCACTAACAAAATAACGACGGACAGCCAGACTTAATTGCGCGTAGCCTAAGTGAAGGCAATATTTTTCAAGTCCACTTAAACTTCGTTATATCTCGCCAGGACTTATCTATAAACAGATATTAATTGTTTATATAAATAAATTTAAGGGTTCGCTGATTTCGGTACTATGGTTCGATCTTTTGAACGTTGTTTTGGTTAGAACAGCCTGGACGGTCTCTGACGGTTTCCAGCCCGTCTCTGGTCGAATGTGCAAGGTTCGGATAATTTAAAATTATCGATTTCTGCAATGTTCTCCGGGTCCTTAAAGTAGTCCATACAAACGTTTGGTACATTTATTCTTCTCATTAGGCTCCCCGTGCGCGTCGGCAAAACGAAAAAGTTCTTTTTCAATATAAGATGATGTCTCAAAACCGCCAAACTCACTTTTTTGACTGGAATCCTGCTGCTGCACAATTCTAACGTGTTTTTTTGATGGGGTTGCTTTCGAGTATAAGCTTTATATGGCCTCTCTGGGCTTCAATATATTTGGCACTGATTTTAGTCGGGCACAATTTACAGACGGTGTTGTAATTTTATAATTGTGCGTCTGGATGCCAGAATGAGGGAGCAATGGTTGTATATCTGGAATCTGTAAATAATAACAGTAATAAAGAATCTGTAAACACTTTTTATTAGCGCAATTATGTAAGGGAGCAGACTAATGACCAGCCTGGCAGCTCATGCACGATTTCAATGCCGCTGTATGGTCTAACGTTAATACTGTCACTGATTTTTGGTCTAGACTATCAACTTTCCCGAAGAATGTTCGTGTCGGTCAAGATCGTAAGTGGGTGCAGAATTCTCAAGCCTTATGGCTTTAATTACTGAGGTCACCACAAGCTCCACTCTGAATGATATTTTTGAGCGCTTTAAAGGGATTGAAGCTTCATCTGCAACATCAGCCGACATTTGATGAAAAAATTAAGAGGAAAAAAAACCGCGTCGCCGCACCACTTTTGGGCAAGTTCCACACCAAAAACCGGAGAATTTTTTGGCCTTACCTCAAATTTTACATTATATTCAGTCAACTCCATTCCATAAATGAAATTTGTGAGAGAAAGGTTAACCCAGCGGCCGTGTCATCAGCGACGCGTAACGGGAGGGGAGGCATGGCGGCCGGGCACGCACCTATTTTGTAGAATGAACTTGAACCCCACTCAAAACGTACTTCTTTGACCTTTTTACGTTTAGAATCACACTGAAAACAGAATTACAACAAGGTGTAATCAATGACGTAACATGAACTGTTTCTATAATTGTGTCGTTGTTGTGTTCTAAACACTTTGCAAACTGTAGCTCTTAATTGTATCGTGCAGCGGCATCGGATACTCGGGTACATGTATTGATTTCATACCGGTATTTCGCAGGTATTAGCCAAGCTCACGTTGGCACAATACGTCATTGTGCATTGAGCAAAATAATTCCCTCATGTCAAAACCGTCTGTCCTTTTATAGCGCCATGGTCGAAGACTTACGGTGCCCCTGACAAAGCCACCGACAACGCACCAAAGTAATGAGAGTCGTTCTTCTATTCTATGTGTACAATGTATTTGGCCATTAGAAAATCATCACGCACACACTGTACAGAAAAGCGCATCGTATCCTAACGTTCTCATGGATGATCATCAACTGAACAATTGGCTTGTTATTACTCGAACCCGTGCTTCGTTCGCCACGATACAAACACTTGCCTTGTCCCAAGTCCAATGGTGTAGCTGCTGATACTGAAACAATTAACAGTTCAGTACACAAGGCATACTGCTTTGAACAATATATAACCGCCATATCGTGATTATATACGAACCTTTGGAGCTAGTTGTTGAGATTTCGATTCATCCGCCATTATGCACTCTGTACAAACCTGCACACGGAAGCTTTTATTCACATGAATGTGCGGCAGTTATTACATACAGCTTTCCTGCCGACACCGCGCTTACAATTGTCCCCAGAGGCCCACCTTTGACATACTATGTCACATACTTAATCGGCCGTTTAAAGGCGCACTTGATTGTCAAAATCATGCCACAAAATCAGAAGATATTTGTGTCGTAATTTTCAAGTTTGAATGATCAAATTAAATTCTATAAAGGCCCTATAGACCTTTATCATGCTGCCACCATTTCCGTCATGTTATCAATGTATCAAAAAAAAAGAAGAAAAAATTTACTGAATGATAGTATTGGAATCAGACTATTTTTCCATCCAGCCTCGCTTTGGTAATGTTGATTTGAATGGAAAAAATGCAAATGGCCGCACAATGATAATGGTCTATTGACAGAGATGTGAACGCCACATACAGTGCATGCTCTAAAGACAATCACGTGATCCCGGAAGCTAAATACACGTGACGACGTCGGTAGGGTACCGGGTACCGTGCATGGCGTGATACCGAAATTCCTTCTTGAAACTTGGAGATATTGTGCAAGCATTCATCCGATTTCGTATTACAAACTTCCAGATAAATTGCACGTTACCTGTCTGTTATGCGTTGTTTTGATTTGCAGTCAGTGGTACATGTAGAATATCACTTCAAGGTATTGTCATTTGATTGAACCTGTCATAATCTTATGGATCCGACTTTCATTTATGTGAACCACTGTAAAAGGTAACCTAAGTCAAATTATGCATTGGGCATGGGTCGCATGTGGAGTGGGAAAATACAGTCGGTTAGTTCCGGACATGGGCGTCGCGAGGGGGGGGGGGGCAAGGGGGGCACTCCCCCCCCCGGAAAAGCAAAAAAAAAAAAAAAAAAAAAAAGGAAGAAAAAAAAACCAAAAAGAAAAAAAGAGGCGCGAAGACAAAGTGTTGTAAATTTAATGGATTTGGGGGGGGGGGGGGCAAAATGTCCCTGCCCCCCTCTAAAACTGATACATCGAGAATGTGTTGAGAAATACAAGCATTTTTTGGCAAACATTTTTCTGCCCCCCTCTAGAAAAAATCCTGGCGACGCCCATGGTTCCGGATAGTGAAAATCATTCAGTCTGTACTCGGGCTGCTCTCGGTTTAACACTTTACCCTAAGTGAGGCAGATATACTACAAAATAATTTTCCAAATTTAAGCTCCTTGGGTCATATTTTGAATATGCGACGTCTACAGTACCGATGCCGCAATAGTTCCGAGTAAACACTTCAGGATCGGGTTGAAATGCTGCTTCGCACTTCAAAACTAATCACTTCTAACATTTGTTTTGCAGCCAGACCCACTGAGAATCAAACAGATTTTATTTTTTGAAATGCGGCTCATTTAAAAGACTTCAATGATATTTTAAAAGAGAACTTGCATAAAATGAATGTTTACGAAACTTTCGTCTGCAGCGCGACATCAAACACGCATGGACTGAGAAAACCTTTGACCCATCACACAGATCAACACGTCACACAGAATCGACGTACGTATCATTTAGATTTTGGAAACAGTTCTTTCCAATTTTTTTTCCATAGAAATTCCTGGAAAAAAATAGCGAACCCCCACAGGCCTGCTCCGACACCCAATTTTTGATTAGGAGGTATGTACTTATTCTGTGATATAGTGTTAATAATCGTCGGATTTGAACAGCACCCCCTTTGAAATTATGGTACAAGCCCCGCCCCCTCCCCTGCTTTTTGAACTTATGGAGGACAAGTTTCAGGAGGAAAAAACGTGTCTACATTTCAGAATTTTTTGCCGTTAAAACCCCACTCTGCGAAAGTTCCTAGATCCGCCCCTGACGGTCCGTGACTACACTCGCAATCCGGAACTGGGCAAAAATATACATTCAGTTGTTGGCGATTTTGTACTTATTGGAGACTCTTCAAATTGTTTTGTTTAAAAAAAAATCGATGCAAGAGTTCATACGACTGTATAGTATAGAACATTTTCGAAGTCTAAAAAACCACAATGTCCTATTTTGATCTTAAATAACTCTGTTGTTTACCAATGGAATTGACCCAAATTTCAGATCATGTAAACAAGGCATGACAAATTTTATGGAGCGAGTTTCATCAGCTTTGTGCAAGAGGTTGAGATTTACACGCCAAACGAAAAGTACTAACATTCAGAATCTACAAATTTCGCATTAGCGTCCACTTTCGACTTGTCGATACAGCGCTGGAGACGGTAATGGAAGGCACGTGATCAGATGTACCTTTGGAACGCTCTATGTGTTGTGCCAAACGATCAAGTTGTGCAATGACATCAGGGGTGGTCCTGCATTCCTTCAGAAGATTTTGCCAACAGCACGCGCCTTCCGCCACCGTCTCTCAGGGCTATTTCGACAATGGTGGAAGCCAAGTCGAAAGTGACATATTTTCAAAGTGAATTTTTATTTCATATGGCGTTTAAATCTGTCTAAGTCCCTACATTCGAAGTCCAAAGGACAATGGAGGGACCGGGAACCAGTCTAGGTTGAACACCGTTCAATGGGTCGACTCCGAACATCGGAATGCACCCTTTGCACGCTCCGCCATAAGAATGCAGAGCCTCGATCTGGCAACTTTACACAATGAATATAGACGGTTCAGTGATTCTCGTGTCGGGGTTCAGTGATTCCCCTGTACACACGAGAAACACTGAACCGGCTATATTTATTGTGTAAAGTTGCCAGATCGAGGCTCTGCATGCTTATGGCGGAGCGTGCAAAAAGCAAATTGCTTCGTCTGTTAGACCCCCTTAACACAGGGTTGTGACATTTTCGCCTCCCTTGTGCAACCATAAAACTGACCAGGTCGCCGTTGGAGGCTCAAAAGGGGCCGAATGGTTGCCTAGGTCGTTCAAAGGTGGTACACAGGATGTTCAGACATCGCCATGGACGCCATGGTAGCCGTAAATGTTTGAACATGTTCAAAACAGTCGCACAAAGGTCGCCAAGGAGGTTGGTTGCTCAAAGTTGGCTCAAATGAGCCATAAGGAAGGCACAAGCATTGCCGTGGTTGCAGAATGGATGCACAATGGTTTGCCGATGGTCGCCACTTAATTATAGATCAGTCAAGGGCGGATCCGGGGGGGGGGGGGAGCGGGGCAAAGGGGGCCATGACCCCCTTAAAACGAAACTATTTTTTTTAATGTGAAGTCGCAATAAAGGCAGGCAATGAGTACACCACCATCTTTTCCTCAAAAAACATTGGTTAAAGTGGTCAGAAATTGCTTCAGATCGCACCACAGAGCATCTAGAATCCAAACAATTTTCGGGGCCCCTTAAGCGGGCGCCCCGAACCCCACACCGTAATTTTTTTGACCCACTTTTATGGGGGACCAAAATTTATTTAGCCCCCCAAAATTGGGTTCTGGATCCGCCCTTGAGATCAGTTCTGTTGCACATTTTCCGTCCATCTCGGCGATGCTTCTGCCTCCCTTGTGCCTCCTTTGGCCGACCGATTGAACGATGACTTTGGCCACTGCTGTGCCGCAATTCGGCGTTGGTTGCCTTAGGTTGCACAAGGGGAGCACAGGGGAGGCAGGCAAGTGGCTCAGTGGACACACAGGTCGCTCGTAGCTCGACATGAAAATGCCCGAATATTGCAGTTTTGGTGTTTCAAGGGAGGCACAAGGATCGCTGGAGCAGTTACATAGAAACAGGATTTTCTGGGTTTAGGCGACCATTGAGCGTCCTGGCCATTTTTGGTCGTTCATAGGTGGTACAAAGGTCGCAGCCAGTCTGTGTAAAGGGGGCGTTATTAGACGACGCCGAATTGAGAAGGATCGAAGTCGATGCGGCGGGATCATTTATGATAAATCTTACGCCATAACTTGCTGGAGTAAAGCGCCTGCTCACACGTTAACCAACCAGTGGCGGTGGAACAGTTTTGACAGGGATTGCCGGCCGCGATTTTTTTTACCGTAGGTAGGTGCATAATTCAGTGTTCCTTTGAATCGTTGCAAGACGCTTGGGCTCTCGTTCACTTTTTTCCCCTTAAAATAAAATTATCTCAACGATAAATTTAGAGAGGCAAAATAGTCGATGAAAATGAGCAGCAACGACTTGGATTCGAACCAGGGATCTTTGTATCCATAGCTCATCTCGCTATCCACTAGGCTACTGTGGTAACTCGACGACGTCCGTACTTTAAAGTGTTTTAAAGGTATAACTGCACAGTGCAACAATGCCCTTGATATCATTGTTCTGTTTCATGAATAAATATACTGGGCCCGATCCAAACTATTGAAATATTCGTGACTTTGGAAAAGAAATCGGCGGAGGGGAGGCGCTAAACTTCATTATCTCCAGAGACAGTAGGCTGCACAACTTATTGTTTTATGTTTACCCATCATTCGATTATTCGTGACCTTGCCAAGAGGAGGGCATTCCCCCATTTGAACAAGTTTCCGTTTCCGCCGCTAGTAGAACCAACCGTATACAAAAAATCGACTGCCTTTCGTCTTTATTTATCCAAGATTAAGTATATACAAATGTGAAAATGTCAGTATGTCTCAAACCAGTGAAACGTTTGTTACACGCACACACAAAATTGTTGTCACAGTTGGGAGCTTTATATGAAACTGACTGTCAAAACGCCCTATGGGGGGGGCGTTTTCGAAACGACTGGCTTTGGCTTTGGCTTCGTCTTCGGCTTAATGACATTTTAGGCCCCGACTTCGGCGACTCCAGCTACTTTTTGGTGCCTGCAGTGGCGTAGCCAGGAATTTTTCAGGGGGGGGGTTGCTGGGGGGCTGGAACATTTCATGGGGGCGTCATGTAGATCAATCTCAGTGGGGGCGACAAGGTTTCAGGGGGGGGGGGGGGCTGTCGCCCCCACGCCCGCCCGTGGCTACGCCACTTGGTGCCTTTTATGCTTCAGGAACATTCAATAGGTTGATATGAAGACAAAAGTTGGAATATTTTCGTTTAGTTTGCCTCTCAGTGGTTCAGAAGTAGCAGGCGAAGCCGAAGCCGAAGCTAAAGCAAAGGTTTCGAAAACCCCCTATACGCAAAACTTTCAAAGGGATTCGGGTTTAGCGCAGTGGGCCAGAATTCCTGCAGGCCTGGGCAATGTGTGGATTGGGTTTCCTACCTGTAATTTCTTCTCTCTCTCTACAGCTAGTTTCATCAGGATTTCCATCTACAGTTCCCAAAGCACTTTTGAGGAACCTTGGTTTCATTACCAGAAATAAATGATAAATTGAAAGTCATTATTACATTAAGTAAACATTTGCACAAACGGGAAACTCTGCATTTGGTCATCACCCTTTATTTTAACGCAAATGAATGAACAAATGACGACAGTATACATGCATTGAAGGGAATGTGACCAGGGAAAAAAGGGAACACAAACAAATGAACCAACCCTGCTTTTTACTGGCGTTAATTACATTTTAGGAAAGCACTATTTCAAATTAGTTTCTGTGGCTGCAGTCAAAGAAATGCCTATCTTGTTTTCGCTCTTTCTGAAATATCACTATTCCATTTTGGTAAACCGTTATACAATTCCAACTTCACTATTTCAAATTAGTTTCTGTGGCTTCAGTCAAAGAAATGCCTATCTTGTTTTCGCTCTTTCTGAAATATCACTATTCCATTTTGGTAAACCGTTATACAATTTCAACTTCTGATATATCTTAATATAATACTTTCGATCACGGTGCTATTGAGGTCGATATTGTTCAATGTTGCAGCTTTGTCTCTTCCCCCAAACATAAATAGTGAGGACAGAGACATGTCTTGATTCCTATTTGGTAACCAATTGACATCGAGATTACCAAGCTTATTACAGACTATTCCAACCAACTAAGAATCGAATTCACGCTTTTTGAATTCACTTTTTTCCAATGTTCATTTTCAACACTTGTGTAGTTAAAAAGATCACTTATGTGTTAAAGTTTTACTCTATGTTGTAGCATAATACACATTTTGTTTAAAGTTCATTAAATGACTGAAATAAAGCAAACTTAGAATTGCTTTGGGAAAAAGACAAAATTCTGAAGGAGTCTTGGATTCAGCATTGGATTAACGCCCATTCCACTGCACGATTGGTGCAAGTACAATGTCATTGTTTTTGTTTTAACATACCAGTTGCTGATCATCCGAGGGGTATTAGTAAATGGTTATATTGTCGTAAAATATCAAATAATATATTTTGGATAAATTTTACACCTACCTCCTCTCCACTACCGTTTTGTTTTTTATACCTGGTAATTTTTCTAGGCCAACATGCCTCTTTGTTGTATTCTATAATAATTGACCACATCCTTGCTGTTTATATTTGTTCGTGTTTAACTCAAAAATCTTTGTTTTCTCATCTTTTTACCAAAAAAGATGACTTTTTATTAAAGAAACAATTGGTAGAAAATCAATGCGTATAAGCAAAGGAGCTGTGTTATTAAAATATTCTTGGAAACAAAATTGAGATGTGCCAACCCTTGGCTAACTGTACATGTAGGTTGCAAACATTAGCCGATGTTCTGGCTAATGCTGTGGGCACGGATCACGATACACCACATAATGCTGTGAACATATTGAATTAGCTGACCAAACACTGAGCAACCATATTCAGCAAATTATGTCACAGTCTGCCCAAAATATCAACACGCTGTAGAGTCTTTCTTGTAGCAATGAGAATCCAGATGTCCAACTCACCCCTCATCCCTTCACCAATAGTGGTGAACTACGATGTGTGGTACCTGGTCCAGGCCCTCTTCCAACGTTTCATCGAAGTAATGAGCGAAAGCTAGTTTAGTGTCACTCATCCAAAATCCTAGCAATTTAGTCCCCACAAGATCATGAAACATAATCCCTCTCAAATCTTTCACAGCCTGGAGGCCATTCGCTCTGTCAATCATCCACAATGAGCTGGCACCTGTCATCTCATCGCAGACAATCAATTTATTGCCGCGGACACAACTTGAGTTCAGTACACCTTTACAATCTCCAGAAGTCTTGATCTTCCCAATGTACTTGCCGTCTAGGGTATAGACACTAACATCAGTACCCCACATTGATTGTGGACCAAAGATTGCGAGAAACTCACCAGAGAACTCATATGACGATGTTTTCTTATCGCTTTTGTCATCGTCACGATCAAAACGAATGTGGTATGTCTTGTAGCACTCCCCTGATTTCACATCAAACAATTCTACTGTGTTGGTCTCATCACCAATGATGAGAGTTCCGTTGCTGAGATGGCAATAAGTAAACCTGTCTACAAAGTTACACATTAAAATCGTTATTATGACATGCATGCATACACCGCTCTGTGCATTCCAAAACCGAATTGATCGGTCAACATAAACAGCGGCCACCGTTTTATCCGCATAATCCATGAGTTCCATCTTAGATCTGGAATTGTCCTCTCTGCGAAAAAGAAAACGAAGGTCACCATTTGCTGAACTCCAAACTCGGATGTCACTGTCCATAATTGTGTGCTGTCGGCCTGTAGGCTGAGCGACACTGACAATTGTGTCATCGTCAATAAACAATTTGGATACTGGAAGTCGATGACGAGACATAGCCTGCAGTTGTTGCCCTGTTTTGGCAGAGTATGTACGAATCATCCCATCTCTACAACCTACAGCTATGATGCCATTTTTAATTTTCAAGCATTCGCTTTTGTCACAGATGTCTACGTGTATGGTGTGCTGTAGTTTCCCACTGTACATATCCCACACCATGACTGTGCCATTCGAAACTCCTGCTGCTAGGTAGGTACCCTCTCCATGTAGATTATATATCCGCAAATGAGTGGGAGAATCCCATATTGTTGGACTGAACCGACCAGCACATCCCTCCGAGCCAAACTCGAAAGAGACAACGTGGTGACTGTTATCCCTCCATTTCCTTGCGAGATGATGTGCTTTCATGTAGACCGTCTTCCATTTGCACGTGTCCATCAGTCCAGGCCAGTCAGTACCACTAACAACGGTATCGAACGAGAAGTTCACATCTTTACCATTGCTCTGCTTGTCCACAGGAATGAATGCAGTGCTTTCGTCAAGGTCTTCAGCTCTACCAATGTGCCTCCATCCTTCTGCTTGACAAAGAGGGCGCCACAGAGCATCATGATTGGTTGTTTCTCTCAAAGATTTATTGCACAATGCAACATGACAAAGATCTTTGGGTGTTAAATATTGCAGAACTTGAAGCAGCATCTCATTAGGAAGACTACCAAATTCCACTCGCTGAAGGGAGGATGCCATCATTCACTCACTTTGAAAGAAAGAAAAGGTAAGAAACAGATGCTTGAGGATATGAAGAGTTTATTTCCAATACAAAAGAAAAAGGGGAACATTTGGCACGGTTATGACACTATAAAGAACAAAAACAGTTTAACAGCTATTTCTAGACTTCGCATTGCTTTATTGTAATCTTAACTTGTGCTTAAGTATACAGTATGTTCCTTAAAAGTGTCCATCTGACTATAAACCATGAAGTCATATTGGAAATTGTTAATTGTTCAAATAATTTTTTCCCTCATGCCTCACTGCACAATGGTCAATTGATCACAACAGCACTGAACACTGTGACCAAAATCAGTTTCAGTGCTTTGTTATGTAAGATGTGTAAAATCCTGCATGTTGTGAAAAGGGCTGCAGTTGGGATTGGAATCATGCATCAGTTTAATGCTCAAGGGCAAATGATTCCCGATCCCCAACAACATCAGCCCTTTTCACAACATTTTACACAGTACATGTACATAACACGGCACTGAAATCGATTCGGGCATGGAACTTGGGCACAGTGTCCAAAAATGTTGCTGCGATCAATTGACCATTGTGCAGCGAGGCATGATGGACATTAAATTAAATCAACAGGAGTTTGGGCATAGGATAAAGGGTACAATTAACAATTTACAATTTTTTTTATTATGGTTAAATTAAATTGTAGTTATTTTTTAAAATAGTCAGACGGACACTGTTTTGGGGACATACTGTATAACAGCCATCGAAATTGATTTTTGGCAGCAAAAGGAGAGAACAGGATTCTAAAAGGAAACGCAATGGCATAGATCGCGGTTTGGCAATAATGAAGTCTTCAACTTTTTGTAATTATTCGAGAGTAGGGTATGTTTCTAAGGTATGCACAGAATATGCGTACATGAGGCTAGCAGGAAGTGAGTACACAACTAACAGTTCTAACCTGTTGCTGATCTCCTTTGCATACCTGATTCTGATGTTCATACCAACATCACGAGTGCGATCATTCTATTGCGGGTCGTACCTTTAACATTAATGCTATATCAGCTTTTTATTGTCGGGTGTACACTTTGGATTTGTTCCTAGATACATCGTGTATTCGTGTAATGTGAACATTGTCAAAGAGAAGGTTTGTTCGATCAGAAATGAATCACATGTAAATGCCTCAAATTATCCTAAAGATGATATGGCAAATTTACACAATGAACTCAAAAGAAATAATACCTTATTATCGTAACTTCATCAAAACGTATGCAATTCCGAATTGTTTTTGACAAATATCGCATTGCGGCGATATTATCGTATCGTCCAGCACTATCGTGTAATGTGAAAAATTCTTAAAGAGAAGGTCTGTCTGATCAGAGATGAATCATATTAATGCCTCAAATTATCCTAAAGATTTGCACAATGAACTCAATACCTTATTTTGTAACTTCACTTGAAATCAGCCAGTGACTAACGAACCTGAAGATGAAAAACACAAACAATTTAATTAACTCCGAATAGAACATTGTTTCTATTTAAACCCACTCCAAAGGGGAGCTACGTGCTGAGCTAAAAAGATTAACCAGCCAATGAAATCACGCAAAGTGCACTCGTGATTAGGCCTATGTGTCCAAATCTTCTATAGCCTGCTGGCGTTTGTCCCCATTTTATTTTAAAATCACTAGACCGACAAAGAAGAACAATGTGCTTTCATTGACTATAGTGAATCTGTTTAGCTCAGCTCGCAGCTCAATCCTCCGGCCCCCGCGAATGGGAGCTACGCGCTAAATGCGGAGCCAAAAAAATTCTCGGCGATATTTTCGCCTCGCGAGGCAAAAGAAATCAAACAGGGGAGGAGGAGCCCCATAAATGTGGCCTATTTGCCGTAAATAAAGGCAACACTTGGAACATGTACCCGAACATTTAGAACTTTGTAAATTTTCGATTTTTACATTGATGCTCTGTTTGTAGAGTTTGTTTTGCTTTAAAGCATACTGCCGGACACTATTTATAGGATAAAAAATTTGCTGCATTTGTCAGACGTCTATTATTCGTGTAGTTTCCAGATTCGTTTGCACAAAATAAATATTGCGTATCAAAATTGCAAAATGAAATTACACGCAAAAATGACATCTGAAAAAGGCAGCACTTTTTTTACTATCCTATAATGGGGTGAGTATGCTTCTAAAGAAAAAAAATCTACGAACAAAGCCTAAATGTGAAAATAAATGTGGCCTTTATTTCGCTTAGTAAATTTCAGTCCAGTAAATTGGCCACATTTATGGGGCTAGGGGGGGGGGAAAGATAGGCTCCAAGCAAACTTTTAAGAAAAATTGGATCCGCCTACTTATAAGCCAGTGGATATTTTGCTGTCACTGACTTTATACTTCCTAACGCTAGTTTGCCGTCAGTGCGCTCTGAGAACCCATGTCAGTATAGTTTCGGTGGAATCACTGCAAGACACTAAGGTTCTTGGACTCTTCTTTTCCGTTAAATTAAAACTCAACTATAAATTTGGGGAAGTAAATAGTAGATGAAAAATGTGCATTTGTGGATTCGTACCAGGGATAATTCGATCACCAGACTATACAAGCTCGATGACAGCCGTTTCTATTAATGTACCGTCACAGCAACCTAGTTGACTTAATACCAACAATATACCTGGCCCCATAAATACGACCAATTTACTGGACTACCTCCGTAAATATAGGCCACACTTGGATATGAATCCGAACATGTAGAACTTTGTCAACTTTTTATTTTCACATTTAGACTTTGTAGTTTATTTATGCTTTAGAAACACACGTTCCCTCTTGAAAGCGATATAATTATTTCCTCCTTCTTCAGGCGTCTATTTTTCTTATAATTTCATGTTGGAATTTAGATACGCTAATGTGAGCAAAAGGAACCTAGAAATTACACGAAATTTAGACGTCTACAAAGGGGGGAGGGGAATAATTTGTATCGCTCAGTTAAAGAGGGTGCGTGTGCTTTTAAAGCGTAAATAAACTACAAACAAATGTGAAACATAAACTTGCCAAAGTTCTACATATTTGCGTACATGTTCCAAGTGTGGCCTTTCTAGGAAGGTACGCTGATGGTAAAATAGAGTAAGGAGGTATATACTCCCGGTTACGGCAAAATATCCACTATCTTCTTGTTGCAACTTTTCATCACTACTTATACGGGGCGAGTTAGGACAGCAGTTCAAATAAACTAATTAATTTATACAGGAATTTGTTGTACAAAATACAAGGAAAGGGAAAGAATTTTGCAACCTGACGCTAGTATAGCCCCATAAATATGGCTAATTTACTGGACTACCTCGATCCGTAAACATAGGCCACACGGCCACGTGTACAAAAACGTGTCGAACTTTGTCAAATTTCGATTTTCACATTTAAGCTTAGTTTGTAGTTTTTTTGCTTTAGAAGCAAAGCTCACCCTCTTTATATGCTAATCAGAAGGTGCTGCCTTTCAGATGTCTAATTTTTGTGAAATTTTATGTTGAAATTTTGATACGCAAACGTGTGCCAATGAATCTGGAAATTTCACGAAAAATAGACATCTGAAAAAGGCAGCACTTTCTGATTAGCATATAAAGGGGTTGAGTGTGCTTCTAAAGCAAAAAAACTACAAACTAAGCCTAAATGTGAAAATCTAAATTTGACAAAGTTCGACACGTTTTTGTACATGTGGACGTGTGACCTATGTTTACGGAGGTAGTCCAGTAAATTGGCCACATCTAAGGGGCTACTACAGTGGTTGTGTACAAAGTCTATGGAGAGTCTAGAAATGTTTTAAGCATTTCCTAAACATTGAAAATATACGTTTCTCAGACCCACTCTTATCATCATTCTTGCAATAACCGACCTTTGCTGAGATGATATATGAAATGATAAATCCGGTAAAAACACCATAACTCTACTCCCAACCAAGGGGGAATTTAACTAAGTTGCCCTGCACTACATACAACTTACGCGGTGCAATGCTTTCCCTGTTGCCACGCCCAGGCAAACCCTGCACTGGTCTTCACAGCCCTCCACAGACAACCTGTACCCAAGCGCACTTGTTTTCAGTCTGCACAGCACCTAGCAGACTGCACTGAAGTGCACATGGCTATTTCAAATTCCTGGCTGGCCTGATCCACACACAGCTAAGGGGTGTGATGGGTGAGGACTGAGGGCTAAACTAAGTAGACGGCAGGGAGGAAGGTAATGATGAGGGACTATTTTCGTTACATGTGTGTCCTTTTGGCACTTGTTTTCCTTCCCACAACTATATTTCACAACCAAGGAATGCAACAAGGACGTCAACGAATTAAATTTCTGGATCCACCCCTGCTAGCCCCAACTATAGGCTCTTGAACCGTGCCAGAACCGCGCCTGGACGTTATACAGGAGCTCGTCCAGAGTGACCGTTTTAGCCGATTTTCGGCTAACTTTGACAGATTTTTGTTAAAAATGAGTTTTACAGAAAAATTGACAGAATGGATTTTTTGGCAGATTTCTGGCAGAATTCTGCAAAAATGGTTATTTAACAGAAAAAAATAACAAATTTGAAAAAAAGGGTAGATTTGTTTAGAAAAAAAGTCAATGTTTTCAAACAAACCCTTGCAAAATAGGACAGGTTGCCTTGTCTATGTGCTGAGGTTCACTGGGAATCAGATTTCGTCGTGACGCAACCTAGCTTGTTTTAACTTAAATTTACGCAATTTCGTAACACCTTTATATGACTATAGATTGTTTATAATGTAATTTGAATCTTAATTAAGGCAATATTACAACATGTCAATGTGATTTTAAGTGCTAGCCGAATCTTGAATGGATGAGGAGGTTTACACCCCTAGAACTCAAAATCACAATGGTAATGTTTGCGTGTAAACCAGCCTAATGCAAATTGGCAAAAAGGCTAGCTGCAAATGTGAGAGCAGTTTCTGTGATGATGCGGACGAATTTTCCACATATTTTAATCTGCATTTCCACATTAGATCATGTCATTATTGTTTCCCGTTCTTCTTAGAAGAATACTGGGTTACCTGGATATGATAAATGATTTTCCCTTAATTATAATTCAGACAAAGCGCATCAGACGAACACGTTTAATTCTTCCACGCACTCATGAAAATTTGTGAAATTGATGATCCATGCTATCAGATTAGACTGAGAGCTGGATAGGGGTTTGATCAAAACTCGGGAACAAATCCCTGTATGGTCTCATAGCATAGTATCATCGACCCTGATCACAAAATGGCAAGTCTTAAATTTTGCTTACTTACTTACTTACTTACTTAGGTTGATGGGAATAGAATAGGCTAAGCCTTTGTGACCCCATATCCAATTTCTTTCCACTAGGCATCAAGATGGTTCTTAAACAGGTTTGTTGAGGTTGCATTCACCACATGTGATGGGAGGTTGTTCCATTCAGAAATAACTCGGATGGAAACGAAGTTTTTTCTGCAGTTCAACCCCAACCTCGTCCCCAGTGCTTACTTTATTTCCAACCGCGTTTCCAATAGTAAACCCTGCATGGATAGGAAACTTTCTTCCTGTATCCTGATTGGATAGCGCAATTGGCTAGTAATGGATTTTTATCGTGTACTTTCTGCTATTATTCACAATTAACGTGCAGTACGTGTTTTCGCGATCATTCGTCCACGCCTTCTCAAAAATACTAATTTCCTTTCCAATTTGCTCATATTAGTATGGAATATGATACTGCATGTTGTCTCGATAAGATCGTAACAGTTTGATTTCAAAAATCGTGTTTTCGTAACTCACGCCGTGCTCGCGCTGCTACGAATTGACTCTGTTTTTACCCCAGACAACGCATACAAAAACAAACGCTAATGTGTAACGCATATCCAGGCACCAGACTGTTCCTCATTTGCATACGTGTTCAAAAATCTTGCACATGCAAATGATCCAATACCAGGGTGAGAGAGCAGGTAGTGGTGGGCGCGTGCTGCTCGACACCCTGGGGACGAGGTTGGTTCAATCCTTTCTTTAATCCTGGTTTGTAGATCGAGCTTTAGGTTGTGACCTCTGACTTGGAATGGGTTGTCGTGTCTCTGAAAAGCTTGCTTTCCTCAATGCCTTCCAAGCCGTTTAGGATCTTATAAACCTCGATCAGGTCACCTCGTTGTCTTCTTGCTTCCAAACTGTACAGGTCCAACTCCAATAATCTCTCTGTATAAGTTTTGTTTTTCAAGCTTGGAATGATCTAGGTTGCCATGCGCTGTACCTTTTCTAACACCGTCACATCTTTCTTGAGACTTGGGCTCCATGCTTGGATACAATATTCAAGGTGTGGACGAATGTATGTCTTGTAGAGGGTGGTGAAGCATTTTTTGTCGTAGTGTGTGAATGTCCTCTTGATTATTCTTAAATTAGCCATTGCCTTACTTGCTGCTGTTGCACACTGCTTGGTGGTCTTACAGTCCTCTGTTATTTTTTTTATAGACTCCTAGATCTTTCTCTTCACTGTCGTGAGGTATCTCTAGATCGCTAGTATTGCTAGATCAGATCTCTCCGTCAGATCTCTCCGTCATTGGCCCTTATGCCAAAATGGGTCGTAATTATCAAAATTTTTGAGGTAAGAACGAATAGGTTTCGTTCGATAGCTGGAGATTTGTGGATAATGGAAAAATAGTTTGTTCCCGACAATTTTGGCTATTGCTTTCAGGAAGCTAGAGGGCGCCCTCTAGATACTGCCAAAAGGCGCATGGGGAATTTTCGGGTATTGGGGGGGGGGGGGGGGGGGGGCTTGTTTTCAATAGTTAGTTTGGGGACAAATGTTTCTGATTTTTTATTAAAAAAAAAGCAAACTTGCAGGATCCATTTTGAAGGCACTATACACCCCTCCCCCAACAAATTCAGGTGCTAATTAGTTTTGTTTTCTTGTTTGTAAAATTGTTTTGAAATCAAAGATAACGATTCTGTAGTTCGATCAATCAACTCATCCCCCGGCCCTATATTCCGTTTAAGTTTTCGAATTTGTGACGCAACATAAACCAGGATACTATAGAACTATTACATGATAGAGTGCGCAAAAATAGTATGTAAGCAAATAAACAAACAAACCCAAAATAAACAGAAGGTAAACATGTAAGCTATAAATTATTTTATTGTAATCATAAATGATGCGCATCGCATGCGTGTGAATTGTGCAGAAAGGCAGCCGCGGCGCGCCACAAACTCACGATACACGAAAAATCGCGGGAAATTTCCTTCTCCTTAGCCATTTTGTTTCGTCTCCTTTCATTGGCTGAATGTCACCCTTGACGCTCTCTTAAACCAATCACGTTGCAATTTACGTAAGTACAGCGCCATATTGGCAAACCAGATCGGAACGTGAGTTTTGCACAACAGGTAAAAGTAAATCCATTAAAATTGTGATTTATCATAATAACCACGAAATTGTTTTCGTATTTGTACTAGTTTAGTAATTTTAAAGTGAACACACACCATTATCCTTCTGAATGGTATTTTAATAGCATGCCAAGATGTTATTATTTTCTCTTTTAAATAATGGAGCATGACCACGATGTCGCCGCGCCTAAGCTACGTGAATTTGTGTTATTTCGAAATGTCATCCATTTTGGACATGCTTGTCCTGTCGATGTCCGACCACACGAGTAGCGGCCAATCGGATTTTGTTCACGTCAAAATCACCCCATCAATTGTGTCCTGATACTACTTTTTACTAGACTACTTCTGTTCGTTTGGGGGTGATATTCGAGTTGAACACTGGATGGCACTGCAGTTTTTAGAACAATTTCGGTGTCGAGCATGAACATGATGAATGAACAGATGAAACTTGAAATGAAAGTCTGTTTCGGAAAGAATGTTGCAACCTGACCCTGCTTTTGTTGCTTTGGCGATCGTGTAGTGTAGGGCCCCAGTTTTGTTTTGATCAAATTAAAGTCAAAGATATTTTTATTGCTCAAAAATTACCTTTTCAATCAAAAGCAGACTTCTGTCAATTCTAACATGTCTAATGACAGCTGTTTTTGAATTTTGGACAGTTTCTTGGGATAGAAATCACGATTTTCCTGCGAGGTTTACTGCCGGTTGGTGCCTGGCGATTCAGCGCGCGGTGATTGCAATCTTCATTTTGGGGTTACGTGTAGTCTCCGCGCTGTCATCATGGTCATTGTCATTTTACCCCCAAATTTCACTCAAAAAATCATAACCATGCCCTTTTCTATGACATACCTGTTTATTCAGAATGTCAATTTGTTGTGTCATTTTTCTTCTTTTTCAATGCCTTGAAATAAACTTGGATATGACATAATCATTCTCAGTGGAATAGCATGGTCATTTTTATTGGGGGGGGGGGGTAAAAGTTTTTGAAAAGGGCACTGGCACATCCGTTGTGAAATGTAGACAGATTTTTTTCTCCGGACACTTATCCTCCATAAAATCAAAAAGCGGGGGTTGGGGGGGGGGGGGGGGCTGGTACCATCTGTCCATGGGGGCGCTGTTCAAAACCAACGATTATGCATACCAACGGCCAATATATGGTGCTTTTCAGGGTGATACATGTGCGAAATTCAGAAAAGGGCACCCAAAACGGCAGATGCTACACAAAAACGTCTTTTAAAAAGAGGCACTTGTTCAAAAAGAAAGGGCACTTCTTAAAAAAAACAGGGCACTCTTTACAAATTATTGGGGGGGGGGGGGTGAGCCCGTTAAAAAGAGGGCATTTGAATGGAAAAGGGCAGTCTTTACAAAATATTGGGGGGGGGGTAAATATGCCTATGATTCTAGCATTTTAAAAGTCATCTTTTACACCCAATTCGTGGGCGTGGTCTCAATGTGTAAAGGGGTGGCGTATTCAAGTGGTCTGATCCATTTGTGACAAATATCGTGCATTTTCGTGACAAAACCATGAAAATTGGCAGGCCTGGTTGAACCTAAAAAGGGTTTAACATATTTTTATGGGATGGATCCCCTTTGTAATTTGCCTATTGTGGGGCGGAGCTTTATTTGAAAAGGGGTGCACAAAATCCCAAAAAACTGTTTGATTGAACTTAAAGGGAATACACAACATTTTCAAACATTGGAAAACAAACTACCAAATTTTTACGAAATAGCTAGGATGTTGGTAAATGAAAGTCTGAAGCATCCTGTAAAATTATGGCACCTGGTGTGAAGTCATTTCCAAGAAAAGTGGTATTTTGTATAAATTTCCAACGGTGGTCGGCCGACCACCGTTGGAAAAACCTAACTATTTTTCAACTACTGCTCCAAATTTACCCTTTTTTCAGTCCAAATTTTGTTTGCTATCGGTTCCATGTTCATGAACGGGTGCAGACCAGCTAGATTGGTTTCCTTACCTTACAATTTCCGGCATCTATAAATTGATGCATTTTATCTTAAGTGGAGTCAGGGAACCAGACTACTTGAACATTTTTGTTTTTCCTGGTTTTTCCAGCATTTTTTGAACACAAAACTTCAAACTTGTCAGTGTAACAATATTTGATCTATTATACTTACCCCTCAAATAGTTCATTTCTGTAAATTACAGCAAAAGCCAATGATGTACGTTCCCTTGAACCATTGTTGAAGAGTTGGCGTTAATTTGTTTGCATGTTTGCATCATTATAAATGTACATGTAATGGTCATGAGTAGTATAAATACACTTGTACTGAGTAGCACGAATTGCAGCGTTTTTATTTAGGACTTGGGGTTGTATGATATATTGCAGAGAAGTCTCAAAGAACATCTTCCAAACGTCTTCTCAAAGCTTTACATGTATGCACATGTAAAATGTACCTGATTAGACTGAAATTTCATGATATATGTACAAGTACATATATGTACACATGTTCCACCACGTACATGTCTGACTGACATGACCACATATAGTGTACATGTACTTGTGCCATGCTTCCAGAGACATTTTGTACTCCCTATCATCATGGTCATGTGACAGAGGACTTGGGTGAAAGTGTCTGTGATAGCAGTTACATTGAAGGAAATCATCCTGCATGTACATGGACATGCTTATTAAACCATGGAGGAAGGACAACACATGAGCAGTGTATCAGTATTCATATCATATACATGTACGTGTACATGTACATGTATGTGATATCTTGATGACATTTTTGTGTCCAGTTGTTGATGGAAGCAGCTTCTGAAATAATAATCATTATGTAATGTCATTACAAGGAACCCTCCTATCCTTTTGCACTTCCAAAATCTTACAGTTTTTAAAAAAGTGTACAACCCATGTTTTGACTGTGCCTGAAGTATACACACTATGACTCGAACAACAGGTGCAGTGAGCGTCTGTTCCCGACAATTACATCCGTTTGTTTCATATGTCTGTCAGCTGATTTTGACCGAGGTAGTCTGATTACATATATGTCTGACCCATTAGTTTTGACGGGAAACATTGTCTTTCCCATGATGTCTGACGGACAATGGTGTCTGACCGATTGGTTGGAAACAACTGGCTGTTGGACAAAATGGGTCAGACAGGATCATCATGAAAACATGCCACTTCCCTCCCTGTGACATACATGTACATGTACCCAGGTTGTGATGTCACCTAATGGTACATGGACATATGACCTCATAACGGTCCTCCCCCGTACTGATCAGTACGTCTGCCCACCTCAACTGAGAACTATGACAGATATGCTTTCTTTATCTGACATCATATCCTGTTGTCCCTGAAGGTTCATTCTCTGAAACTCTATAAAAATGTCCCCATTTTTCTACTTCTGTCATCTCTCCTCCTGAACACAGTGGTGAGCTGTAAACTGCTTCAGCCCTATGTTCTGTGGTTCAGAACTTTCTTCTAATTTTGTACACTCTCGCTACACTCTTCATACTTTGCTGTCTGGTACCCAGAGGTAGACCGAGAAGCCCCAACTGAATGTATTCTTGTTTTGTAAGCCCAGCCCTCCAACATTTATTATGTTTGTCTTTCATTTTTGAGATTGATTCCTACGTTGTAGAAAATCACTTCAATTTGCAGATTCAGCATACTGTATTCTGTTCATTTTTACTACAGACCAGAGTGAATACATGTGTGTACCAATTGTAGTAACTGTTATACTTGTATCTGATTGTTTTTGCAGAATCCTGAGGAAGTTCTATTATGACGGATCAAGGTGGAGCTGACAGGTAAAGTGATAGACTTTGGATTAGGGCGTTCCTTTTTAATTCTATGGTTTAATTCTATGTTTGCCTTGGTCGGTTGATTGATCGGTCGAAAAAACAAATCTGGGGTAAAAAAAATGAATGCACAAAAGGCATAATAAAATGACGCAAACTGTTGCATATATGACTGTGCACGACCAGTAACACGTTTGCGCAATTTTTAGAGGTGGATGGATTTGATATTAGATTATATAACCACCTCACTTTGACTTAGGAAAGTTGTTTATTACTTTACTTGTAACTTTTATCGATGATTACATGTAATAAAGTGATGTAAGGACTTGAACAAGTTGAATACACATTACCCCCAATGCGGCATGTAGTCTGGTTCCCAGACCGAATATTGACTATATATATAACGGCACGTGACCAAAATGGGAGGAATGCCTCCCATTTCTGAAAATGTCTGAAGTTTGCAGAATGCATATCTTGTGCTGATGATTACCCTCGCCTTCGGCTCTGATGATAATCAGCATCCAGACTCCAACCAGTCTTAAACAGAGTGTTTAAAACCTCCGAAGCACACATTCATTCCCTTATTCATGGTAGAGTTCGTGAATACTTGGACCAACAAACGGATGATAAAAAAAGCACATGCAATACTTCCCCCCCAAACTTGACACTTTTGATGTTAACTATTTCCATTTTATGTAGAAGTGTTGAATGAATAGCCGCTTTGTAAGATTGATCCTAAGCACCGTTGATATATTGATGTGAATCGATTATTCCATATTATTTTGGTATCGATATCGCCGATAGCAAGTTTTTAATCACATCGAAATATCAAAATCGTCCATATTGAGGAAAGATTTACAAAATTTTGAAACTGTGTCAGATTATCGTCAAAATACATCTCCCATTTGTGCTTTTACTTTGTGTTTAACGTTTGTATAATGAAATAACACTCGGCGGCAACTTGTGCTTGTGACTCAAAAATAAAAACATGGCGAAATGCCAAGTGGCGTTGCATTGTGCTCTGCGTTCGCTGGAATTTGCAGTCTCTCCCAGTGTGCCTCGAAAGAAACCACCCCTTCTGGACAAACACTCAGTGCTGAGATTTGTTTTTGACAGTTTGAGCAATATGCTCCAGAGAAAGGTGTGGAAAATTGGGACTTAATATTATTTTTTTAATCAAAGTGTCATCTTTATGGTCTTTAACTTTTTACATGGGTTAATCGATATATCAAATATTCTGGATATTGGATTTCCGATATATCGATTATTGAAACTTCTGATATCGATGGTTCTTAATTGATCCTGTGTTTGCTTTTTCCAGCATGGATACCGGTGATACAGTGCTGACCATTGATGCCGGTGCTCAGGGTGATTCTGTGGACGTGGATGGAGTAGAAGTAATTGATCCATTAGCTGAGAAGGCTACAAGTATGTAAACAACATTGTCAAGATGTCACACCATTCCCAACAAACGCAAATTGGCGATGTCACTGCATATTTTCGAGAAAACAAAAGCAAATTAGTGATGTCATAGCAAGTTTTCGAGCTGCGAATATATTGAAGTTGAATGTAATATGGACCGCTGTGGTCCAATGGTTAAGGTGTTTGACTCGCGTTTAGATTTTTGGTATAAAGCACCATATAACCACCGCATTATTATTATTTTCCCTATTAATTTTGCTGTAATTATTCATGATGGTCAAATGACTTGGCGTGTAGTATGAAGCGGCCTGTATGCCTATAAACCTGAGACATAATGACGCCATGCTTTGTTTACAGGGGCGCTTCCTAATGGGAAGTAGATTATGTTGAGGGGATGCCATGCCCATCTGACTTCTGTAAGAAAGCAAACCAGTAAACAAAGTGTGATGTCATTATTTTGTAGGGCTATAGCTGCATGTTGCTAGAGGGTTCAGTGTACTGATGTGTTCAGTCAGAGTTAGAGGCAATGGGTTTATATCGCAAGGTTGGGCTGTCATTGTTAACCCTAACCCCCTAAGCATTTTTGCAGGGATGCAACCACAATCCTACAAAATACTCCAACTTCCTCCATGTGAAAACTGCATACAGCCTCAATCCTGCAAAATCCTCTGTTATTTCTTTTATGTAGTCCTTGGAGGGTGACCACTACCTCAATCTTGCAAAATCCTCTGTTATTTCTTTTATGTGGTCCTTGGAGGGTGACCACTACCTCAATCTTGCAAAATCCTCCGTTATGTCTTTTATGTAGTCCTTGGAGGGTGACCACTACCTCAATCCTGCAAAATCTCTACAGACGAATGTATGTGTTGCACGTTCATTGTCAACACACGTAACACCCACGTGTGGTATTGCTGTGTGAGCGTGTATGATGTACTTCGATTGCGTCAAATTTATCCGGCCCTGAATCAAGACAAACTGGAATCCCTGTATTGTCAATCACAAAATCAATCTAGAGAACTATCAGTTTGGTGTGTTTCGACAAGTTTGTGAATTTTCCTCTTGTAGAGTTGAGTGAATATATTAGATGTACACAGGTGATTATTTTTGAGTGATATAATTGCTTTAATTATTTTTATTTTGTAGTGGAACTGAAAACAAAAGCATTGCAGGACCCACAGGTACTAGCAGCACTTCAAGATCATCTAGATAACTTGGTTGGACAGCGAAGTGGATATATTGAAAGGTAGGTCATAAAGGAGTAGTATTCAGCAGTTTTGTCTGCTAGTCAGATTGTTGGACTGCGTTACAAGTAGTGTCGGGCGGTTCCAGCAGGTACCTAGTTCTACCTGAGTCCATAATGAGAACCGGAACTGCAAGTTCCTTTCAGGAACCGGCTACCCACTTTGCTCTGTTCTGACTCTAAAAGAATCGGTTCCATAATGAATTACCCATTCTCTTTACAAAAAGTCTGGAGTCGAGAACTCTCTCCATAAATAAGGCTGGGATCCGTCACTGCGGTAAGTCAAAACTTAAGAGGGGAAAACCACACAGACTCACACACAGCACTAGAAACAAGCCACATGGGCAAGCCCTTTGCGGACATGAGGCATAGAACCATAAACCGTTTGTGGATCACTACATTGGCCCTGTAGACTCGGGCCCAAGGGTGGGGACTTCGTTCGAACTTGAGTTCAAATGATGATCCCTGACCCTGTTAAAAGTATCTATTTTGCCGGTCCGCCAAGGTTGCCTTGGTCCGGTGTATGTATCATGTTGCTGTCAAGGACCTTTTATATTCAGAACCAAAGCGCCCAGTATTTTATTCATACTTTTGCAAGAGCCTGGTAGATCCGTGACTCGTTTGGAGCTGAATACCCAGGGTCCATCAGAGTTGATTCTGGCACCCAGAGCCAGCTCCTAGCCCCCACACCCACAGAGAGTGCCGCCCGACATGTCTGTATTTTCAAGCTTATTTTCACCCCCTTTTATTAGTTTACAGATCATGCACTGTAACAAAGCAGCAGGATATGTACATGCTATTTTTTTTGGAAAATAATGTGACTTTTTTTCCTGTGACTTTCCTAGTTTACCAAAAGTTGTGAAGAGACGAGTGAAAGCTCTGAAGAATTACCAAGTCAAGTACACACAAATGGAAGCCAAATTCTATGAAGAAGTTCATCAACTAGAGTGCAAATATGCCAAGATGTATGAGGCACTCTTTGAAAAGGTGAGTACAGTCTCTGCATCCCAGATCATCTTCAAGTAAACTTGAATCCTCGATCTTGATGGGTCAATCCATTGCAACAACAGTGTGTTGTTATTCTCCATATTAACCCTAACTCCCTAGCATGATTTACTAGGAAAATCCTGGCGAATTCCAACACCATATGGAAAACTGCAAACACATTTTTCTGACTTTGATTCTGGAGGTGTGCCAACCCAATGTAAAAGACTGTCAGTTTAGGAGAACTGTACCCATCCTGACAGATTCCAACAGAACATGCTGTTGGTGTTTGAAGGGTTGAGTTCTGTTGGGGTTAAGTTCAATAGTGCACTCTGTGTATTGCGCAATTCCAAGATGGGCGCGACATTCCTGCTGAATGCACAAGTAGTAGGATAACTGCTGAAATGTTTGTGCAGGACATGCATGTTCCATCTTTACTGTGCGTTATGTTTGCTTGAAGATGACTTTGTTATCGCACTCGCAATCATGGAACATTGAAAATGCAGTGTGTCTGTGTCCAGTCCTTCATTTTTAAGGAGTGCGATCGCGCAGGCGCTCCTACTGCGCTCCTCGACTGTCTCGAAGGAGCGCTAAAAATAGCGCTCCTCAGAAATACAAAAGAGGGCTCGTCAAACACGGGAAGTTTAAAAATAAGAAGTGATAAAAACGCAAAGGATTTTAAGTCTTAAGCTTCACGTATTTTTCGTTGGTATAATGCCCAAACTCACGTTAATATGCCGCTGGACATCGCTAAAAATGAACGAACACCGAGCTCGTACGTACTGTATAAGATCGTGTGTGTACAGCGGTTGTATACTGTGCGTGCACAATCTGCATATCGCGTAGAGCTGCATGAAAACACGTGGGCCCGTACGTGCAAGTGCAGCAATGACTGGTTCCCGCTGCGCCGCGCACTAAGTCCCAATGAAGGCATGATGAAAATGCGGTAACCAGTCAATGTAATAGTCCTGCGCGGTGCAATGCACTGCCTGCCGTACAGTGTTTTGCGTGCAGGCTGGACGGAATAGACGTCGTAAAAATGCCAAGAAAACAACGATTGAGAAGGACGATCTTTGCAAGCTTATTCACAAAACTTGATCTCTCTTGTCTGTGTATGTATTTCCCGTGTTCATGAATTTATTTTGAGGAAGTTTTACTGGTATGTGAAGTGAAACGATGCAGCGTGTTTCACCGAAATCCTATACCGTGAAACGAGTCTCATTGCCGGCCCACCACACACAGTGCATCACAAACGCTCGTACTAGTGTGAAGTTCAGATGTTGTTAGCCAGTTTCTCGTCGTGACTAGCATTGTGTATATGGCATACTTGACCTGCATTTTCCGTTATTTTTAAGATTATCGACGGCAGATATTTTCGATAAAACTTAAGGCAAGTTTGTGTCATTTTGAGGCCCTTTTTGTGAAGCTTTCGTAGAGCAATTGAAATAGTTCAGGCTGAAAATTTCATATAATTTTAACGAATCTGAAAGCAATTTTTCAGTTGCTTTATGTGCCGTTTATTAACTCTCCATTTTCCAAGTATAATCAAGTGATGAACCAACTGACACCTGTATTAAAAAATGAAAGCCTGAGCAGTAGTCAAACCTTTTATTAATCTCCATTTAGTTAGTTTTTTTAAATAAATTTTACCTTGTCTTACAGTTACAAAAACGAAAAAAGTAACGCAACTTGAGCATATGTTATTATGCAAAAACTAATAATAATGCAGCCCTTGAATAAATCCTTATATTCAAAATAAAACAAAAACAATGGTAACCCGTCGTTTTACCGCTGTTTATCCGTAGATTTTAAGGAGAGCGATTTGCTCTCCTCGAATATTTGAGGAGAGCGATTTATAGCTCTCCTGGATTTTCTTTAAATGAAGGACTGTGTGTCCCATATGCAACTCAGCCTTTGGCCTCATAAAATGAAAATACATGAATTGTAATACTTTAATAGCACTGTCCATCGTATTCACAATCGCAAAGCGCTTTAATAATAATAATACCGGAGTCTTGCGCTTTACAATTATTCCCCCGTTCATCAGACCATGAGACCACGCGGCAGCCGATATCAGCGGACATTTAGCGTCCAGTACCCTCACAGGTACCCATTTATACTTCTGGGTGGAGAGAGGCAATTGTAGTAAAGTGTCTTGCCCAAGGGCACAAACACCATGTTCCTGGCACAGCATATGGGACACATATGGGTTGCACTGTCTTCTACATATGCTCATGGGATAACTAATATTTTCCTGAAATATACCAGCAGAGCATGTTACATTACTGCAAGGAGCACTTTCAGGTATGTACATGTATAGGATTTGATAGTACTCTGTGTTTTTTTTCTGTTGCCAGAGGAAAGATGTCGTGACTGGTGCGGTTGAGCCAACAGATTCAGATTGTGAATGGGACAGCAGTGATGACGAAGAAGAGGAAACAGATGAAAAAGTAAACGCTTTGGCTGTAAGTACCAGCAGCCAATCCATTCACTTTGTCACATTGTTTTAAATCATAATTATCCTATTAACATATTGACGTCATGAATATTGATATGGAAATAAGCAAAATGTATCTCTGGTTTTCTTAAAATAAAATGACTGAGAATATTTCTATTCCCCCTGAATTGGATGCTAGTCCATTGCAGGTTACTCCCCAGCCAATGCTGGTACCCATCTATACTCCTAGATGGGATAAGCAAGTTGTAGTGAAGTGGCTTGCCAAAGGACACAACATATGGCCAGCAGCTGGATTCGAACCCCTGGCCATCCTATCGTGATTCACAAACACTAAACCACTAGGCTGCACTCCCCCAGAATTCAGAAGCGTACTTGAGTATTTCTGAAACAAGCAGTTAAATTTGGTCTTTCATGTTAAGCATAAAATATGTAGAATTGTGTTGAAACATGTGAAGGAATGACATTGAATTAACCAGTTCGCAACGGAGGCTGTGATAACATGCACTGGCTGTTTTTTTAACCCAGGCACGGCTAACAGATTAAGACGTCACAATTGCCTTGACTTGCCTCCGGGTGACGTCGAGACACGCTCATTTCTTATGCCTTTTGTACACACACACAAAGTCCATGCTGTCTGTGGAGGCGGACCGTGTGCTGACCGTTGTATAAAATGGTTAATTGAAAGAACGCTTGTTTCCATGGTATTACAGAGAGACATTTGTTGGCCATAACAATTTTACTTCCTAATAGTGACTGTATTTTATAATTGATTACAGGGTGATTTGAAAGAAAAGGCCAAGTTAGAGGAAGACAAAGATGAAGGTAATGACACTAGAGTAGTATTCATGAAAGCTATCAAATGTCATGAAGGTTAATATAAAACTGGTTGTGCCCAACACACTGTGTCATTTCCATATTTAACCCCAACTCCCTAGGCCTTTTTTTGCTAAGATGTAGCCTCAATCCTGCAAAACTCTCAAATTGGCCTCATGGAAAAATAGCATATACATGTAGCCTCAATCCTGCAAATTCCTCCATTTATTCTTGAATATGGTCCGTGGAGGGGTGACCACTGCCTGAGTCCTGCAAAATCCTGCGGCAGTGACTGTCAAAATGTCGAGGCTTGGTCACTGGTCAGTGACATCCTGGAGCAGTACGGAGGATTTCAAGCATAATCCAGGCCTATATTTATGCATGGCTGAGCAAAAACAACACAAGGTCTGGCCCAGGACCTTGACAAAGTGCATCCCACGAAATGTAACCTCAATCCTCCAAATTCCTCCACTTTAGCAAAGAGGATTTTGAAAGGTTCAGGGCGGTTAGGGTTAATCTGATACCTATATTAACCCCCAGTTTGGTGGATTTTGGGGGACTTGGTCCTGCAGGCCTGGCGTGACTAAATATTGATGGAATATGATAGACTTGGGCCTAATGGCCTGAAGCAGTGCTAGGGGTATCCGATTGATTTTGCCTAGCTTCCTGTACTGCTATTGTGATAAAAGCCATGTGTAGCCATGGATGTCAACCAGTGCGTCAGTGGTGGATTCCATTATGTCATCTGCAGTTTGTATTAGAAGCACACTGATGGATTTTGATGGAAATGGTCCAGTTCCTAGTAAAAGATGCTAGGGAGTTAGGGTTAAGCGAGATCCCCAGAACCAGACATGTAGTAATGGGTATGATGCAAATTTTTTTTCAAATGACTCATTGTTATTCTGCTTAATTCAAAAATATCGCATAAGGATTTGTTTTATTGTAAATTTTTAAATTTTTTTTCATTAGATTAAAAAATTGCTTAAATACCATTGTATGCGCATTAGATGTAACGAAGTCCTTGCTGAAATTAAGATTTGTTTCATTTCAACAGTATGTTGCCGAGGGAGAATGGGTGAAGGTAAACAATAAATTAATTGCAGTGGTTCAGTGAAAGTTGTAATGATTTTCCTCTGTATTTGACATCACTGAAAAAAACTAACAATTTGAATTAGCAATTCTGATGTAATGGGTCAAGCCATGTTGTGTTATCTTTGCTGCAGAATCACCAAGTGGTATCCCTGATTTCTGGCTAACTATCTTGAGAAACGTAGAGATCTTGTCAGATATGATCCAGGATCATGATGAGCCTATTCTCAATCACCTTGAAGACGTCAGAGTCAAGTTTCATGAGGGATCACAAATGGTAAAGTTACTTTCAGTTTCTCTTTCTCTTTTCTTTTTGCCTCAAAAACAAATACTTTTTGTAACATACATGTAAGTAGGTTTCTGGTAAGTTTGAAGGTTTGTATTGTAAAGTCGGCAATAAGTAAAAGTAGTGCTGCATCTTAATTGTTGAACATAAAACCAAAAAGTTGCAGGAAATAGCACTTTGGAAACAAACTGAAATCAATTGTTCAGATCAGATGTTGGGAATCACACAGTTCTCCAGCTACAGCGGGAATTTTGGGGTTTTCGTGTTTTGGAAAGAAAAAAACTCCAGTATCCCATCCCATTCACTTGGCCGGAAAATAAAACTTGTGTTTTATGCATGGAAAAAAAACCCTCTAAGGCCAAAAAAAAAAAGTCTCCGGTTTCTGGTATGCGCGCACGTCGCCGTAGCCATGCGCGTCGGCAAAATGAAAAAGTTTTTTTTTCAATGAAAGATGATGTCTCAAAACCGCCAAACTCACTGGTTTGACTGGAATCCTGCTGCTGCACAATTTTAACGTGTTTTAGATGGGGTTGTGGTAGAGAACAAGCTTTATGTGGCCTCTCTGGACTCCCATATATTTGCACTAAGTTTAGTCGGGCACCATTTGCAGTCATCAGCCGACATTTGAAGCGAAAAAAATCAGGTAAAAAAAAAAAAAACGCGTTGTCGCACAAAAAAACAAGTTTAGTCGGGCACCATTTGCAGTCATCAGCCGACATTTGAAGCGAAAAAAATCAGGTAAAAAAAAAAAAAAAACGCGTTGTCGCACCACTTTTGGGCAAGATCCATACCAGAAACCGGAGACTTTTTTTTTTGGCCTAAAGACAAGGTATATAATTGTTCAGGCTCTGCAGCAAAGACTTCTGGCATACATGTACCTGTCAATCTGGTTAAATACAGGTTTTTCAAATCAAATCAGATTGAACACATTCTGTAATGTGACTTAACCTTGTGTAATTTTGTGTAACTGTTGGTAGTGTCTTTCTTTGAAGATGGCATTAGTTTACTGTGTAATGTGGTGATTTGTTTAACTCTCATTTTTATCACTATGTTTTTTCCTGTTATTTGGTTGTAGGGTTTCACATTAGAGTTTCACTTTTCAGCGAATGATTTCTTCACTAATGCCGTCCTGACCAAGAGTTATCAGATGAGGTCAGAACCCGATGAGAATGATCCATTCAGCTTTGAAGGACCAGAGATCATCAGCTCCTCAGGGTAAGCACTCATATCTGCTCTCATTTGAAAAGAGTAGGGTCTTGTATGTAAATGAGGTAGGCTTGTGCAGTATTGGATTGTGAAACTCCATGGTATGTCGTCACAAACGAACAATGGTATCTGATGCTATCGGCATTTTTCTGGATGGACTTTGATGTCATTAAAATAAAGTGTAAACACATGGTGATAGGGAAACCGCAAGCAGGTAGCGTCAGCAGCATTTCAAAGACTCTGCTGGATGACTAGTAAGCAAATTAGTGTTTACGAGTCTAACTCAACCATTGTCAACTTACCTATGTACCATGAGCCAAAGAATTAAACAATTAGCCGGGGGGGGGGGGGATTTCCCCCCCTCAGATCTTGGTCATTGAGTGACAGTAAAATTGTGTGTTAACATGAAAATCGATGCTGTTTATCCTACCTTGCCACTTGTGTTTGGGGGCTGGCAATAGCAACATCAACAGTTTAAAATAATGGGCAGATTCAATCTGGGATCCAGCAGGTACATTGGTACAGACACGCTAAAACCAAATTCCCAGTGGTATTCTGGAAAAAGGACCGTCTTTTAATTGGAATCTTGTAATGATCCCATGACATATAGTACTGAAGTGATTTCAATGATTTGTTTACAGCTGTACAATTGATTGGAAGAAGGGCAAGAATGTGACCATGAAAGTCATCAAGAAGAAACAGAAGCACAAAGGCAAAGGAACAACACGTATGATCACCAAGACGGTGCAGAATGATTCCTTCTTCAACTTCTTCAGTCCACCGAAAGGTCCTGAGGAAGGAGCAGAGGTGGTAAGCTGGCCTCCTCAAACTACGCTTGCCTAGAGCCTTTGAACTTTGAAATGTCGGATGGAACACAGAATTAGCTTTTCAATTCAATCAATTATTGGATATTTTACAGAATGACCAAGTGTAATTCATCTAATTTAAGTGCTATGAAATAACCTGTCATTATCAACCAAAGTATTGTTTTGAGGCTTGTTAGATGGCTTCGTAGAAAAAAGATTCCCCAATTTCAGCTGAAAAGTTTGTGGAGTGCAAACATGCCACCTTGTAACTGTCAGAATTTTCAGAACCAATGGACAAGATTTTCTGATCTTTTTAGACAATAGAGAGATTTACAAGTGTTGTGCATTTACAGGTAATACAGGAACTGGGTACCATATTGAAGTAAAGCATGGGCACCTGGGTATCTGTAAAAGAAACCAAGCCGCAAAATCAGATTCCAGAAGTTGTCTAAAGGGCTTTATAGCAGTTTGGCATTTTAAAACCCTAACCCTGCTGAATCCAACAGGATCCAACCATGTCACATACCCGATGGAACCTGTTGGATTGAGCAGTTAACCCCTTTGCGTACATTCCTGATGCAAAATGTTGGATTCAGCAGGCAACTGAACCGCATTATAACGCATTGTTGGATTCCGTTGGATTCCGTTGGATTCAGCAGACAACTGAAAATAAGGCACAGTGGATTGGGCAGGAAACTCCGGTTGGACTCTGTTGGATTTAGCAGGGTAGTCCTGAGGAACTACTAGGGGGTTTAACCTACAACTTTGGCAAGCTCATCTGTCACATGTTAAAATGCACATGACTGTGAAGTCTGTTTGGGTTTTCCATGTAGCCTGGTTTTCATTTTACAATTCTCCACAAATGCCATTGAAAACCTTTTTTTTCGTTGTCTGGGAAGTTACATACTTGTTACATACTAAAGTTGGTTATGGGTACCCGATCACATTATCTGGAGCTGGTTCCTGACATCAGCATTCGGGTACTCGAGTAACCGGTTCCGATGCACAGCCCTAACGTATACATTTAGCAATCTAAACTGTTGTCGACAATTCAGTTGTATTGTCTGTTGTTATAATCAGACTGACTGATAATTTCTTGGTAGGATGAAGAAACAGAGAGCCTACTGAGTGCAGATTTTGAGATTGGTCATTTTATCCGGGAACGCATTATACCAAGAGCTGTGCTGTACTTCACAGGAGAAGCCATTGAAGATGATGAGGTAAAGACACTCATATGGATCAACAAGACAGTGTTGGCTACAACCATGTGGTCATTGACCTGACAACCTCTATGAACACAGAATATGTGGGAAAAAAAAGAAATCTGGTCCTGTATCACCGGGGCGCAATTTAATGACACTATGAAACAAATTCTTTCTTTGTTTGTGAGAGCAATGTCTCCAAAAAGCACAGTTTTTGCTATTGGAGAATTTGATGCAAATTAAATTTCCTTGAGGATTCAAATCTAAATATGTTTGTCTCATGTGCTTATAGTTCTGGCATACATTATTAAACCAATAGTCCCCATAATGCCCCAATCTGCGTGGCCTGTTGTTTCTTACATGTATACTGCTGCCCAAACCGCCCAGCACTCGCGGTTGAACTGCTTCATCAGGGAATATATACAATGTAATACAATGTACTACAGGTGCTTGTGGATTAGGCCCATCTGTTAATACATCTGTGTCATGATTTGTTGGTTTGATTTGTTTCAGTATGAAGAGGAAGGGGAGGAAGAGGTAAGTGATGCTTAGTCTGGATCAGAATAATAATAGTCATCACTCACAGGGTAGAATTAGAAAGTATCAATTCTAATCATGGATTGCCCCCCCCCCCCAACTGATACTCGGATAGGTTGCAGGAATGGGTGATCAATTTGTCACAAATGTCATGAACTTTCAACATTGGCTGTTACGGATGATACCGTAATCATCAGTCTTGCGTAGGAAAGTTATCTTGAACTTCTCACCTATCTAAAAATACTGCGGAAACGTACTTTCAAAAATATATTTATCATTGCAAGATATGTCTTATGAGATCAAAATACATGTTGGACTAGCTCCCCGTACAATGCTACAAATGCAAAGCATCAATATCAACGCGGACATTGATTCTTGAATGTGATAATAACACTGGCGGTCAGCGAGGAACAGCCTTCAATTTCAGGCTGGTTTCAAAGTCTAGAATAAAATTGATTGCTTGGATTGGGTTTGGCAAAACCCTACGTGTACTTCCCTGTCATGTGATTTCCCTATACCATGTTGCTAGGCAATTGGCTCTGTGAACAAATATTCCCTTAACGGTAAGAAAGGGAGAGTTGCAGGGGACCAGTGGGAGGGGCATTCGAAGGCACTGCCAACTATGCCTGTTGCCACTTGAAGATGTTACAGCTTTGTGCACATTCAGAATAAAATTAGTTGTGTGTACTTTGCTCTGTACGTATGCAAACCAGTATGTGCATGCGGTGTGTCCCATCCACGGGGCTGTTAAAAGTGGTAAAAAAGCGCCCTCTCTTGTTCATGCACGAATCCCATACAGTGCCCTCTGGAGTTCGTACAGTCTGTAGCAGATGACTCTTGGTTGTTGATTCCATAGCTGATGATTTTTGATTCTATACCTGATTATTGTTTGTTGTTATGCCCCGCGGCGAAGCCGAAGGGGCATACTGTTTCCGCCTTGTCCTTCCGTGGGTGGGTGTGTGGGTGGGTGAGCTTGTCTTACATACGCAGTGTGGACTTCCGAACAAAAGACGTCCACATAATGTAGGTAGCACCGACGTTGTGTGGACTTGCCCCACGTCCACACAGTGTTTCCCCATTTCTGGAAAACAGGTTTAGAGGCATTTTTGGGTTAGGTTTATCCGTAGCAGAATGAAGAGAAACACTAAAGGGAATCATAGAAAAAAAATTGGGTTGAAAGAGTTTTCACAGTTTGAGAAAAATGAGTTTTTTCACTGGTTTTTCTTAACTACACGAAAGCAATGGAAAGTCCACACTAGTCATGTGAAACAAGTATGGGTGTGTGGGTGGGTGTGTGGGTGAGCTTGTCTTACATACGCAGTGTGGACTTCCGAACAAAAGACGTCCACATAATGTAGGTAGCACCGACGTTGTGTGGACTTGCCCATGTCCACACAGTGTTTCCCCATTTCTGGAAAACAGGTTTAGAGGCATTTTTGGGTTAGGTTTATCTGTAGCAGAATGAAGAGAAACACTAAAGGGAATCATAGAAAAAAAATTGGGTTGAAAGAGTTTTCACAGTTTGAGAAAAATGAGTTTTTTCACTGGTTTTTCTTAACTACACGAAAGCAATGGAAAGTCCACACTAGTCATGTGAAACAAGTGTGGGTGGGTGTGTGGGTGGGTGAGCTTGTCTTACATACGCAGTGTGGATTTCCGAACAAAAGACGTCCACATAATGTAGGTAGCACCGACGTTGTGTGGACTTGCCCACGTCCACACAGTGTTTCCCCATTTCTGGAAAACAGGTTTAGAGGCATTTTTGGGTTAGGTTTATCTGTAGCAGAATGAAGAGAAACACTAAAGGGAATCATAGAAAAAAAATTGGGTTGAAAGAGTTTTCACAGTTTGAGAAAAATGATTTTTTTCACTGGTTTTTCTTAACTACACGAAAGCAATGGAAAGTCCACACTAGTCATGTGAAACAAGTATGGGTGGGTGTGTGTGTGTGTCCGGACAAATCTTGTCAGCGCGATAACTTGAGAAATACTTAACATATGAACTTCAAATTTGGTTTGTGGATTGTTCTTGGTAATCCTAAGAAGCCTTTTGCATTTGGGGCCAAAAGGCCAAAGGTCAAGTTCACAGTGGCTAAAACAATAGAAATCTTGTCAGCGCGATAACTTGAAAAATACTTAACATATGAACTTCAAATTTGGTTTGTGGATTGTTCTTGGTAATCCTAAGAAGCCTTTTGCATTTGGGGCCAAAAGGCCAAAGGTCAAGTTCACAGTCGCTAAAACAATAGAAATCTTGTCAGCGCGATAACTTGAGAAATACTTTACATGTGAACTTCAAATTTGGTTTGTGGATTGTTTTTGGCAATCCTAAGAAGCCTTTTGCATTTGGGGCCAAAAGGTCAAGGGTCAAGTTCACAGTGGCTAAAACAATAGAAATCATGTATTTATTCTGAGATTATAGGGATTAGGGATTAATTCATATAAAACCTACAGAAGACACTAATGCTGTCAATGAATGTTCCATGTGACCAAGGTACATGTAAGTTGATGTTAAAAGAGTGGTGTTATGTCATGGGAACTGTCACCGTTGCGGGGCATTTGTGTTTGTAAACACACCTGACTTGTTGATTCTGTAGCTGATGATTGTTTGTTGTTGATTCTATAGCTGATGATTATTGATTCTACAGCTGATGATTGTTTGTTGATTTTATAGCTGACAATTGTTTGCTGTTGATTCTATAGCTGACGATTGTTTGTTGTTGATTCTATAGCTGACGATTGTTTGTTGTTGATGTTACAGGATGCAGAAGGTGAAGAAGGTGATGAGGAAGATGAGAATGATCCTGATTTTGATCCTAGCAAGGTATGTACAGCCAAGACGTCGTCATGGTTCTTGTATCTTTTTTGGCTTAACCAGTTCGCGCTGGAGGCCTTGTATACACACAAAAGTTTTGCGGTATTAGGACAGATGACAGATAATCACACAGAGAGCGAGGCCGGAAATATCTGTCAGCGACTTGCTCGCAGTGAGTGAGGCCAGAAATATGAATGTGCTGCCCGAGGGTGATGGCTTCAACCCGCCTGGCTTGAGGTCGAGTGAAACGTAATCCCTCTCCTCATTCTGTTCTTGTCAAAATAATCCCGGCGTGAACTGGTTAAGGCATGCTATATCAATGATTTGATGGATGAGAATTTAACTTTATCTTTATAGTGGGGTTGCAATGACTATAAATGACTACTTGATTTATACTTGATCAGTTCAATTACTCAAAAAGTCTTCCTTCTAAAGGCACAAAAGCACACACCAAAATTCCCTGACAAACTTAAAAATGCTGGGGATGAACATATTGGACAAGAAACTTTGAATGCACACAAACACAAAGTACTTGCTGAAAATAATAGCAAGATACTTGAAACCTTTCCTGGCAGCACCATTATACATGTAGCAATAGACTGGTAGCCTGACATGCATTATGTCACATGCATAAAAACATCGGTATCCTTGACAGTATGCACCTTTTTTGGCTTATGAATTAAGGACTACTGAATTTGTTGGGAACAGACCTTTTTTTAGGAGGCACAAGCCTTTTTTTTCAGTACATGTGCGTATATTTTGAACCTTAAGCCACAAGCGTCTTCAGATGACGTTGGCCATTGACGTTGTTGAATTTTTTAGGGTTATTTTCTTAAAAAATAAAGTTACCCAAAATAATTGCGAATTTTGCACATTGATTTTCCTAAATGTCTCTCTCAAATGACGTCATTTCCTACAGACCAGCCACATGCATCGGCATTTTGAGCGTCAACTTGCATAACGTCCATTGGTTGCGTCGTAGTTCGAACATATTTCAAGCAACAAGCGCGTGTGCTTGGAACATTTTCAACACTGCGCAATGTGTGCGCAGTACGCAGTTGCAGTTCTCCTACAGAGATGGCCGTCTTTGAGAGAGACCTATTCCAGGGGTCCGGAAGTGCAGCACTAGGGGTGAACTTTCAGGCTGTATTGCCAGCCAGCCAGTGATATGATGATGTAATGTTACTGTTATTTGTCTGATCCACAGGATGGCGGCAAACCTCAAGAGTGCAAGACACAATAGATGAGCTACCCTTCAAGTCCTGTCATGACATATGCTACAATCATGTAGAGTATACACAACTGCCTTCATATCACCCCACCCTATAGTCAACTCGGTTAATTTTGAGATTACATCCATTTTAACATTGTTTCTCCATTACAAATGGGGTACATTACACATGTCATAAATGTACATAATACCAAAACAAAGTAGATACTTTTGTGACGTCCAGTCATTGCTGACAGTGACGTACATGTAAGGCTTTCTTGATTTGCAGTTTTTGCCAAGCTACCGGAGGCCAACTGGCAAATCCAAACTATATTTTGGGCCAAGAGTTGTCTTTTCTATAATAAGATGTATGCATTTTGTTTTTATAAAGCATGCCGTGCTCACTTTGAAGAGCATGATGAGTGAATGAGTAAGCTTTTTAAGTTGTCTGATTTGCTGGAGGCGTTGATGTCTGTGACTGTTACATTGTGTGTATCATGTAGCCTACCATTGTCCCTAACACTGTACATGTACCCATCACCATCTAGTCGTGTAGTTTATTATATCAACAACTTTAACTCTAGAGTCCACTTGTCAGTCACATCCCTTCATTTTTTGCTGGTCTGTTTGAGCTTAAAAGCCTGTGTTTTGTACTTAAGTAAAGAAATGTAAAATTCATCAAACAAGTGTATGAAGTTTGCAGCGTATTGTGGCTGTTCGCTTGACTACCAATGTAATTATGACTGTTGACACGCTTTATAGTGAGAATTACTTGCAATTTTTGCCCATTTTTTAATGAATTCATGCACAGCAATATTCAATTGTTCCGGTAAGAACCAAGTCAATAACTTAACAGGGTTACTTGAGAAAATTACTAGGAAAGGCCAAAAACAAATGTTTGGAGCTGGCATTGATCTCCAATTGAGAGTTTGGTTTTAGCAGGGATGAGATTGTCAATTTAAAAAAGTCTGAAAATTGGATGGGAGGTTTGGTGATGAAAGATGCGTTTCTTTTATACTGATAATGTCTTTCTCTCAGATTCAAAAAGTCATATTCAAAGTCTGAAAAATCTAATGCCTGGGTTTTAGGCCTACTAGCAGTTCCATATTGGTAATGTTTGACTATCTATGTGCAGTTTGTTTGTCCATTTACCGGCACAATTGCTCATAGTAAATAAGTTTGAACAAAACGCAGTCCAAAAGGTGAATGTCAAATATAACATGGATGGGTGATCTTCACACCACTTTAATAAACCTCTGCACTGATGACATCACACTTTATATAAATAATGAAAGGTTTGCGGAAACACCATGTGCGAATGATTTCTCCACTATAAAGAGAATGGTTCTGAAAAGAACCAGAGGTATAAAATTGACGTTCCGGTCAGTATGCTCTGACCGTCTTCAGGAGAGGGTCAGAGCATACTGACCGGAACGTCGAGGTTATACCTCTGGTTCTTTTCAGAAGCATTCTCTTAGTTGAGAAATTATTCGCACATGGTGTTTCCGTAAACCTTTCATTATTTAGTATCTCCACCATGCAAAGCCTCAAATCTTACGTCACACTTTATTTACATGTGTGCTTTCTTATGGGAGCGAAGGTTTTGAAGCCCATAGAAAAACGCACATGTAAATAAAGTGTGACGTCATCAGAACAGAGGCTTATTGGAAATATCCCTTGCATGTCTACCTGTACGGATTGTCTCAGAACCACACAGAGATGACCTCATAATATATCCTTTCTGTCATACCTATATTAGCTTTGCTTGGAGCTGTGTTCACAATTTCAGTGTCAAATAAGTGCTAGTGCAAGTAACCTATGGCAACAGTCAGTAAACATGTTTCCAATGTTTGCAGTGTGCTGGACATTGGCTGTGGATTTGTATCATAAATTCTTAAAGATGTGACAAATATGTACATAACTTACAAAAGAAAATGAATTCAGTGTTGTAGATTTGCCACTGGCAGTGTTTGCTGTTTTTGAGTTTCACAGATTCATTCTGTATAAGTTAGGAATCACAATACTGTTCCACACAGCTGTTTCAGAGAAATGGCAGTAATGTGGATGTTATCGTTTGGTTGACGAACCAAAAAGGAAACGGGGAACAATAAACTGAAGAAGTTCATGGTTGAAGTGAAGATGCAGTAACAAAGGAAAATTTGATGAGGACTTGCCAAGCCAGCATTTACAGCTGGATGCTGATAACAAAAACAATTGTCCAAGGTTTTGTTTTCATGTCCTTATTTGTAGGGATGCATTTGTGTTGTTTCCCTAGAGCTAAATTGTATCACTAGAAAGCTAACTCAGCATACAAAATGTAGCATACTTGGGACATCCATGTTTGCAAACCTTGGGAAAGCTCCAAACTTGTTATGGCTGTTGGCATACATATCTATGTTTAAATTTGAAACAATTCACAAATGAAGCCGATGTCTTACGCCAAAATGCACCATTAGTCACAGCTTTTTATGTCACTCTGCGCAAAACAATGCACACATGTGCATATTCACTTCAAGTTCAGTTGATTGTTTTGAAAACCCTGCCTGTGCATCTGTGTGTGTTGCACTGTTGCGTTGCATATGGAGCTCTTGGTGGAATGGAATTCAAAACGTGCTTACATTCTTGCGTGTCTGTGCTGGTTTTATGCTATGATTTGTGTATTGATTCTCAAATGAAACGGAATGCATTGTGTTCTAATTCGATAAAAAGACAAGTTTGGACTATTGGGTGAAGTACATTTCCTAATTATGATAAGAATCTAGCTTATCAGTGTTGTGCTTATCCGATAGCATGTAGTCTAGATGTCAGCGTCTGTAATCTCTCCTGACATTCGGTCTGCTTTTGTATAAAATGTAAACATCTACAAACAGTGCTTTTATGATCAGTGGAAAATATCATTTAAGATGTGTGTTAGCAGTTGGCATTGCTATGACTGCATGATTGCCTTAAAATGCTGCAACTCATTAAAAATAGATTTCTTAGTCTGATTTTTACCCGTACCATGAATCAGGAAAACTGGTTTGCCTGTGTATACACAATGTATGTTACATTGATCTTTGTTAAGCACATGTATCATTGGCATACATAACCAAATCAGCAAAGAAACTTGATCTGGTACAGGATACCCTTTGGAGACGTGCACCATATGGATTGTAGAGCAATTTCCTTAGGTGAATACGTCTCCAAAAGGTTATCACAAAATAGACACATGGATTTTACTCAAAAACTGGGAATTTTCAAGGTGTGTTGATCAATCACAAATTGAAGTATTTTATGTAAGGGATATTAAGTCTGAATTTCAGCCCAGGAAATTAATTCTGGTTAAAATAGCATTTTGAAAGTACACTTTCAAACTCGAAAACTTTAGGACACAGAAATGACTCCACAAGGATACAAATTCCAGAATGTGTTTCAGCACACTTGTGACTGTGCTGTTATATTTATCTAGGTACATGTATTAGCCTGCACCCCCTTCCCCCGGTAGTGCCATAATGCTTCGTAACAGCCAACATTTAACCTGTCCGTTACCAATGATCAGTGTTCTCTTAATTGTCCTCTGGTCACGTGCAATAACCTGTTCAGATCCAAGTCTTCAGAATTCTAGTTGTTCCCATTTAGGCAGCACGGCTTATTCTTTGAAGGTAGATTGTATGGTTTGTTAATACGAAGTGAAGATTATCTTCAAGCGTTTTGTATTCTTTGTGTGTCCTGGTTCAGTGCTGCTGTTATAATTAATTCGTAACATGGAGGAAGATTAAAAATGAAAAGACTTCTTCAGCCGTGTGTTTTGTCAATAGTTTTGTTCACTGTGTTTTGGAGGGGTACAATGTTGTTCATGTGGTGTATTTTTATGGCCAAGTATGGACCACAATATTGTGTACTTTTAGCAATTGTCTGAAGTTTATGGATACCAGTGCATAGTGATGCGAATGGTTGCATCGGATACACACCTATGTTCTGACTGCTCATACATTGTATTCCTATCCCTAACCCTAACCGGGAGTAACCAACGCAATCTTATGTGCGGGTTGTCGAAACATAGAGCAGTCACCGTTGCATCATGGCGTCATTATCATTCTTGTGCAGTGATTTATGTATATTTATTTTCAGTGGCACACATCTGCCGGATCATTGTTACTAAATCCCGTAATGATGGAAGAGACACGTGTATTTTGTGGCTAATGAAAGAAAAATGGCAATTACTAAAACAAAAGGTGAACTGCCAAGCATTAAGGCACGATATCGCGATGACATAATTTTTGTGTGTCCTCCCCCAACCCCAAAGCATTTCAATTAAGATCCTTATTCAAAGTGCACGCTATCAGATCTATGAATGAGCACCATTTCCCATCGTCAGTGAAAATAATCTCCATCCTGCATTTAAGAATGTTGTCACATAGTAAGAAAATGATACGTGTAGGTCCCAATTTTTAAGTGGTGTAAAAAAGCTCCCAAGACAGACAAACACATGTACATGCAGAGAATCCCTCGGTTCCCTAATGCTGCTTATACTTAAAGCGTTTATTTCTATAGAGAAAGCATTCACCATAAAACTTAAAGGGTGAGATGAATTTTCTGATGAGGGACACATTTTTGCAAGTTTTTACTCCTCTTAAAATGTTTGAAAACTACTTGACATTTCCTTTCGGTTATTTGTATTGTAAAGTACACTTGTTTTAAACATGAACAAAATGTCCATGCTTTTCGAGACAACTGAGGGCACTGTTGCTGTGATGTCATTTCAGGAAGACACCGTTCAGTTCAGGGGTTTTCTGTTCAAATTGTTGACTCAAAACGTTTTTTCATTGAAAACATTTGTGAGAAAAGTTTGCTCATTGACTCACTGCCATGTACCGACACAACGAATCACCAAAGAAAAGAAAATTTACAACAGCAAATATATCCAAAATTCTGACAACTTTAGTGCTTAAGTAGCTGTAACATTGAGGGTTTCTGCCTGATCATCACACAGTTGTCATGAATATGGAAATTAGTATTGGCATAAAAACGAAAGTTGAACATTATGGTAAAATGGGACACAAAGCATTTTCAAGAATTACATTTACAAAAGTACATTGCGTGGGCCCTTTAAAGTGTGATGGAACTTGACAAATTACACCATGGCCCCACTATACAAATTATTTTCTTGACAAGAAAAAAAAAAATCACAAAAAAAAAAATCACAAAATTAGGAACCTGAATTTGTCACAAATCTGTCAAACAAACCCTTCATACAAACAGCTTGATCTGCAAACAAAGGCGAACAAGACAAGCCAAGCTTATTAACCAGTTCGCGCTGGAGGCCGTATTTTCACACACAAAAGTTTTGCAGTAGTCGGAACGGATGACGGATAAACACGCAACTAGCGAGGCCAGAAACATCTGTCGGCGACCGGCTTGCAGCGAGTGAGGCCGGAAATACAACTGTGCTGACCGAGGGTGATGGCTTCAACCCACCTGGCTTGAGGTCCAGCAAAAAGTACATGTAATCCCGCACCTCGTTCGGTTCTTGTCAAAATAATCCTGGCGTGAACTGGTTAAAACTGCCCCCAGAACACACAACATTCTATTTGATTCACCCATGACTTATTTATTCTGAATGTGGACAAATAGTGGCATCTTCGCGTGAGTGTCAGGCGCCATCAGCAATACTAATGACCCTTCGACTCTTGAGGGGGTAACTGCGCACAAAGTCTATTGCAAAATTTTATCTTCCCATAAGTTTATAATTCAGGTTGTCATTAAATGAAGGGTAACTCCTGATGACATCAAAGTGTACTTTGACATTGCATTAATTTACAAAACTCTTCATCGTTTTACCCTTAACTAGTCTTTTGACGTACTCATTTAATATTTCAGCCTATTTACATTTACAATGGCAAAGCTAATAATGACAGATGCAGATGACAGATGCAGATGAGAGTATACAGTGTAATACATGTATGTTGAAGTACATTTTCTCAAGGTCTGTATCGCCAAACTGTCACACTAAATGGAGTACATTACAATTACAGTACCGATTATAAAGCCAAATTTATCATTAAAATCCTCTTAAGCCCCACGAAATTTCAAAAACACTAGGTAAAGAAAGACTCGAAAAAGGAATACTTGGGAAAAAATATCACAGTATATATACAGACATAAAAGATATAAAAGCGACTTGTACATGAAGCATCAGATGCAATCGTTTCTGTGTAATATGAGGGAACTGACTGAAACAGGCTTGACTATGCATAATTTACATTTCACTTGTTTTAGATTTAATCATCTTGCAGAATAAACACAATACTTAACAGCTCTCTTGCGTACTTAAAAAAAGAATTTAAAACAAAGGATGAAGTCTATCACCACTTCAATTCTACCTATAATAGACAATGATAAACATCTAATCCCTTTTTATTACAAATCCTGCACAAAAGCAAGCAGTCAACATTTCCAAAATATCTGCATATATTATTAAGATTCTGAGTGATGCATGTATATAAAAATAAAGAGCACAGTATGCTCCGTCCGCTGCACATGAAAAACTAACAAAAAAAAAAACAAACATGTACGGCACAGTCATTTTGTGGGATCTGCAGCTGATTTCACGAAACTTTATTGCGCCACAATTTATTGTGCAAGTTGCGCAACATTTCGCGCTGCGCAACATTTTAGTTATGACATTTCACGAAAGTTTGAAAGTGCATAAGTCGGTGACTTGTGCAACAAATTATGGTGTACTTGCGTAATCATTTTAGGTGGCCTAAGTTGTGGCGTAACGACCAAAAATGACCTATTGTACCAGTAAATTGTGATTATCGGGAAGCCTGGTATTGCACAACTTACCAAGTTTGATACAATTAGGCGCTCACAGCTTTGTGTTGGAAGTAAATGAATTGCTATTTTATTTGTGACAAGAGTTTTCAGAGTTGCCACGTGATTCCGAAAAAAAGTCGGACAAAACTGTTTTAAAAAATGGCAGGTGGAGGTGATTCAACGACTGTTTTCCTCGTCCAACATATTTAGATTATTTTAAACGTGGCGCACCTATGCCCCGTTTTGTGAAAGCGATTGTAAGCTTATCAGCTGCGCGATACATTTGTTGCACAAGTCCTATGCATAGAGTAAGTTACGCACTGTTTCATGCAATCGGTTGCTGGTCACATATGTACCTGATTCCATTACAAAATGTATCATCATAAAAATACAGGATACTGTACTTGGCCACTGTAGGCCATACGTGAGTGATGTGTTTACAGGATGGTGCAGAATGCTTGCTGGGCAGTCTCCTGGTCCAGTAATGTGGTATAAGGAGATTGTATGCAGCCATGTGGGTCCTCAGTGTTCTCTGGGTAGCCAGTCACGTCTACCATGGAAAGACTGGTATCCTGACTCTCCTCCTGTCAAGTACATAGAAAAATAAAACAAACTAATAGGGTGCAGACCTGTAAATGGGCCCAGAATTCCCCGCAACGCCGGCCACATCACAATCTGTATGCCCTCAAATTCTTTGATATTAGAGCATTTTGTGGACCCTGAACTGGGAGGTTTGTAGACAAAAGATGAGTGAAAGCCATGCACAGGAGTGTGAGCTATGTCTGTGAAATTCAGATGAAATAGGCCTGAATGGAAACGAACTTTCATGCTCGATGAAATGAGTTTTAAAGGGACACTGCGTCCTGGAATGAGCCTAGTTGGGCTACAAAACACACTTTGAACGAAATGCTGCTAATCAGTAAGAACATTTAAAAGTAGGATATAAACATCCACACAACTATCCTTTAACATCTGGGTGTTCTTGTTTTATTTTTGTGCTATGTGAGCGAGAACGACTTTCGGGGTCCACTTTTGTAACCCCCAAAGGTGGGACTGTTCATGCTAGTTGGTGCTGTGTGTAATTTTATGTGACATACGCAATGTGTATCGTACATTGACTGAAGGGACAGGAAAAAAGCATGCGTACTCGTTGTGTCCGATGTAAACAACCGTTTTTTCCCCATCTTTTCTAGGGAACAGTAAGACATTAGATTGTTTCCTTTCAACCAGATGTTTGAAATTGGATAAGTAAACAATCCAAAACATGAAAATTTCCTGGATTTCAGGATGCAGTGCCCCTTTAATTTGATGGGTGTCTCAAACACCTTGGACAGTTGTATTTCAAATATTTGGAAGTACGTGTAATTATACCGAGGTCTATAGGAGTCAATTTACAGGTTTGCACCCAAAGGTAATATTCTGACTTGTACCACTTCAAATAGCATGTTATGTCTGTGTTTCTCAAGGTTCATGTTGAAAATATGAATTGTTTTTCAAATTGTTAGCTGAATGGCATTACCTGTTTGTTATTTCTGACTTGTAGTGGTCCTCGTTGTAGCCTGCGAGGGCGCCCTTTCCTGAGGGGTGTATTACCAGGTCCATGTAGCTTCTTAGCATGTAGCTGCACCCTCAATGGATGCAGGCTGTCTTTACTATGGTTACCGTCCTGAGGAACATTATAACAACCAAGAATCATTACACTGTCACTCCTTGTTTTATTCGAATTTTTTTTTTTATAATAGATGAATTACGCAAGGACCAAAGGAAGCCATATAGAAGAGGTATGATTAAAAGCAGCCGATCTTTGACACTATCAGACAATAGGTGGCGGTATTTGTAGTGGCATATTTCGCAACTGACACAAGATTTTGCTGACCGGTGATTTCACTCACACACATCGTCAATGTTTTCATGAACTAACACTCAGGCGTTAGTGGGTGTTACTTCGTAAAAACCGCGTAATCAACAATTTCGGTTTTGAGCGCACATTGTACACTGACGCAAAACAAAATGATCTTGGTTTTCACAAACTAACACTCAAGCATACTGCAGAAATACTATTCGGAGAAAAAAAAGTTTGAAAGGTTTGACACAAATTCAATCCATCCATATACACTGTGTACTTGTGGGCTTACAAAAATAAATTAATTAAAAACCTTTATACTGGTGAAATTAAGATCAGCGTTACTTCGTGAGAACGATAATGTACGGAGTGCATCCATGCAGTACGTGCCACACTGTTTCGGGTGTTAGTTCTTGAAAACAGAATATCGTGATTCTGTAAAATATGCACGCGTGCCGGGCACACACGCTCAACTGAGTGTTAATTACTTCGTGGTTTTGGTGAAAAATTGTAAATTGGGGGGAAGGGGGAGAAGGAGGTGACACCCTGCAACACCCCATTCTACCGACGCCCTAAAAATGGATGTCAACGCACCTCAGGTTCAGGGTAGTTCCTCATGTTCTTGAGTCTGTCGCTGGTCCTCAGTCCAATGTGCCTGACCCTCTTGCCCAGTGGTACATTACGGGTAGGACCACGAGTCTTGGTACCAGACACTGAATGCTGAGTATATCTGCTTGATTGCTGTCGCTGTTGGAGTTGTTGTATGGCTCCTTGTAGCGCATCTATCCAGGATAACGCTATGTTGTGATTGGTGGAGTACAGCAACAAACTTTGGTCGCCGTGCACAACCTACATGTACAGTCAATAGCAAACACAACCAAATAAGATATCAGCATATGTTGGCAATGGCAATTTGGTCTATCCCTGCATTTGGTTAAAGGAGTCTTTTTTTTCACAACATGTTTTTGTCTCTGCCATACAGACATATATGACCCTGATGTACCCTGTATTTTAAGTGCAGAGAAGTACATGTAGTACAATAACTTTGTTACCAATTGCACCACTTTTATACTTTCATGGAAGAAATTTTCTATAAAATTTTGTCGACTTATGAAACTAATATGCAAAAGGTTTAATGAAACAAACACATGTTACTCTAATCTTCCCAAATCCTCTCTGCAAAATGAAGGATTTTGCAAGATTGCGGCTGTATGGCAAAAGTGTGTGGCTGATTTTAGAGGATGCACTGTGTCAAGGTATTAGGTTGCACGTTGTTTGTTTATGCTCAGCCATGCATAAATTTGGGCCTATATTTCAAAATCCTTGGCAATGCTCCAGGATGTCACTGGCTTTGCCTCAGCAGTGACTGCAGCAGGATTTTGCAGGATTGAGGCTGTATGCAATTTTTACACTGAGGCAGTTGGAGGATTTTGCAGGATTGAGGTTACATCTTCGCAAAAATGCCTAGGTTGTTAGGGTTTTAATGGCGGACTTTGGCTGCATTGGCAGCAGGGGTAGTCAAATCACTCAGTATGAATGTTGCTGCATGTATTGAACCTGTTAGCAACTGTATTACATTGTATTACATTGTGTTTATTCACTGATGAATCCATAACACCATGGATGGCACTTTTGAGCATCACAGGGAGCAGTAAGCAAGGTGGTTGGGGCAGTACCGGGACTAATGGGTCATTTACCTTGAAGAGAGCTCCAGTACCTGATGTCTTGAGTTCTCCTAGTACACACTGTACCTCACATCGCTCCAAGGGAATGACACCACGACAGCAATAGCTACGTGTAGATACTAACGGATCCAGTAGGTTGGGCTTGGCATATATCAGCATGTCATTGAACAGGAAAAACATGCGTTCATGAGCGCTGGAGCCTTTCTTGCTGACCTATATAATGCGACAACAGCAATGAGGGTGAAGCAAAATGCAAACTTAAACAAGTGATACTTGAGGTTGAAACTTGAGGTACGGGGTGAAACCCTGTAACGTAAAACCCCTTAAAACCTTGTAAGACCCGTAACAGTTGTTAACACCTTGTTTAACCCTGTAACACCGTGTAAAATCCTAATAACCTGTAACACCTCACAAACCTCGTAACACCTCATAAGACCTGTCACAGTCGTTAACACCTTGTTTAACCTTGTAACACCTTGTTAAAACCTTACAACCTGTAACACCTCACAAGCCTCGTAACACCTCACAAGCCCCGTAACACCTTGTAAAACCCCAAGCACATTGTAAAAACCCATAACAGTCCGTGAACACCCGTAAGACCTGTAAAAACCTGTAAAACCTGCAACACCTTGATAAATCTGTAACACCTTGTAAAATTCCAAGCACCTCATAAAACCCGAAACACCCTGTGAAAACCCATAAGACTTCGTGTAATCCTGTAAGACCTTCTGAAACCCATTAACACCTTGTGAAACCCTGTAACACCTCGAGCTGGAATGAAAACCGGTCAATGCAGCTTGTTGATTCAGAGAAGTGGTACTCAAGCACAGCTATGTTGCCCATGTATTTCACTGGTGCACATGGCTCGACGCCATACATTTTTATTCATGCTTGGTCTCGGTCGTCTTGGTCTCGGTCTCGGTCTCGGTCTCGGGCCTGCAAGGTATCGGTCTCGGTCGTCTTGGACTCGGTCTCGGTCATCTTGGACTCGGTCTCGGGCCTGCAAGGTATCGGTCTCGGAAATCTTGGTCTCAAAAGAGATGGTCTCGGTCTTGAATGCATTCGTTTTGGTTTCGGTCTTGAATGACTTTGTTTGGGTCTCGGTCTTGTTCTCAGACATGAAGGTCTTGACCGCAATATATTGTATTGTATTTTTGATGTTCAAAGGTTTCTACTCTCTTATAGGATGGTTTTGGATATTGGTCTCAAACACTTGGGTCTGATCCAATTCTTGAACACCTGACAGTAAGACTTGGACTACATACCTTCATGAGTGTTCCTTCTCGGATGAATTTTCGGCCTGGTGCAATGATTCTCGGCGCTCCTCCAGTCAAACTTGTCTGAATCAACAGCATCTTCTGAAAGTTCTCGTGTTCACGGATGTATTCATTGATTCCATATGTCACTTCAGTCATTCGGGCTGCAGCCTCTGTAATACAAATACATACACACAGGTCCAAAATAAGGTACAAAAAATGTATGCTCCAAGCTTTTCATCAGTAGAAGTACACACATCTCTTTTAGAATTATCACTTGAATGAAATTGAAAGAGAAATTGTAATAGAGATGAAACTGGCCTATGGGAAAACAATAAGAAAAAAGGCTGAATTAAAATACGGGTCAGAAATCTGGGCCGCACCCCAGTTACACATGTAGTATGCACACACACATGTACAACACATGTCATGCCCAGTGTTTGTTTATCGATATCAACGCACCACGCTTGGGGTTTCACGATGTGCGGCGCCGTCACATGGCCTGTCCTATTCAATTAATAGAGGGTGCAACACTTGCATCTGGGCTAGCGGTAGCGGTCAGGCTATCTCCTGCGCATACTTGGTGGTTTCTAATGCGGTCACATGGCCACCCAGAAAGAGCTATTGATTGGACTGCTGGTGTGTGGGCCACAATTGGGCCAGTGGTAGCTCAAAAGGCTAGCTCAAAAGCCAGGATTTGTCGCGGGTATGGGCTGGATGGCTGATTACAATGCTGCATGCAAGCTGCATCCCTACAGAAGTCCTTTGGACAGTAGCGAGTCATGAATAAAGTTACGCCATGTTGTTCACACTTCTTTGTGACTATTTTGGCAGCATTTTCTATGGGTCGAACAAAAGTTGAAGATAAACATTGTTGTGATGTTGTTTACACTTCTTTGTGACTGGCCAAACAAAAGTTTGAGGTAACGGGGGCATTGGTTTGGGTATTTCGAGGTATGGGGGCATTTATGTACATAAAATCCTATTCTCTTGATGGGAATGGGGTATTACTTTGAGGTAAACAGTTTTGAGGTAACCAAATTTGTGTTAACGAGATTTTACTGTATTTGATTGAGTTTCAAGGAATCACCTTATTGGGACTGTGGGGAGTGAGTATTTCCTCATGTTGGGATTGAGCTCAATATCAACACGACCGAGCCCTGAAATCATTGAAAGACTTGTCACCTTGTAATTGCTCATATTCTTCATGATTCTCATCAGTACTACTCAGCAACTCCTCCAGCAGTAGTTTGTATCTGCATGGACACGGGACAAAGTATTAGGCAATATGAGAGGTGGCATATGAGAAGATTTTTGAAATTTGGTTTGAAATCCACTATTCGAGTTTCAATTTTGGAAACTGGATATGCGAACCCAACCTTATAATAATAATAATAATAATCGGCATTTAAGAACGCTCTTATTAGTAAACTAAATCACAGCGCTTACAGTATTATTATTACCCCTGATCATTGGGCCAATTAAATATTCCAAATACCATCTCAGCTCCCTCGGGAGTATATGGCTCGATGCTGCCTGAATTAGGCGCAAGCAAGCTTATTCAATCACAATAACCATAGCCCTCACAGGTACCCATTTACTCCTGGGTGGAGAGGAGCAATGAGTGACAAAGTGCCTTGCCCAAGGGCACACGCACCATGACCCCGGCTGGACTCGAACCCACAACCCGCAGCTTTACCCACAGACCACAAATCCAGTGCCCTTAACCACCAGGTTTAAAAAATTAAGCCTTTGATTGTTTGTGACACAGGTTAAGGAAAACAACTGGAACATCCCCAATTTGCTCCATGGTCGCTGATTGTAAAGTTCTGCATTCACTTGCTTGTGGTCTTCTTGGTAGAGTTCCCTTCTATTTTGTCAGCATTACAGCTCTGGAGTGTTTTTGTAAAGGCCCAGTGGCCGTGGAATTTTGCAAACTATACCCATAGGCTATCATGTGGCACCTCACTTGTCACTTTTTGTTCAAACCTGGCAAGCTGAGCCTGGCAAGCTCCGTGGTTGAGTAGTTTAGATATCTGCACTAGAAAAGAGGCTGTTGGTTCGAGTCCCACCATGGCTAGCTTGGGATTGTATTCTTTGAAGTTCACACACAACACTGAGAATATAGAGCTTTTAAAAGTATGCTGGAGTGGGGCTCAAATGGGAATGTATGTGGAATATAGGAATGTACGTGAATTTCTGCATTGAATTTGAGGTACATGTATACAGGTTTTCATGCACACACATGTATGGCGCCAATGTGTTATTGACAATTTCAAAAAAGCTTGAAATCAGGGAATTGAAGGACTATGTTATATCCCTGCAAGTATTAAAATGTACACTTCTGTGATGCAACGTGTCCAAGATAAGAGACACACCTACCTTGGTATTCTCTGTATGGGTGTTATGAGCAGAGCGTGTAGAGTCAGGTTGGCACATTCAGGTTTGGCTTCTTGTTCTCTCAGAAACTGCACAAATGCAGCACGCTTATGCTCCCAATCCTGAAAATAGACAAAGTGTGTGTATCCACAAGGGCGGATCCAGAATACAATTTGTTGGGGGGGGGGCCCAAAAAAATTTGGTCTTCCAAAAAAGTGGGTCCAAAAAATTACGGCGTGGGGTTCGGGGCCCGCTTAAGGGCCCCAAATTTTTTTTTTGAATTCTAGATGCTCTGTGGTGCGATCTGAGGCAATTTCTGACCACTTTAACCAATGTTTTTTGAGGGAAAGATGGTGGTGTACTCATTGCCTGCCTTTTTTGCGATGTCACATAAAAAAAAAAAAAAAAATTGGTTTCGTTTGGGGGGGGGGGGGCCATGGCCCCCTTTGGCCCCCCCCCCCCTGGATCTGCCCTTGTGTATCCACATCCCATGAACAAACCAACATTTCTTCTTGGAACTTCAGATCTACTGTTTCTTCTCTAATAATAACTTGTGTTAAAGGCATAGTCAATTATTTGTCATTTGTGCATTTTGTTCGTTTGAAGCAACAAAAGTGTTCAAAATCTGAAGAAGGGTACTGAACAACCTGATGAAGTTTCAGCACAGCTTCAGCTGTACATTTCGAAAAAAAAAAAAGGCATTCTAGGATCTTGATTTTAAATCAAAAGTTGCTGAATCATGTTTTGAATTGGGCCTGAATTCAGCGATCTCACTAGCTGATTGCAGCTACGTGATGTCACGCACTGATCCGACAAATTATAGCAACCGCGGGCGCGTGTGCGTCGTGTCAACGCCTCGCTGAATAAAACAACAAACTACTAACGGACATTTCCAACGGTGCTTCTTAAGAAGCACCGTTGGAAAGGCTTTCTTTCGTTGAATTCTTCAAACTGACAGCTTGCCAGAAAGAATAATTTCACAGGAAGTTTAGTCCCCTTACTATCTTTCAACCAAGTATGTTTTTCAACAGTAATTACGCCAGTTACTTTTCGGATGGCTGCAAATAATGGACTCTGCCTTAATTCTTATGTCTGCAAATTGAATTGAGTTCCCCACTGCCAGGCTTGATACTATTTTTGCATAAAGATGAAGGCAATGCATCAAACAAAATAACATAAATAGTTAACAGTATACAATCATTGGACTGAATTTTGCCCATTCATCATGCACAAAACATTAATGTGTTTATTTCTCACCCTATTGTTAATTCTAGGTATGACATATGGAAAAAACAATACAAATACATGTACTTGCAAATACCATTTTACACAAGTTGTTAAATGATTAAGATACATGTACACATGTACATGTAAAATATTCTCACTAATAAGCAACTTGTCATGTAACATACTCAAATCTTTTCTAACAAAAAAAGTAAATTGTTCTGCAATGTCTTTATGTTGCGATGTCAAGAAGGTTGAATATATGCTTAGGCCATCCTCTAGCACCATAAATGTGTCTCAAATAAATGAGTTGCGAGCCATATAGCAATGCATGCTAATTTCAACTGAGCCTATCATGAACCTGCCGGTATATGTAATTTTTTTTTCTAGCATTCTCTACCTCTAGAGGGCACGTGTGGTCTAGCGGTAGAACACAGGATTCATAACTGTGAGGTTGTGGGTTCGAGCCCCGCCATGGCCAAGCGTGTTGTGCCCTTGAGTAAGGCACTTTACCTCAATTACTCCTCTCAACCCAGGTGTTAAGTGGGTACCGGCATTATTCAGTGCAGGGAAGGTAAGAGACTCGCTGTGGAGGAGGTGTGGCGATCCCCCCACAGCAGCATATGAGTCTGGCCCAATCGCTAATGAAAGAGAGATGGGCACTCCGTTCCTGTGAACACAGGTTCGTCCCCTTTTACTTCTTCCTCTAGATGCTAGATATCAACACGTAGGCTTTCCTGTGTTTTTGATGGGAACTTTGGAGAAAGTTTGTCTCAAATGAAAGCAGGATTTTTACTGGGTAACTAAACATCTAGAGATAGGGACTTTGAACTAAGAGGCTTCCATAGTGAAAATCAATTAAAAAACACTCCAGATTTCAAATTAAGTCAATTTAGCACTTATCCCTCTGTCACTCACAATATGGAGGAAGTCCAGTATTTGAGACACATTTATGGGGCTAGGATCCTTCATGACTTACCTGGAGTTTCTGTGAAGCTTTTTCAAAGTTATTGGCGTATGCACAATACACCTTCATGAATGGAGCCAGCTGAATGAATGCCTGGGCTATGCCTTGTTCTTCCATGTGTGCTAGGAGCTCCCGATTGACTGCTTGAATTGCTGTGATGTTCTCAAAGATGATGCGATGATCATCTGCTGGGATGAGTCCTAATGACTCCAACGGAGTCAGGAAATGCTAGGAGCAAGATGTACAGACATACACACGATGAACGTGACTGATGATGTAAAACTTGATCAGTGAGTTTCAAATATTCGGTCCAGTGCAGTTTGGAATAATCGACTACCAAATCACTTGAAAATGGACAGCCCTATGACCAAGACATTGATTGCACAGCTGAATGACTGAACGCCTAAATTTATTACATAATGGACAGTTTTCATGCCTGCAGCGATGGCTATCATTAGATTTTCCAACTAAATACTGCACCATGTACATACACATCTTACATCTCACCTGTACAATGATGGCTAGGTGGCTTTGATACTTTCTCTCCGTAGCAAATATCTCACAGATGATGCGTTCTCGCTTGCGAGCCATTTTGACGGCATGGTTACCAGTAAACTTGTCCCGAAACAGGTGTTCCAAGTCACCCTTGAATGTCTCCTTGCTTTTGGATAACCGCTCCCGCCAGCTGATGGAATGATTCACTGTATCAACACATGCAATCATTAATAAACATCATTATAAATATTAGAATGCTACTGAAAGGTGTACATGTATACATGTACTGTGAAATCTGGATAAGTCAAACCTCAAGGGAACAGGTTCAAAATTTGACCTAAGCAGAGTTTTGACTTAAACAGGGTTGTATCATTGTTATACTACTGAAGGCAATTGATTCTTTTTGACTTAACAGTTGTTTTGAGTTATCAGTGTTTGATTTATCCAGATTGGTACTGTGCACGCCTTTCAGAATGGCTAAATTTGACTCAATCAAAACAATTATTTGACTTTGACAATTATCCTACACTATAGGTCTTAGTAGTTGTACACAGTGTGCTGCCTGCATGTGCTTGTTGACCATAAAGGTAGCATACAACATTTGCAAACATCAAAAAAAAAACCAAACAAATACCAAATTATTATGAAATACCCTTACTTGACTGTAAGTGAATAATAATCTCAAGCATCCTGCGAAATTATAGTGCCCGGCCCTGGTGCAATCTCATTTTTAAGAACTTTCAGTGTAATTTCCAACAATGGTCAGCCGACCATCACTGGAAAAAAACTGACTTTCTTCAAATACTGCCCCCAAATTCATTTAGTCCACTTTTTGTTTGCAATTGATTACACATAAACGGATGCACGCCCTCTAGTCTGGTTCCCAGACCTGACAATTCCCTGAAGTTTATAAATTGCTCCGTCTTGGCTGAAGTAGGGTCAGGGAACCAGAGTACAAGAACAGCATTTTTTTTTCAACAGGCATGTGTAACAATTATTTTCTATAAAATACTAACCCCAAATCCATCCTTTTCATGAACATTTCAGCTAAAGCAAATCACTTTTTGTTGGTCTTCTTTTTACTTCACTGACTCATCACTCACGCATTGCCTGTCACTTGTGAATTTGACCAGCACAAATCTCCCCTTGGCCCAAAACAGTCACTCGCTTGAATACATGTACGTGGTCCGGCTTAGGGTCGTCTCAAGTCATATCAGGGACGAGTTCTCAAACAAGAAGCGGGCATTGTATCGGGTATAAGTTGCAGGATTCTGAACAACTTTCCTGCCATCTTCCCGCAATGAAGTTATCAATATTGATGAGTCAAGCAGTTGCTGATGAAAACTTCCCCGGAACATGTCCGGGACAAATGCAGAGCTTCTTCCAGTCAAAGTGAATGATTCTACCCGCAACTTGTCCAGAACTCGTCCTGGATATGACTTGAGACGAGCCCTTTGACCAACTTGATGTGGGCGGACTGGACTCGAGTGGCGTATTGACTTGAGGGTAATCCTTATCTTTAGGACACCTCTATTTTTTACGAGTTCTGTTCAAAACTGACTTTTGCAGATGACTGTCCAGTACCAAAGTGACTTTTGCAGGCTAAAGCAGTCTTTTTTCTTCATATAAACTCATGTTAGGCCAAAAAAAAAATAAATATTCGGTCTCTGGTCAGACCAAAGTTCCGGAATTGACGCGGCCACGCGGCTTTTTTTTTTTTTCCTTTTTTTTTCTTTTCTTCAGCTTGGATTGTACAGACAAGGTGGGTACTGTTTTGCTTTTTTGGTGTCCTCATGTACATTGGTGGCCTCCATAATTTGCCTTGGTGCTTTCGATCATTTGCCTTGGTGCAATTTCCCATTCCTTGGTGCTCTTTGGTAAAAAAAATTGAGGAGGTGCGGAAATAGAGGGCACTGTTGGAGCTACCGCGGAACATTATTTTTTTTTTGGCCTTAGTTGTAATTTTGAAAGCGCTTTCACAGAAAATGTGACTTTCCTACCTTTTTTTTCAGCCAGATGCATGTCGCAGTTTTCACAACACGAGTGAAAGCCCTACATGTACATAATCAAAGCTTGATGCTGATTGGCTGCTAAAAAAATTAATAAGATGTTTATTTTTTTATCAGCCAATCAGCATCAAGCTTTCATTGCATCGAGCTTTCATGTTTGCCATCTTGGTTTAATTTGATTCAATTTTCTGGTTGTCACCGTCGTCTTTTACCCCTGAATTTCCCTCATAAATCAAAGCCCTGCCCTCTTTCCACAAAATTAAACCTGCTGATATTCAAGAAGGTGTCATTGCCAATTGTTCAGATGTGTCAAGAAATATCAGAGTGTTAATTTTGAGTGTCATTTAGTCAACTGTTTTGGTGAGTCTTTCCCTTCCTACATGTATATAGGAACGGGGTCCTAAAAGTAAGGATTACCGACTTGAGTAATACAACTTTCTTCCTTATGAAAATGAAATACAGTGTCATTGAATGAAACCTCACATTTCTTCTTTCGATTGCTGAGAGGGCGATACGTTGCCCTTGCCAAAGGCTGATTTTCCTCCATTGTTGATGTCTTGGCAGATTTGGATCAAATCACTTTTCACTGGTCTGAAACAAAAAGGACCTGCAAGTGCCAAATTGTAAGCTCAAGATGTTCATCATTACAACAGAAAAAAAAATGGCAATAATACATGTACCGTAGATGCAAAACCTTAAGATCAAAATTTGGAGAGGATATTGGGAAACAAGTGGGCTAGTTTTCAAAGAACCTGAAACTCATTGTGCATGGAACTTAACATGATTCATCATCGACTCTGATGGCATGCATCAAATAAGGAGGAATTTATGAGGTGCTTCACGGTAACATGCGCCATGTCTTGTTCACGGGGCAAAAAGAACGTGTTGCTAGATACGGGTGCATTTTGGAATGACCGCATGATGACTTGGAAGCACTAAAGTATTCTACTGACGATGTGTACACAGCAACATGTGTTATATTGCCCTGCGAGCAAGATGGCGCATATTAGTACCGTGAAACATCTTAGTTTTGGTAAGGCGAAGTAAAAAAAAAAACATGTTTAGCGTCCCCGCCCGCTTCCTTTTTAGAGGCCGCCTCCTTTTTTTTTTTTTTTTTTTTTTTTTTTAAATATGGTGCAATTGCGCAGAAGAGATGTTCGGTTCTGCATAGTTACATCATTTTGGTCTCATTTTCTGTTGCATCTTGCCCATAAGAAGCCAATATGTCATTTCCGGAGTCCAAGTGGCGGCCATTTTGAAAAAAGCTGGTAACCATCTTGAAAAATAGCCAGGCCGCGTTGTCTTGAAAAATGTGTCGGGCGGCCATTTTGAAAAAAAAAAAAAAAAAAAAAAAAGGGCCTCCTCCTTCCTTTTTGTCAAAGAGGCAGGACGCTAAACATGTTTTTTTTTTATTTTGCCTAGTGTGAGTATATAATTAACTCTTGATTTACCCTAGGCATAGCCCCACTAATGTGGCCGTTGGTATGCTGCGCTGAACCTAAGGCCACACACCGTGGTCTGCGCACTACTGAGGACGTTTTCATAAAATTTGCAGGGAATTTCTTACATATGATTGTATTCTACGATGTCCCATCTATCACTTCTGGGATGCTTAGGTGTAATGATGTTCAATTTTACAAGGTATTCTTGAATCTTTCTGGAGCCCATATGCACTCGTGAAACGTCTGGTGATGGCAGCCATTTTGAATGTGACAAGAGATCACCTCAAGCTGTGACGTCGCATTTATGCAAATTGCTTGTCGAGCGAGGGCGCGAGTTGCAAATGCGACGGCTGTTTCCTGTGCCGTAGATCCTGAACAGAGATCAGTGCACGTGGCCCCCAGACGATAAATGCATGGTTTTATGAAAACGTCCTCAGTAGTGCGCGGACCATGGTGTGTGGCCTTAGGTTCAGCGCAGCATACCGACGGCCACACTAGTAGTGGGGCTACCCTAGGCATAGCTCTACTGAGTGGAGCGTTGAATTACGGGTACCCCTCCATAGTTGGTATGGAGGGGTACCCGTAATTCAACGCTCCACTCAGTAGAGCTACCCTAGGCAGTGCTAGGCTATGCTAAACAGGAAAAAGGTTAGCGATTTGCGATATTGCCACAAAAACTATAGAGAGTAGCACACGGCCTAATTGCAGAATACCCCGCCCCGCCACTTGAAGATCAGCCCCTTAAAATTAAAAAACAAACTGATAGTGATACAATTTGATAGGCCTAGGCACAAATAGGGTCTAAACGTTTACAAAAATGGTAAACATAAGTTAATTAATTGTTTTGGCTGACAATTGACATGACTGACAACATCAACATGATCAACATGTTCATGATCAACAGTAGCCCCATAAATGTGGCCTATTTACTGGACTGGCTCCGTAAACATAGGCCACACATCCACATGTACAAAAATCGTGTCGACTTTGCCAAATTTTGATTTTCACATTTAGGCTTAGTTTGTAGGATTTTTTTGCTTTAGAAGCATACTCACCCTCTTTATAGGCTAATCAGAAAGTGCTGCCTTTTTCAGATGTATATTTTTCGTGAAATTTCCAGATTCTTTTTTACACGTTTGCGTATCAAAATTTCAACATGAAATTTCACAAAAATTAGACATCTGAAAAAGGCAGCACTTTCTGACAAGCCTATAAAGAGGGTGAGTATGCTTCTAAAGCAAAAAAATCCTACAAACTAAGCCTAAATGTGAAAATCAAAATTTGGCAAAGTCGACACGATTTTTGTACATGTGGATGTGTGGCCTATGTTTACGGAGCCAGTCCAGTAAATAGGCCACATTTATGGGGCTAGATCAACAGATCAATGTAATAATGTGAGGTAAGTTGGGTACTAGTACACCTATACCAAGGACTTTTGTTTGAGCTGACCTAACGACATGTACGAACACTGTTGTGCTGTATGTACGGTACTGTACTGTAGGGAAAAAAAAACAACAACTGGGGTTCGAACTTCGATGATTCAAAATTACGCGCGCCGGGCAACCGGGACGGACAGTGAGGAATACAAAAATAGTTCACCAACCCCTTTTTTCAATCATGGAAAATAGAGGCTATTATTGATCATAGATAACGTGAATTTACTTATATCATGTTAGTAGAGTCCTGCAAACTAGAGTCTATGCTTAATGGCTTATTTATTTTTTTAAATTTGGCCTAACACATAAACTTACCGAACCGTACACCGCGATCCGTCCAATAAAATCCGGATTAAGCAAACCCGTCGACAGAGGGCGGTAGTTATGACATAGCGCCCCCTGTACTGACGCTTAAAACAAGTAGCACTAGCAGACCAGTAAATAAACTTCCATTGATCCCAATGGTAAATGCTCCCACTTCAGAAATTCGGGAAAAATATCCACAACTCTTCAAGGTGTTCGAGACACACATCAAATTAAAGCTTATTTCATTATCTTTCATTTTCTTTTCAATTTTTTTTTTTGGGGGGGGGGGGGGGGGACAACAGATGACTTTTAGGAGAAACTTCCATCCGAAGATCATCCCTGGAAATAGTCCTGCGAAGCCCATCGCCATTTTGAAAAAAAAACCCGATTCCTACACTCCATTGCAAAAAAAGAGCGCTTTAAGCGCCCCAATTTCATTGCAATTGAACGGAACTACAAGGTCAAGGTCCTGTACACGGCTTCCACCCATATTTTTTTTACAAACCCTCAAGTTTATGGCCCACAGCATGCTCAAATACTGAAGATTTTGAGGACATGCAAATCGCGATTTGGCCGGCGTAGGCAATTTCGGACCGATTTACTGGTCTGCAACCTTAGAGCTAGAGGCATAACTACGTTTTCGCTCGTACCCCCCCCCCCCACCCTGCAGGGCGGGGGTACGAGCGAAAACAACGTTACAAGAACGGGGTCGTAAGAGGCCCGATATCCCGGACCGTATATCCCCAGTGCATAACAAAAACGGTCCATTTTCCCCATATTATCCCATCCCAGATTTCACATCATACGATGACATTTACTGATTGATTTGACAAATTCGATCTCTGAATGCTGCATTTGGCCAGAGCTTAGACGAATTCGATCTGTAATGACGAATATTCCTAACACGGTACATAATTAAAAAGGGTGGCCAAACTTTGACACGAATGGTAAATGATTATTTGTTTTTATGTTGGTAAAAGCATGTACAATTTTCTCGGACGAAATGGAATATTAGAGTTAGCGACATTGAATTGACGGGAAAACCTATACTACAGGGTAAGCCAAAAAACCGGAACCCACCCCCCCCAAATATATATTTCGATGATATTTAAAATATGAAATGTATTTTTTTCGGGTTTTGGTTCCGCACATGATGAAAGTTTTCAATACTCTACATTTATGGACCAAAAGCATTCCTTTTTACCAAATCAATGTATAAAGAAATCTTGCCTTGTCTTTACTGATGAGAACAATTATCTCATTCTGCCGTCAAATGTACACGTAGTGCAACATTCTGCTTCCTGTCGAACAGTTTTGTCAAATGGTTGAGTTTTACGTTAACATGAATAATTCGATACATTGTCTAATTCAATGAAGTTACTACGGTAACTTTTGTGTCAAGCAATTTTTTTTTAATTATCGACAGCTACAATATTAGATAAGCGGCATATTTAAAACTACATAGGCCTAAAGTCCAAGGTTTTCTATATTAACATTGAAATATTTACAGACTATAAAATTGAATATAGTTCAAGAAACAGCAACATTTAAAATGAAAAAGTCAAGGGTGTCTTTCAGGCTCTCTAAAATTAAAGACAAGATATTTTTGGAGTGACAAAATTTAAATCAAAAATTGTTTTACTGCCAAGTTTAGGGACCAATAGTGTCCCAGTGTATCCAGCGGCGTAGCCAGGGTACTCATCCTGGAGGGGGGGGGGGGGGGGGGGCGACTGGGGGACTGGATGTTACAGTGGAGGGGTGCCCAATTTCATCGGGATGAAAGATAATTATTCAGATTTCTTTCAACTAACACTTGGCCTCCGTAAAATAAAAAAATAGGGGAGGGGGGCGGGGCGGAGCGGGGACACCATCTTTCCATAGAGGCACTTTTCAAAACTGAAATCATGGTCATTGTCAGACAATATGTTGCACTACTCGCTTTCCACGGGACAATAAAATTAACAGTCAATCTCGAAAAATAAGTAAAAAATAAAACTTTTTATGTTACACACGCTACTCATGCTTCAATCAAAATAACAGGTTGCCGAATTTCCGGGGGGGAGGAGGAAAGGGGGTGACCGGGGGGGGGGGGGGGGGTTATGGGGGGGGGGGGGGGCTGCTGCGCCCACGCCCCCCCCCCCCGTAGCTATGCCGCTGCCTGTATCAAAATACAGAAATGTATAAAGAGATCCTGCTTGGTCTTTACTGATATCAAAATATATCTTCTGTCAAATATTGGACACCATTTTCACTGCACAACTCGATTTGCTATCCAATTAGTGTTTTTGATTTTACGATATCATGAAAAAATTACCTATTCTGCGTAATTACATTTAGTGCACAGTTGCACACACACACAAATATAACCTTAATGACCCATACCCGAACCTAACATTAACCTACCCTGACCAAACTTTGTAAATTTGGGTTTGAATCACGAGAAATCGATTGCGCATATTTGCAACTTTACAATTTTGCCTAGAAAAAGGAATCAAAACTTTAGAAATGTCTCCCTATATAATGTACATAACAATATGGTATAACTTTTGATGAAGATCCCTAAGAGTATATTACGTAAATTATATACAATGCATATTTCACTACAGTAATTGATATAGCAACTTTCGGCAAATATATAGTAATTCCTTATCTCAGCAGATAAAATAGTGGATACATGAGACTATGGTGCACTACGTGAAGTTGAAGCTTTTATGACATCGAAATAGTTACAAACTGCTGTCAACTGGAGTAACTTTGGCAGGTTTCTTTCTTCTAATAGTACATGCAAATTTTCCTTTTGTGCTTTTTTTGCAGCTGGGCCCTAATCTGTAATCTAGTAACAACAAATAGTTAATCTGTTTGTTTGAATAGAGCCTCCTAATGTGCTACAACTTCCTCGTGTATTGGGGCAACTGTGGAAGGATATCGGAATTGAATGAAATTCACAAAACTTGTACAGTTATAACAATATCATTCACGGTAAATCAATATTAGGTTTTGCACTTCACCGACATATAAACACTGCACATGTATATCCAGTGTGTTACCTCCCGAGTGAAAGTTGGAAAAAAATCACTCGGGTGGTATTCGAACCCAAGACCTCTTGCTTCCTCGTGCAGACGTTTTACCACTCAATCACCGAGCGATATCAATGCCACCTATATCTAATGACATTCATATCAATAATGGTATTTATGATCTTAAAGATCGAACATATTCTTTTAAGGACATGACTTTATAGAATCAATTTTATTATAAAAGTGTCAGTATGACCGCGCAATAACATGCACTACGGGTATAAGGCTTCTGCCAAACTTACCCAATTCACGGTATTTAATTAAATATTATTATTCAGGAAAAAGAGCAACATTTAAAAATGAAATAAAGTCAAACAAAGTATAAAGCAATTTAAGGTGAGTTTTTATGTAATTTTTTTGGCTTCTCTAAAATGTTAACAGTGATAACTCTTAAATCACAAGTTGTTTACTCCAAATTCAAGGTACTGGTATGATGAAGAAATGTTGATGTCTTTACTTATTTTTTTCTTCAAATATTGTACATCATTTTCTTTACACAAATAGGTAACTCATCAAATTGTTTGATTTTGATATGAACATTTGAACTTGGTACCGGTATTGTATAAATCAATTAAATCATTCTGGCAATTTTTGAGGCAAATTTAGTTATTCCTTTATAAATATCATGGAAGATACAATGATTGATAATCGAATCATTTCTCATGACATTGAAGTTGCGTTCCCCGTGAACTTAAACAAATTAGCTGTTTTTTTCCGATTAAAATGTTTCCTCTTGTATGTTTTTATTCCAAACAAACAACTGTTTGTTTCCTTTTAGGGACGTCTCAACCCTGAAGAAGCCAGGCCGTTATTGATACTGATTGTGATGCTGGAACCAGCCAAACCGGAATTATTGTCCGGCAGACACCAATTCGAAACATTGTACAGTAGTAATTCAATAACTAAACATGGACCGATTTGTTTCCGGTTGCCATGTCTCATTCAACAGAAAATAACCTTTGTATTGCTAGAAAAATAGCGATGTAGAGAAGGACTCTTATTAGGGATAAACCTCATAAATAGCAAGGGGAATGCAACCTTAAAATATTAACAAACTCTTTGATCTCGATGTATACCCACCCATTTAGTGCCTCCTCGACTCATTGGAAATACACTACATAATTCGCATTTTTGATGATAAATTTGGTTGTTCCTTTATCAATTAATAACATCAGTGATCACCGATTTCTTTTTTTAATTGCTAATTAGTTGGAAAGTTAATATCCCAGTCAGCAGATGTTTCAGAAGATATCTGTATGCTGAAAACGCCCGGGTTGCCAACGTAGCGTATTGTCGCAGTTTCCACGGCTCCTTCTTTTCCCACAATTACAGCATCGTTGGTGTCATCGAAAATTACCCAGAAGTTTCCAGGAATGGCATCCTGAATGTGGTCCGAAGAAGCAAATGGCTTACTAATTTGGGTGTGATATGTGGCCAGCCCTATATTGAGATATGACATAAAGAAATAAACATGAAGTTTTGTAAAATTGAATGGCTGAGCAATTGCACATGATCTGTGGCAAGCTCTATAATGAGATAAGAAATAAACATGCAATATTGCACAATGTCGATTGTGATTTGATTTTCGAAACGGTCCTGCTTTTTGCACCTGCGCAGCTGAGCTGGAGTTATTAGATTGACACCATTACAGTACAGTATCAGGGGCGGATCCAGGAATTTTCGCAGGGAGGGTGGGTTTCATCAGCCAAAAAATCTGAAAATGTACACAGGTTTTTTCTCCGGACACTTCATTTGGCCTCCGTAAAATAAAAAATATGGGGTGGGGGGGGGGGGGGGGGGGGGGGGGGCTGGTACCATATTTCAATAGGGGCGCTGTTCAAATTCGACAATTATTAATACTAGATTACAGAATGGTGTACCGTATTTTGAACAGGAGGACATTATACCAGTATAATTTTTTTTGGGATGCCACAGCAGGGGGGGGGGGGGGAATTATTTTGAATTTGTATGATAATTGTTTTTTGGGACAGAGCTGGGGGGGGGGGGAGAATGACCCCCCCCCCTCTGGATCCGCGCCCGAGTATGAACAAATTACAACAGTTTGCTCGCATATTTTGTACCATGGACGTATCCTGTTTAACATAGTCTACGAAAAGGCCTGAAAGTCTACGAAATGAGTCTTGGAGACAGTTTCACTTATTTATTAGTTCATATGCATGTAGAACAACATACTTTGTTCTTCATTTATATGGTCACTCGGATTGATGTCTAAATAGTTGCATATTATATAATGGCTGAAAATGTTGACCGCTCCTGCTCCATTGTGTACAGGTTGAGTTGAGTAAACAAAAGCGGGACAAAAACCTCCAAATTATATTTCAGTTTTAAAAATACATGTAGCACCAAAAATAAAAGCCAATTTCATAAACTACTTTTACATGAATAAAATTACTTATTGCTCAATCCGTTCAAACACATTTAAACACAATGACCCTGAGACCTCTTTCGTCCAAAATGCGATTTCAAGAATCGTCGTCACAATTGTCTTCAACATCACGAGCGATAAAACCTCAGCTGAAAAGTTAAAACTATTTAACAAAGTCCTTTTGAAGTCCGGTTTTTTTAAAGAGGATTTCATAAATCATATTGTTCGCCAAACAAGGGTTGTTAATAAAGATTAAAGAAACTGTGTACTACACTTGTTGACAGTTGCTGAAACAAGTATTCTGTGTCATTTTCTTTGTTGTTCCACACAGTCAGAATTGTACAATTATTTGTTTTTGGTTGGACAAAACAGAATTTAGGCTTGTTGCATTTAAATGGTGATATTCCTGGAACGGATCTGAAATTGGCTCTCAGTCATTATTATTTTTGGTGCTACATATCTTTTTTTTTAAATGAAATATATTTTGTAGGGTTTGGGTTCCACTTTTTGACTCACCTTGTACAATAATTTTGTATCAGGGCCAATTACTCAAAATGAGCTCTTGTGACTTGGATGTGCCTGTGCACAACTGACAATCCATAAATATTCAAAACACTGCAAACAGCCAGAAGTATCCCAAATTAAGCAAATTATGAAATTATGGAATTGCGGACTTTTCCTTTTCAACCACGGGATAAGTCAGCTATTTCGTTTTATGTTTAAAACACGTTTTGAGAGAAGATCAGATGAGTCTTTACGGAATATCAGTCGACTGTTAAATGTGCACAAAAATAAATTTACACTAGAGGTTCGCATTTGTTGTTACAAACACAGAGTGGTCTGGTAGACGACTTTATTATAAGACATTGTCCAGTTCAGTTATGAATATGTTCATGTCAGAAAAAAAATGATCACGAACTTTAACATTTCCAAAACCAATTATTTTGTTCAAAAATGCGTCTCTTAGGGTATTATCAATTCCAGTAAACATTTGGGTACACGTTCAAGTTATATTCGGTTTAATGACGTCATCAGTCAAAAAAAGGGAAGGGAGGACACTTGTTTATCATTTAGTAAAAATAACGCATGGAAATACGGAAACTAAGTGTCTATCATAATAACAGCCAACTTCCGGTTTGATGAAATCACCGTATTTGGAAGCAAAGGGTCAATATTAAGTGTAACAGATGCATTTTTGGGGGGCAAAAATCAATGTCATGTGATAGGGATCAAATGATGGATTCGTGAGATGACGTCAAAATTATGTTTTTGTGATTGGCATTCCTCGCTTAACACTTGCATAATGTATTTGTCTGTAGTAGAATGCTTCCGTTTTAGATTCAATTTCTATTGTAATTCCGGTAGCACCGGAAGTAAAGGTCAAGCAGTTTTGTGCCCGGGAATAAGAAATAACAAACATGATACTCTAGTTAGTTCAAAAGATATAGGTCAAACTATTTTGTCAAAACATGCCATCAAATCGCTTGTAATTTGACACCTGATGACATCATGATGACGTAACAACATTTATAACATCTTCATAACATGGTACAAGTTCAAACTAGGTTTTATGATCATACCGTAAACCATTTGGAAGAAATTGTGCTTTGTTTCGATTTCAGGCTAATGTCTTCATTTTGAATTCACCTAACTTTGACCTTCCGGATAGAACCAGAAGTAAATGTCAAGCGAGTTCACGTACACGACAAAAATGTTTATCAACTAATGGTCTATCTGATCACAAAGTTCCAATATAATTGATCATTTTGTTCAAGAGTGATAGATGAACGAAGATCGTCATTGTTTTAAAGAAAGTTGCTTGTAATTTGACACCCGATGAAGTCATAATGACGTCAGAGTAATATGCACCACTTAGGATGTGGGTCGAAAAATATTGAAGTTACAAGGTCTTATCATAAACCGTTTAGGAGAAAACCCGCGGAAACGTGCTGTACGGAAAAAAAAATTAAAGATAGGAGAAAACCCGCGGAAACGTGCTGTACGGAAAAAAGAAAGAAAGATAGAAAGATTAATCGTAGCAACTCGAATGAGTGCCCGACCTCTCAAAAACAGTCTCCGCACCTTGCTTTTGTGCTTACGACGAATTGCACTTACGACGAGTTTCATGAAATGGTTCGCAGGACCCAGCGATGCGACGCAGCGGGATAGTCGACATGAAGGACTCCAAAATATTGCGTTATCGTATTTTGCGACGTGTTGAATGAAATCGGGCCTGCCTGCGTCGCTGCAGGTTCCATGAAGTGAGCAGTGCAGATCCTGACAGACTCTGCTCAGACGCCCGGGAGGCTGCCAAGCTTCCTTAAACACTGACCTAGATTGACCTACAAGCGATATTTTCACTGCTGTTCAAATCGGACTATTATGGACAGTATCGGAATTTTGACAGTATTTTGACTTACTAAGTTCGAAGAGCAGCTTCCCAGTTTCACCGTAGAACTTCATGTAAGAGGTGTCCGAAGATTCAATGTGAAACTCCAACTTCTTAACTGGGGAGTTGAAATTGCCTTGTGCAGGGTATCGAATTGGACCTGAAGCGGTGTCCGTTGTGAACCTCTCAACCACTGTAGAGGTGTCCGTTGTGAACCTCTCAACCACTGTAGAGGTGTCCGTTGTGAACCTCTCAACCACTGTGGAGGTGTCCGTTGTGAACCTCTCAACCACTGTGGAGGTGTCCGGTGTGAACCTTTGAATCACTGTAGAGGTGTCCGTTGTTATCTTTTCCACCGCTGTAGGGAATCAAGAAATAATTGATTTACTGCAGCTAAACTCCTGGGGAAAACGCCTTGAACTATGTGCACGCACGTACCGGGCAGAGTTACAAGTACTAACTACTATGTCTTCCTTCCGATCTCACAACTCAGTCATTCGGCTGGGGAAAACTTGCATTCGCATTTGCGTAAAAATTTACAAGCTCAGTTCAAATTATTACAGGGTATCTACATCCACGTAGAACAAGGAGGAAGCAGATGACGGCATTTTAGCGTTCAATCTCGTAACCATTGGATTTCACTCCCGATCAGGAATTCAATTGGTTATTCATAATGTTTGTTTGGATATTGGAATTCGATATTCGAACATTCGAATTTGTTTCTACATGGAATGTCCATTTTGTTTTTGATATTGGATATTGGATGTGCACATATAGCTTTGTTCAGTGAATATCCACATTTAATGAGAATATTAGACATTGTATATTCACCTAGATTTGTGCAGCGAATGTCCAATTTTAATTTGGATATTGGACATTGTATATTCACCTAGATTTGTGCAGCGAATGTCCGGAAGGAGGCGTGATTCAGAGACAACCCTGCCGTAAATCACGCCGACGACTCCCACGAGAGAAACGCGATTACGATGACTTTGGTAATGCAAAATATTGTATATCCACATAGGTTGTGCAGCAAATGTCCATTTTATTTGGTTATTTGACAGTCAAATAGCTTCGTACAGCGAATATCCATATTCTATTTGGATATTAGACGCTGTATATTTACATAGGTTTGTGCAGCAAATTATCACATTTTTCTTTAAGTCCGGGAGCAGGCGTGATTGAGATGCAGCCCTGCTATGAATCATGGCGACGGCTCCCACGAAATGCGGCTGCTAAGTTTGTCTGGTAAATACTCGGAAATTGTATATGCACATATGTTTCTGCAGCGAATGTCCATATTTTTAAAGTCCTGTGGGAGGCGTGATTGAGAGGCACCCCTGCGCAGACGGTAAACCCGAATGACTCGACTCGAGTCCGACTCAAGTCACATTTTTTGGCAACTCGACTCGACTCGAGTCCCGACGGGTAAATGACTCGACTCGACTCGAGTCACTGCGAGCAAATGACTCGACTCTACTCGACTCTAGGAAGGCTAATAATTCTCGAGTCTTAAAAATAAAAGCAAAACTTATTTGCGAAAAATATTTGCAATGACTTACGCCGCGCCGTTTGCTTTGCCAGTTTTTGTTCACGTCACGTTATGTTCGCGAATAATGTACGTTCGTGTACAGCGGCCGTCTGTGTTCCTTCCTCCATAACAAAGATACTAGTATCTTTGTCCATAATGATACAACAAACATACACCGTGTCGCGGACTCCCACCTTGTGGTTCTATAACATGTAATGCTAAACCCTGAACCAGACTTAAAACGCATTTCTGAATTAGTGGTTTCATCATTTGTTTCGGGCGATTTCATATTAAGCTCTTGGTGGAACGCTGGCTAAATTTATGTCCCGATTTCACACAAAAAATGGATACGGACGGGCCCACCTTTAAATAATCAGAAACAGTTTTGTATAATGCAATTAGGTTTTGACGTTGTCAGTGATCAGCGAACAACAAAATCTAGACCCGAAGCCAAACCAGTTATAAGACCGAAGTTTCTCATCTGTGACGTGAGCTAGCAATGGAAACTGTTGGTTGGGTACCATATAGCATACTTTATGTCTGTGGAGTTTCGTTATAGACTGGTGCACTGTATTCCTTCGTCCATTAAAGCGCATAGCAGCCGAGTTCGCTTTTCACGTACGTTTTTTATACACGTTCATGTCGGCAACTTGTTTTCACAATCATTATCTTTTGTGAGTAATCTGACCCGGAGAATTAAGAAATAAATCGCGTACAGCTGTTCACAATGAAACCAGCTATAGTATCGTTTGGATTCGCCAACTACAAAGTAGACAAACAGAAAAATAAGCATTCGGCGTCGTGCACATTTTGCAAATCAAACATAAGCGAGCGGTGGGCCGGGGGACATCGTCGAACTTTTCCAGACATTTAAAAGCAAAACATGCAAGACAGTAAGTAATAAGCCAAGTTGTGCATTGTCCAAGAACATGAATTAAGGGCTTAGTCCAAACGTTTCATACTTTAGCATAAAAAAAGTTGTAACTTGAACGGTCATGATGGTCAGGGAGCCCCGTATTCCCGTAATGTCAAATGTGGTGTCACCACATGTAGTAGCCCGAATTTAAAATTAATAAAAAAATGACTTTCTCTCTTGTGTTTGTTGCTTGTTATTGTATTTATTGTATAGTGTTCAAATATTTGTGACTCAAATTGACTCGAGCTAAATAGTTGACTCGACTCGACTCGACCACACACTGTAACTCGACTCGACCTGACTCGACCTTGTTGACCTAATGACTCGACTCGACTGGAGTCATTTCTTTAAAATGACTCGACTCGACTCGAATCACAAAAATCAGTGACTCGTTACAACTCTGCCATGAGTCGGGCAAGTATCTACTTAATAATTCAAAGATACCATTCGGTTCTCGAACACCATCACAAAAGAAGATATTTTCACCTCACCGACACACGTAATACATCGTGCTTATATCATCACAAAAGAAGATATTTTCACTACACTGACACATGTACCACATCATGCTTATCATCCTCAAAAGAAGATATTTTCACCCCACTGACACATGTACCACATCGTGCTTATCATCCTCAAAAGAAGATATTTCCACTTCACTGACACATGTACCACATCGTGCTTATCATCCTCAAAAGAAGATATTTCCACCTCACTGACACATGTACCACATCGTGCTTATCATCCCCAAAAGAAGATATTTTCACCTCACTGACACATGTACCACATCGTGCTTATCATCCCCAAAAGAAGATATTTTCACCTCACTGACACATGTACCACATCGTGCTTATCATCCTCAAAAGAAGATATTTCCACCTCACTGACACATGTACCACATCGTGCTTATCATCCTCAAAAGAAGATATTTTCACCCCACTGACACATTTACCACATCGTGCTTATCATCCTCAAAAGAAGATATTTCCACCTCAAAGATCATGTACCACATCGTGCTTATTAGACAAGCTAAGGGGATTAGACAAAAAGGGATTGTTACGTAGTTTTTTTGAACATCAGATCCTTGAAAAAGGGTAAAAAGCGGTTTTCCCGAGCCGCATACGGTCCTGCATTTGCATCATTTCTCACGGTCCATACTACCAAAGTGCGCGTGCGCATATCATGACAGAGTGTGTTCGAGCACGTTGATCCTAATGCAAGCCATCTGTTCAGTGACAGATTTGAAGGAAAGTGACAGGGATTCGTAAAATGTATTGTGATGAATTAAAACATCACAAACAAAAGGTTTTGATAGCTTTCATTGCACTCTCTTTATCGAAAATATTACAAAACTTTTGCTTTTCCAGCACGTTTGAAAACTTTTATTTTTATGAAAATGGTTGTTGCAAGATTGAATTTTTTTTTCCGTTAGTCATTAGTGACAGAAAGCAAGATACCTAAGGCGTCGTCTACCACAGAATACAATATTAACATTTTGTTGCGTAGCACTTGAAAGAGAAAGAAAATGGTCAAAGAGACCCAGAAATGGCCTATCCAGCACGCACCAAACGGTAGTCATTAGTAGCATCAACCTTGTGCACAATTATGTACCGAAGTTGCCATGGTAATCGTAAATATTTGTTTCTAACCGATGTACGTAGCTGCTTCGTAGAAAGATCTGATCGGTATAATTTCGAGACATATTAATAAAAATTTACATTTACATAAAAAATGGATGAGTAAATCCAATTCGTGAGAATACTGGGACGCATGGAATAAACGTTTCCTTCTGAAATGTTACGGTTAATACGTTTGTTCCTATTGTTTATTTTCAGTTTACTGCAAAATTCGTTTTTGCGGAATAGCTTTTTAAAAAGTGTATGTAATTTCTAATTTTGGTAGTAAATAAATACCTTAAAATATGCAATATTTAATTGAACTGAGTTATAAACAAAACAAAACAATGTTAGAGATAAAAATTGTAATCTACAGGATGTCCCCACATAAAGTTGTGCGAGCAGATATCCTTCAATTTCTCAAAACTAGTTAACATGAGTATTTCATTTTGATGGAGCATAATAATCATATAGGCCTTCTCTTGTGCATATTCAGTACAATGGAAATCCGTTCATGCGACAGAAGATCTAACAGATTATAATAGGCTATGAGTATTTCACCCGTTCCAATGGAATGGGTTAACTTAATAAATCAGAATGAAAAGGCCCATGACAATCTGATGCACTGATACCATTAACTGCGTATAGCCCATTGGAATGCGTGAACAATCCATAGCCTTTTACAATTTGTTAGGTGGTTTGCATGGATGGAACTCCATGGCATTTTCACTTACTACATGCAAGACTATAATTAATATGCTCCATCTAGACGAAATACCTATGTTAAGTAGGTTTTGAGAAATTAAAGGATTTTTGCAAGCACTACTTTTTGGGAATACCTTGTAATTTTAAGGATCATTAAAACTATTATCATTTCGTGGGAGAACAGAAAAAGGCGTATTTCGGCCAAAATGACCAGAACAGAAGGTCAAAACCACGAATCGAAAAGATTAATCAGGGATAAAAACTTCGAAAACGTAAAATAATTATGGTTAAAGAGTAATAAAAGGAAGCTTTTATTGTATTTTTAAACATTAAACTGAAACGTTGATAAGGACTTGCATTCTCAGAGAATAGAAGGCAGGCTTTTCCAGCTGTGTCCGTGTGAATATTGGAAATTCATTTACCAGAGATAGAGTCAACAGTACCAAAAGCGATGCCATGTTTCAAAAGCAGTGACAAATCGAATCTCCCAGAAATAAAAAAAAATAACATAAGGCCAAAAAAAAAGTCTCCGGTTTCTGGTATGCGCGCGCGTCGCCGTAGCCATGCGCGTCGGCAAAATGAAAGATGATCTCAAAACCGCCAAACTCACTGGTTTGACTGGAATCCTGCTGCTGCACAATTTTAACGTGTTTTTAGGTTGGGTTATGGTCGAGAATAAGCTTTATGTGGCCTCTCTGGACCCCCATATATTTGCACTAAGTTTAGTCGTGCACCATTTGCAGTCATCAGCTGACATTTGAAGCAACAAAATCAGGTTAAAAAAAAAAAAGCCGCGTCGCCGCACCACTTTTTGGGCAAACTCCATACCAGAAACCGGAGACTTTTTTTTGGCCTAAGCCGTTTGAATTCGACATTCTTCTAGAATTAATATCTACTTTTAACGTTGATTTGAAATTCCTCTAAATGCCTGTATGCAAATTAGTTATACGCAATTCTATACAGGGTGAGTCCAAAAGAAGGTGACCGATTTAGAAATGTTATTATATGGCTCATAGGGATAACATAGGGATGATAATTAAATATTATTATATAATACAAACAACAATGTGGTGCTAATAGCGCCACGTGAGTCGAACACCGTACCATTGGACCACATCGATCCACCTATTGACTATAGTAACTGTGAAACGTAATTTGCATACTGTATTTCCAAATTATGGCTATTTTAAGAAAAGGATCAAACAAATTCAGCTGTCCACCACTGATCATTTGTTCGACGGATGAATACTTATTAGATACAATAGAACATTGAAGAATGAATGGACGTTTTCCAACCTTCATAAATGAATGAGAACTTGAAAAGCAAAACCTCCAAAAATTGCCATCAATATTTCCGGGAAAAAATAGTTGAATGGACTCATATTACAGGTATAAAATCTGACAGTAAACAAATACGTTTCGGTCTTGATTTAAATGATTAAAATCTCGTTGGTATTCGACTGTGTGCAATTTGTAATTCCCACTCAGCTCAATAGCTTAGAATAGCATTCCGTGGACAGCTATAAAAATGGGATCTTTTACACGTGCATAACGTATGATAGCGTGGATTAATTTCAGTAATTCTATTTTTTTTTGGAAGAAAGGAAGAACATGCTGTTTAAGACATGCTTCATTGCTTCAAATTTAACTGCTTTTTAAGAAAAAGTATGATTAGTTTGGGTCACTTTCTTTTTGACTCCTGTTGTATAACAGGAAGGCGCAGTTCAAGTACCTTATTGTTATGGTGAATTTTTTTTAATAAATACACCTTTTTAAACTTATTCCCCATAGGTAAATTTCTGCAAATAAACAGCAAATCTAAACACTGCGGAAATTGAGAGCTGCTGGAAATTAATATTCAATTATAGGAAAACACATAAACATTTAAAAGACCCACAAATTTACCTGAAATGCCTTTACAAGTGAAGAATGTCTGTATTTCAGCAGGGTCCTCACTGACGATCAGCTGCTCCAGATACCGAGGCGCTCCTTGGCGGTACGACGAGGCAGGGATGCGCATCCCGCCCAGACGCATAGCGGTGCATTCGCACGGATCTTTGTTCGGTAAGAACCAACGGAGTGGGATACCAGATTGTGGGCTGTACTCCCGGCCGATGAAACAGACTTGATGGCATGACACAAGCACTGAACAATATGGGGAAAAACAGACATTTTAATATATCATTGACATTGCTTTCCATGGTGCAGGAACGGTTACTTTTCAATCAAAAAAATACATCCTTGTTCATTATTTCGTAAATTCAAGTAAATAGGCTAGTACCTCGAATTGACTCTTTATAGTAGTATGAAAAACACACATTTTACCGGGTTATTTTACTACCCGATAAACAGAGACTAAAACGATATTAATTGCATGTCTTTGTTTTGCAACTTTGGAGAAAAGAACATAGTTATTTTTATATGCCATCTACATAAATGCGTCAGGTTGATGACTATAATGGTTGTTAAGTGTTGTTTGCTGTATCTATTTTTATTCAACCAAAACATGATATTTAGTGTTTGAGGTCAGTTTTCTTGTCTAGATGTACGTTTGTGGACAAACGTATGGTTGTTTCGGCAATTTATTGCATGTCATGTATAGACTGAGAGGACATACATGTGCAGTAGAAAGAGACAGATTGATGAGGATCAATGTAGGTATAGGGCTTAGAAAATTGCACCTTTAATGTGACGTCACTTCTTGTGTGATTTCATCCACCATGACGTCACTTCAATTTCCATCAATAATACCAAGTTACGACCAATTAGGACCTATGCAGATATAGATTATAGAAAAATGCGCATTTAATGTGACGTCACATGATGTGTGATGACGTCACTTTAAATGAATTAACAATTCATACTTAACACGTCCCTATGTAGTACACACCAAGTTACACCAAAAGTTGGGCCTATAGTTCTGTCGATATAGGCCTTAGAAAAAAGCATTTTAGTGTGACGTCATCATGACGTCACATCAACTTTTATCTACAACACACCCCGGTCTACGTACATACGAGCTTTCAACCCAATCAGACCTGAAGTTCAATTACAATGCACTTCCAGTTTCAACCGGAAGGAAGGGTCACGTGATTTTGCACGTAATAAGCAGTGCGTTCGATTACTTTCCCCAGCTTACTCGCGCCTGGCTCCTCACGTAATGACACACATGCGCATTGGAGCTAAATAAACGAATAGTTTCGGGTAAAGTTTCGTATAACAAGAGCTGGAAACATGGGCGCCTTCAAGATTTTTTTCTAGAGGGGGCAAAACATACTTTTAGAAAAAGATCCTGTCTTTCTCAACACATTCTCGACTTATCAGTTTTAGAGGGGGGGGGGGGGGGGGTTAGGGACTTTTTGCCCCCCCCCCATTAAATTTACACCAATATGACTTCTTGCCTCTTTTCTTTTCCCTTTTTTCTCTCTTTCTTATCCTTCCTTTTTTTTCCAGGGGGTGTGAATGTTGCAACCTGACGCCATTATTTTCTTCATATATCATCTCAATAAAGGTCCATCATTGCAAAAATGATGATAAGACATGAATCTTGGGCTGAGAAATATTTCCAATTTTGTTCGGAAAAAAGATTTCTTGACTCATAGGCTTTGTTCACAATTGCGGAAGTGGCGTCAGGTTGCAACATTTTCCCCAGTGAAAATACGCGGGGACGCGCTGACAATAATTCGAGCCGAAGTTCCGTGCATAGAGCTACATAGAGTTTTTAGCTCAATGCTCCGTGCACGTGGAAGCCCGTTTCGGACTAGGCATGAGGCACCAACCGGACGTTACACAGTGACGTAGCCATGGCATTATTATATCTTGCACTCTATTGTTCTCATGGTATGACGTAAGGAATAATTGATGAGGTAATTTTGTTGTTCGGGTACAACGACAATCTCTAGTTTTTTTCAATGGTTAATATTTGTAACTGCTTGTTGTTGCTATTTGTATTTAAAAGGTGACTGAAATGTCATCAGAAAAGCCAGACAATGTCTTGCCAGTTGCCTTCGCATTCGCATACGAAGTATAAAGGGCCCAAATGGGCCTTACCTTGCTAATACGTTTGAAAAAAGTTTGAACAGGTAAATCTATATTGTGTTCGATTACTTCCTCGCGCATACTTGTGTAAGCGCGACTGCTTTCAATTTAACTCTCCGTGACTTCTTACGCTTACTCGAGCCTAGCCTGGCCCAAGTAACCGACCCGCTTAGCCGGTTATTTGGGTAACTTATAATGCCATGCTAAAAGATGGCTGCCAGCGTACAGTGACGGCCACGTCCAGCTATGCGCAAACGGTGGGAAGTTCAAAAACGATTTTCCAAAAAAAAATATTCCAGGAGATGGGAGGAAAATTGACACATTGTGATGACAGTTTGTCTGAAGCAACATGGGTTCAGTCAAGCATATCACCTTCAATATAATTATTTAAAACCAATCCACTTTAAAAAGAGGCTCCAATATTTAATGCTTATTATTGATTGTGGCCGTACGTCGTCGAGTGACCCGAGAATATTCGTTTACTCTCACGTACTGCGCAAGTGCAAAGTTCCCCGAGTTAGAGGCACGAGTAAGCACGGGGTGGGTGGGGGGGGGGGGGAGGGAGTAATCGAACACGCTCCTATGAATTTATTATTCATCTGATTCTTATTTATTATAAACGTAACTATAGGTTTTCCCGGCTATTTACAAACAAATCATTCAAATGTACAAACTCTGTCATTCAATTTTGTCCACAAAATGTTCACTCGCTTTTAACAAAACCAATTTAGTCATGTTCCATTCAACTATAAAGTTTGGTCTTATTTACTGGGTCGAGAATATTCGTCTTTACAAATCAAATTCGTCTAATAATAATAATAAGATGTTGCCGATGGGCAGCATTCAGAGAATTTCAGACGAATTTGATTTCTGAATCACACGATTCGGCGTAGACGAGAAGAAATCGAATACTCCGGGTCGAAAACGTGTGTTCATTGTTTGAATTTGTTTGGACTAAATTTGAAATTTTGTGACAAAAGATGAAATTAAACATTGGAATTGCACTATTAAATCGATAGTTTGAATATAAGAATCGGTGAATTCGAACGATAAAAAAACCCCAAATAGTGGGGAAAACCTTCATTTTGTAATATAACATCAAAAGGTGCTTTTGTCTATATATGACTGGCAGAAGAAATGATTTGTAGGAAGTTTTGCCAGCAGGCCATGATGATACGAATGTAACTCACCTTCAGCAATTTCTAGTAGTATCAGCAAAGCCCAATGAATGAAGGATCGACGCATTTTCGTATATTCCCAGAGCATGCAGTGAGTCTTAGTTCGTTCGTATAGCGGCTCGTTTGAAGCACACCGTTAAACAACGTTTAGATCAGCAACACCTATCTGACCCGAAAACCAGACACGCAGGTACTCATAAATGCCTACATAGGTTTGTTCAAGTTGTTCTTGTTTTGGCAATAATTTCGACAATTTCGTACACGTGATGCTTTCCACCATTGCGCATGTTCAATAAAGGCTCTAGGTACCGCCTTTGAAAGATACAGTTGTTTACAATGTGCGCTCTCGCTGTCCTGGATTATTAAGGCAACACGCCACTCCAACCTCGTCCCAATGACATCGAGCAGTACGCTACCATTAGTTGCCCTCTCGCCCTGGTACTTAATTTGGCAAATCAGAAACTCTTGGATATCATAAGGACGGTGCAGAATGGTTGGATGCCTTTTCCAGCACTTCTCGTCAATACTAAAAACAAATCTTCTAAGTTGCAAGGTTGCAGTCTGTTTTGTTTGTTTGTTTGTTTTGACCTACTGAGTGCCCCCCTCCACCCATCCCAATAAGTCGCCACCGTTTTGAAGAAAATAGGCCGCCTTGTCAGTCCCTTCAGATTTGACCCCTGGCCTAGACAATCTAAAAAACTCTCAAATTTCTCGAGGACTAATTAAGACCTTAAACACCAATAACACTGAATTCGGGTTTGTTCCCATTAAAGTATACTATTTATCAAATACGTAAAGGAGTGGAAGGGATGACATCGCTTTGTCAGCGCATTGAAGTTGCATTGCCTATATCTATCATGTAGCAGTCATGGGAAGTGACGACTGACTAGCAGGGCCGGAACGGGAGGAAATAGAACGATTCTGCAACCAGCAATTGAGGCCCAATTTGCATGGCCTGCATATTGGCCTATTTGTCCACACACTTGAAACAGTCAGTATTATGAATAACACGGTCTCAGTGTGACAATAACGTCCCAATAATAACCGAGGTATCAAAAGGCGCAAGCGCAGTTCATTTCGCCACTAATGTCTTCGACAAAATTACCTTGGCCGTGAAAGAAAGTCTGGCTATATGACCACGCAATATTGCAATGGCTTTTCGTTTCAAATATAGAACACAAGAGTTATCTGCGCGCACGTTTCCTTTGAAATAGGCCTACGTCTTCTTCGAAGAGCAAGATGTTGGGTTTTTATTTTTGCATGGCTTTGGCAAATACATTGATCGGCAATTTAGTAAGCCACGTTTTGTCTTAATAGCCTTGAGAAGATATAAAAGGTTTATGTTACATTGGCCCTCCCGTTGCTTTTGTTTTTGCTCCCATAGCGAACTTAACTAAATCCATAATATTTTCACTGTTGACTAACAGTTAATATGATGACACGTCTTCCATGCATTTTATCGGACAGATTTATTGAACGAACAGTTCTCACATATCCTTACACCAACTTTGCGCGCAGTTTGCATGAAGCGTAAGTCCTTTTGATAATTATTTCTATGCATAAGCTGCAATATTGAAATTAAAGCGCCTGCCTTTCAAATGTATAAATTTACATTGAAAACGAAATTTTCCATGAAAATATGCATAAACTGTTTGGAGGCTTGTCCTTCATCTTTGACGGGTTAAAATTATAAATTAGTAAGTACATTAACTGGTTTTTATTTTAACCTTCTATGAGTCAACTACAACTTTTGATGATCAATTTAAATAATGAATAAAGAACGACATGAACGATATTCTTTTTAGGCATAGATGCGCTGGATGAAAAGAAGTAGGCGACCAAAACTGGTGATAGGCTGGAAATGGGTTTTATTGGCTCCGGTTATGGTAGGAATAGATGTGTGTGTGTGGTTCTAAAAGGAAGAATAAACACAAAGGGAACTTAATCACTGTGTGCACAGGCCTAGGAAACCCTACTCATACAATAAACATTAACAATGTACATGTAAACACATGTGTGCCAATAACTAGGCTGGCAATAACATGTACATAACTTGTTAAACACTGACCACAAATATGGAGGAAAATGGCCCAAAATACTTTTTAACAACCCCAAAAATTGGTATAATAGCACACGGATTCATGGAAAGACCCTAAATATTATAACCCCCCCCCCCACAGCCCCCATTAGTCAGTTTTGTCGGCAAAATCATGGTGCTGTCGGCAAATGGAAAATAAAGAATGGAGAAGGAAGGGGAAAGGAAGAGGGAAGGAGAACAAATGGAGAATGAAAATAATAAACACCGCTGCTCAAAACCCTGCCAAGCTAAAATCCGGTTCTGCAACCAAAGACAAAAAAAGTCTTACATTTTGTCATGTCGGCACGAGCTGCCGCACGAGGGCGCTTCATATTCGGCATTTGACAGCTACAGCTACTGTGCAAAAAAAAACCAAGCACGTGCTCGCTCGCAGGCAGTTACAAATTCAGCTGATTGTTAGTGACGACTACAATATCATGGATCCAGCTAAAGAGGGTAAATCTCGAAAGAGAGTCAAGCTACAATGTGATGTGATGTTTGTGATGTAATTATTTCAATTCTGATGACCCTGCCCTACCTCTCTAAACACGAGCATATTTTATTCAAAAAGTCAGGGGAAAGTGGCCAGGAAATGCCTCAGACTCTACCACAGAATATCCAAACTTTTCCGGGGCCATTCAGCAGGCCCCGGACTCCACGCCTCAGGGTTTCGCGCTCGCTTATAAAAAGTCAACTTTGGGATTTAAAGAACTACGCAGTCTGAGATCAGGGAACGGGCCTGAACAAGGCATGCACACACGTACAGAACTTGTCAATATGATGGGGCAAATTCTGACGATTTACTTTTGAAGTTGAACTTGTCCCATTGAAAAATCCATTCAAAATAATCAACATAATTATCAATTCATATTATTTGTAAAACAAGTTGAATTGGAGTTTAGGGGATGATTTTGAGCGGAAACCATCAATAGCATTCATTTTCCGTGACGGTCCGTCGGCAAATTTGATGATGGCATGGCAGGTTGAGACTTTTTAAGATTGTTTTTCAATAAAAAACAGTATTCAAAAACGTATTCAAAATCTAGACCGTCACGGTCAGAGTGTTAATTTATTGTGTTGAAAGCGTCTTTGTATTACTAAGATAGGTAAACTAGGGAGCTGGTATAAATGGCCATCGAGAAGATATCGCGATGGATTGTGTTTTCGAACTCATGCTGCCACTTTAAGCGTATCCGAAGCGTTGAAAGATTTAGATATATGAAACGGCGCCCGAATAATTCATCAAAGACATGGATGTGGAACTAGCCTTGACCAAGGCTATCAGCTTGTTCCCATACGAGCTTGTTCCCGCTACCGCACACCGCGCTCGCCGCGACACAATCACTAGTTGTACTATACCGTTAGCCTCAACGACCCTTGCGTGTGCTTTGTGTGCATGTACGTACGCACCACACACACTTCCGCAAACAGCCGTACAGTATTAAGTCGAGGCGGAAGATAGCCTTGACGCAACCGTAGCGAATTCTTATGTGTTTCTTTATAGTTTCGACCGAAATCGGCCGAAAATTTCTGATGCGCATATATTACACGATATCCAATCAAAGCCCGTAAACTTTGACCCGCGACATACATATTCATGATCCCGCAAATTACTACACCACGTACATGTACCGTGTACATGTATGTTCACTCAAACCATGGTATGTCCAGGTATTTTAAACCCATTTTAAACCATTTCTCCAGTTTTATTACAAACAAATGAAATATGCCGCTATTTGAGTGAACAATTGTTCAAAATGATACTGTTTCCAATGTATTGAGAATTGGACAGTTCAAGACAGTCCGCCGACGTTTTGTCGGTGCAACAGCGTTCATTATCATGCCGCTACTTGCCCGTGCTATTCTGACAGCGAATGTAGGGAACAGGTCAACTCGGACCCAGGTCAAATCGTACCCATTTAATCGAATGCAGGTTAACTCGTATCTATAAGCACCCGTATGAATTAACTGCAAGAAACGAGCTATTGACTTTGGGATGGAAATATACGAAACTGTCAGGTACATGGTGAAAAAAAAACTCTCCCTGAATTCGTACCATGTGCAACATACATCTCATACGTACGACACATGTATTTTAACGCGTACGTATGAATCGTATGTCGTACCTACGACATACGTACGACATGTAAGTCGTTGATGTAAATCGCATGAGATACAAGTCGTTCTCACAAGATATGTTGTATGTACGACATAATTGACAAACAAGTCGAACATACGACTGGTTACAATTCATATTTGTACACACGAGATATTAAGTCATACTTACATACGACTTTGTCGTATGCGCGACATATATCGTACCCTGTCGACTCGACTTATGCACGACATATATGTCGTACCGGCACCTGTCGACATTATGTCATATGTTTGATAGTTCATACCCTATCGACATATATGTCGTACCCTGTCAATGATATTAGTCGTACCCTGTCGAAATATGTCGTACCCTGTCGATGATATTAGTGGTACATACAACATATAACTTATAAGTTGTTCATACAAGTTAAAATCAGTCTTACAGAATAAGTTTGCTGAAGGTGAGATATTTTTCCCATATCCCCTTGATAGCTTAGAAGAAATCCCCCCCCCCCAAAAAAAGTCAACGGTAGATATACTGAATAGTGTGAGCGCTTTTTTTGCCGCTGAACGTGAAAGCGCAGCGTGTCTGACTGCATGGCGCCAGCCGGGCCGGTGCCTACAGTGGACGGCCCCCACCGTGGCCTCTGTGCATGGTGACATCGTTTTTGCCGGCGTGCGGTTTTGTACCGTTTGCCGTTTTTTGAAGGTCTAATTTTTCATCCTTTTTCATTTCATTTTCGACCCAAACTATGTGTAACTTTATAAATATTATTCTACTATTATTTAAGATTTTAAGGGGGTGTTTTACAATAATTATTGTTTCCACAGGCCGTCTGGTTGGGTTTATAAACCTTTCGTCGTATTATGCAATTAATAAATATTCATTTTTTTGTCAGCCGTTATCCAATGAGAGAAGACTATTTACCATAGCGCGTACTAATTATCATATTCAGCACACACGGTTGCGTCAAGGCTATCTTCCGCCTCGACTTAATA